TCGGACTCTAACTCAGCTCTAACTCAGACTCTAACTCAGCTCTAACTCAGACTCTAACTCAGACTCTAATTCAGCTCTAACTCAGACTCTAACTCAGACTCTAACTCAGCTCCAACTCAGCTCCAACTCGGACTCTAACTCGGACTCTAACTCTGACTCTAACTCAGCTCTAACTCAGACTCTAACTCGGACTCTAACTCGGACTCTAACTCGGACTCTAACTCGGACTCTAACTCGGACTCTAACTCGGACTCTAACTCGGACTCTAACTTTGACTCTAAATTGGACTCTAACTCAGACTCTAACTCAGCTCTAACTCTAACTCAGCTCTAACTCGGACTCTAACTCAGACTCTAACTCAGACTCTAACTCAGCTCTAACTCAGACTCTAACTCAGACTCTAACTCAGCTTTAACTCAGACTCTAACTCAGACTCTAACTCAGCTCTAACACAGACTCTAACTCAGACTCTAACTCAGCTCTAATTCTAACTCAGACTCTAACTCAGCTCCAACTCAGACTCTAACTCAGCTCTGACTCAGACTATGACTCAGACTCTAAGTCAGACTCTAACTCGGACTCAAACTCAGCTCTAACTCAGACTCTAACTCAGACTCTAACTCAGCTCCAACTCGGACTCTAACTCGGACTCTAACTCGGACTCTAACTCGGACTCTAACTCGGACTCTAACTCGGACTCTAACTCGGACTCTAACTTTGACTCTAACTTGGACTCTAACTCAGACTCTAACTCAGCTCTGACTATGACTCAGACTCTAAGTCAAACTCTAACTCGGACTCTAACTCAGCTCTAACTCATACTCTAACTCAGCTCTAACTCAGACTCTAACTCAGACTCTAACTCAGACTCTAACTCAGCTCTAACTCAGACTCTAACTCAGACTCTAACTCAGCTCCAACTCGGACTCTAACTCTGACTCTAACTCGGACTCTAACTCGGACTCTAACTCGGACTCTAACTCGGACTCTAACTTTGACTCTAACTTGGACTCTAACTCAGACTCTAACTCAGCTCCAACTCGGACTCTAACTCGGACTCTAACTCGGACTCTAACTCGGACTCTAACTCGGACTCTAACTCTGACTCTAACTCGGACTCTAACTCTGACTCTAACTTGGACTCTAACTCAGCTCTAACTCTAACTCAGCTCTAACTCTAACTCAGCTCTAACTCGGACTCTAACTCAGACTCTAACTCAGCTCCAACTCAGACTCTAACTCAGCTCCAACTCGGACTCTAACTCGGACTCTAACTCGGACTCTAACTCAGACTCTAACTCGGACTCTAACTCGGACTCTAACTCAGACTCTAACTCAGCTCTGACTATGACTCAGACTAAGTCAAACTCTAACTCGGACTCTAACTCAGCTCTAACTCAGACTCTAACTCAGCTCTAACTCAGACTCTAACTCAGACTCTAACTCAGACTCTAACTCAGCTCTAACTCAGACTCTAACTCAGACTCTAACTCAGCTCCAACTCGGACTCTAACTCTGACTCTAACTCAGCTCTAACTCAGACTCTAACTCGGACTCTAACTCGGACTCTAACTCGGACTCTAACTCAGCTCTAACTCTAACTCAGCTCTAACTCTAACTCAGCTCTAACTCGGACTCTAACTCAGACTCTAACTCAGCTCCAACTCAGACTCTAACTCAGCTCCAACTTGGACTCTAACTCGGACTCTAACTCGGACTCTAACTCGGACTCTAACTCGGACTCTAACTCAGACTCTAACTCGGACTCTAACTTTGACTCTAACTTGGACTCTAACTCAGACTCTAACTCAGCTCTGACTATGACTCAGACTCTAAGTCAAACTCTAACTCGGACTCTAACTCAGCTCTAACTCATACTCTAACTCAGCTCTAACTCAGACTCTAACTCAGACTCTAACTCAGACTCTAACTCAGCTCTAACTCAGACTCTAACTCAGACTCTAACTCAGCTCCAACTCGGACTCTAACTCTGACTCTAACTCGGACTCTAACTCGGACTCTAACTCGGACTCTAACTCGGACTCTAACTTTGACTCTAACTCAGACTCTAACTCAGCTCTAACTCAGCTCCAACTCGGACTCTAACTCGGACTCTAACTCGGACTCTAACTCGGACTCTAACTCGGACTCTAACTCGGACTCTAACTCGGACTCTAACTCTGACTCTAACTTGGACTCTAACTCAGCTCTAACTCTAACTCAGCTCTAACTCTAACTCAGCTCTAACTCGGACTCTAACTCAGACTCTAACTCAGCTCCAACTCAGACTCTAACTCAGCTCCAACTCGGACTCTAACTCGGACTCTAACTCGGACTCTAACTCGGACTCTAACTCGGACTCTAACTCAGACTCTAACTCGGACTCTAACTCGGACTCTAACTCAGACTCTAACTCAGCTCTGACTATGACTCAGACTAAGTCAAACTCTAACTCGGACTCTAACTCAGCTCTAACTCAGACTCTAACTCAGCTCTAACTCAGACTCTAACTCAGACTCTAACTCAGCTCTAACTCAGACTCTAACTCAGCTCCAACTCGGACTCTAACTCTGACTCTAACTCAGCTCTAACTCAGACTCTAACTCGGACTCTAACTCGGACTCTAACTCGGACTCTAACTCAGCTCTAACTCTAACTCAGCTCTAACTCGGACTCTAACTCAGACTCTAACTCAGCTCCAACTCAGACTCTAACTCAGCTCCAACTCGGACTCTAACTCGGACTCTAACTCGGACTCTAACTCGGACTCTAACTCGGACTCTAACTCGGACTCTACCTCGGACTCTAACTCGGACTCTAACTCAGACTCTAACTCAGACTCTAACTCAGACTCTAACTCAGACTCTAACTCAGCTCTAACTCAGACTCTAACTCAGACTCTAACTCAGCTCTAACTCAGACTCTAACTCAGACTCTAACTCAGCTCTGACTATGACTCAGACTCTAAGTCAAACTCTAACTCGGACTCTAACTCAGCTCTAACTCATACTCTAACTCAGCTCTAACTCAGACTCTAACTCAGACTCTAACTCAGCTCTAACTCAGACTCTAACTCGGACTCTAACTCAGCTCCAACTCGGACTCTAACTCTGACTCTAACTCGGACTCTAACTCAGCTCTAACTCGTACTCTAACTCGGACTCTAACTCGGACTCTAACTTTGACTCTAACTTGGACTCTAACTCAGACTCTAACTCAGCTCCAACTCGGACTCTAACTCGGACTCTAACTCGGACTCTAACTCGGACTCTAACTCGGACTCTAACTCTGACTCTAACTCGGACTCTAACTCAGACTCTAACTCAGCTCTAACTCAGACTCTAACTCAGACTCTAACTCAGACTCTAACTCAGACTCTAACTCAGACTCTAACTCAGCTCTAACTCAGACTCTAACTCAGACTCTAACTCAGCTCTGACTATGACTCAGACTAAGTCAAACTCTAACTCGGACTCTAACTCAGCTCTAACTCAGACTCTAACTCAGCTCTAACTCAGACTCTAACTCAGACTCTAACTCAGCTCTAACTCAGACTCTAACTCAGACTCTAACTCAGCTCCAACTCAGCTCCAACTCGGACTCTAACTCGGACTCTAACTCTGACTCTAACTCAGCTCTAACTCGGACTCTAACTCGGACTCTAACTCGGACTCTAACTCGGACTCTAACTCGGACTCTAACTTTGACTCTAAATTGGACTCTAACTCAGACTCTAACTCAGCTCTAACTCTAACTCAGCTCTAACTCGGACTCTAACTCAGACTCTAACTCAGACTCTAACTCAGCTCTAACTCAGACTCTAACTCAGACTCTAACTCAGCTTTAACTCAGACTCTAACTCAGACTCTAACTCAGCTCTAACACAGACTCTAACTCAGACTCTAACTCAGCTCTAATTCTAACTCAGACTCTAACTCAGCTCTAACTCAGACTCTAACTCAGCTCTGACTCAGACTATGACTCAGACTCTAAGTCAGACTCTAACTCGGACTCAAACTCAGCTCTAACTCAGACTCTAACTCAGACTCTAACTCAGCTCAACTCGACCTAACTCGACTCTAACTCGGACTCTAACTCGGACTCTAAACTCGGACTCTAACTCGGACTCTAACTCGGACTCTAACTCGACTCCTCTAACTCAGACTCTAACTCAGACTCTAACTCAGCTCTAACTCAGACTCTAACTCAGACTCTAACTCAGCTCTAACTCAGACTCTAACTCAGACTCTAACTCAGACTCTAACTCAGACTCTAACTCAGACTCTAACTCGGACTCTAACTCGGACTCTAACTCGGACTCTAACTCGGACTCTAACTCGGACTCTAACTCGGACTCTAACTCAGACTCTAACTCAGACTCTAACTCAGACTCTAACTCAGCTCTAACTCAGACTCTAACTCAGACTCTAACTCAGACTCTAACTCAGACTCTAACTCAGACTCTAACTCAGCTCTAACTCAGCTCTAACTCAGACTCTAACTCAGCTCTAACACAGACTCTAACTCAGACTCTAACTCATACTCTAACTCAGACCTAACTCAGACTCTAACTCAGACTCTAACTCAGACTCTAACTCAGACTCTAACTCATACTCTAACTCAGACCTAACTCAGACTCTAACTCAGACTCTAACTCAGCTCAAACTCGGACTCTAACTCGGACTCTAACTCGGACTCTAACTCGGACTCTAACTCAGACTCTAACTCGAACTCTAACTCAGACTCTAACTCAGCTCTAACTCTAACTCAGCTCTGACTCAGACTCTAACTCAGATTCTATCTCAGACTCTAACTCAGACTCGAACTCAGCTCTAACTCAGACTCTAACTCAGACTCTAACTCAGACTCTAACTCGGACTCTAACTAAGACTCTAACTCAGCTCTAACTCAGCTCTAACTCAGACTCTAACTCAGACTCTAACTCAGACTCTAACTCGGACTCTAACTCAGCTCTAACTCAGACTCTATCTGTGTCTCAGGTACAAGTCTAACGAGGAGTACGTGTACGTTCGCGGTCGCGGTCGAGGGAAGTACATCTGTGAAGAGTGTGGGATTCGCTGCAAGAAGCCGTCTATGCTGAAGAAACACATCCGGACTCACACGGACCTCAGACCATACGTGTGTCGGGCCTGTACCTTTGCTTTCAAGACCAAAGGTACAGCCAGGGGAGACATAACCATGGTCTCTGTCTCTGGTCTCTCTCTCAGGTCCCTCTCTGGTCTCTCTCTGGTCTCTCTCTGGTCTCTCTCTGGTCTCTCTCTGGTCTCTCTTGTCTATCTCTCTGTTGTCTCTCTAGTCTCTCTCTCTTTGGTCTCTCTCTCTGGTCTCTCTCTGGTCTTTCTCTGGTCTCTCTCCCTGGTCTCTTTCTCTGTTGTCTCTCTGGTCTCTCTCTTTGGTCTCTCTCTCTGGTCTCTCTCTTGTCTCCCTCTGGTGTCCTTCTGGTCTTTCTCGTGTTAATGCCTGTTTGTGTTTCTAAAGGGAATCTGACCAAACATATGAAATCTAAAGCTCACATGAAGAAGTGTCTGGAGCTCGGGCTTTCCCTGTCTGTGGAGGACCAGGAACCAGGTGAGACCAGAGACCAGGGAGACCAGAGAGAGACCAGAGAGAGACCAGAGAGAGAGACCAGAGAGAGACCAGAGAGAGACCAGAGAGAGACCAGAGAGAGACCAGAGAGAGACCAGAGAGAGAGACCAGAGAGAGAGACCAGAAAGACCAGAGAGAGACCAGAGAGAGACCAGAGAGAGAGACCAGAGAGAGACCAGAGAGGGACCAGAGAGACCAGAGAGAGACCAGAGAGTGAGACCAGAGAGTGAGACCAGAGAGAGACCAGAGAGAGACCAGAGAGAGACTAGAGAGAAACCAGAGAGAGAGACCAGAGAGAGACCAGAGAGAGACCAGAGAGATAGACCAGAGAGAGACCAGAGGGAGACCAGAGAGATAGACCAGAGAGAGACCAGAGGGAGACCAGAGAGATAGACCAGAGAGAGACCTTCTGTACAAAGTCTCTTGAATCTAAAGCTCACATGAAGAAGTGTCTGGAGCTCGGGCTTTCCCTGTCTGTGGAGGACCAGGAACCAGGTGAGACCAGAGACCAGGGAGAGACCAGGGAGAGACCAGAGAGACCAGAGAGAGACCAGAGAGAGACCAGAGAGAGAGACCAGAGACCAGAGAGAGAGACCAGAGAGAGACCAGAGAGAGACCAGAGAGAGACCAGAGAGAGACCAGAGAGAGACCAGAGAGAGACCAGAGAGAGACTAGAGAGAGACTAGAGAGAGACTAGAGAGAGACTAGAGAGAGACTAGAGAGAGACCAGAGAGAGAGACAAGAGAGATAGACCAGAGATAGACCAGAGAGATAGACCAGAGAGAGACCAGAGAGATAGACCAGAGATAGACCAGAGAGAGACCAGAGAGAGACCAGAGGAAGACCTTCTGTACAAAGTCTCTGTTTTAATCTGGTTCCCAGTGGACGATGGTCCTCCTGAGGCCAAAGTGTCGGTCAAGCACCAGTTTTCAGACGTGGACGACTCTGACGGAGCTGAGGAGGAGGAGCTGGATGAGGAGGAGGAGGAGGATGAAGAGCAGGAGGTGCTGAGGTCACGATCCACCAGCCCCCAGTGCTCTGTCCTGAGCTCTGCCTCTGTCTGCACTCAGCCACCAGGGGGGGCTCTGAGTGGGCCCTATGCTCCTCCTGCTGACGAGGACTCACTGACCCTGAACGAGGTGAGAGCAGAGTGTGACATCACACTGTGACAGAGACTGTTGTTTGTAAATGTGTATCATAAACTAAACTATTATTTACACTTATACTGCATGACGTAAGCAAGAGTCTCTCTCTCTGGTCTCTCCCTGGTCTCTCTCTGGTCTCTCTCTCTCTCTGGTCTCTCTGGTCTCTCTCTGGTCTCTCTCTCTCTCTGGTCTCTCTGGTCTCTCTCTCTGACGTCATACATTCACTTCTGAGAGGATAGCATCATTCCAACAAGGACCAGGGTCATCTACAACAACGACAAACCCTGGTTCACTGCTAAACTCCGGCAGCTCAGGAAAGCAAAGGAGTCTGCTTTCAGGGAGGGGGACCGCAGCGGCTACAAAGCAGCTAAATATCAGTTCAGGAAAGAACTGAAAGCAGCCAAGTCCCGGCACAGAGAACGACTACAGGAGCAGTTTGGTAACAACGATACTGCTTCTGTCTGGAGGGGCCTACGGGAGATCACCAACTACAAGCCCAAAGCCCCCCCCTGTGCTGACGACCACAAGCTAGCTGATGAACTGAACTTATTTTTCAGTCGCTTTGATGCTGCCCCTGACACCTCTCCCTCCCCCTCCCCCACTACTCTAACGACCCACCCATCAGCCCTGCCCCCAGCCTGACAATAGCCTCTAAAGACATTAAACAACTCTTCTTGAGGCTGCACTCCCGCAAAGCTCCTGGCCCGGACCACGTGTCTCCGGCCACTCTGAGACACTGCGCCAGTGAGCTTACTCCTGTGTTCAGTGACATTTTCAACACCTCTCTGCAGTCCTGCCATGTCCCGGCCTGCTTCAAATCCTCCATCATTGTCCCCGTCCCGAAGAAGCCCAGGATCACAGGACTCAATGACTACAGACCTGTAGCACTTACGTCTGTCGTCATGAAGTCATTTGAACGCCTGGTTCTCTCCCATCTCAAGTCCTTCACCTCCCCCCTCCTGGACCCCCTGCAATTCGCCTACAGAGCCAACAGATCTGTAGACGACGCCATTAACCTGGCCCTCCACCACATCCTACAGCACCTGGACTCCCCGGGGACCTACGCCAGGGTCCTGTTCGTGGACTTCAGCTCTGCCTTCAACACAATCCTGCCATCCCTGCTCCAGGACAAGCTCTCCCAGCTCAACGTGCCCGATTCCACCTGCAGGTGGATCACTGACTTCCTGACGGACAGGAAGCAGCGAGTGCGTCTGGGGAAGAATGTCTCGGACTCTCGGATTATAAATACAGGAGCCCCACAGGGCTGTGTTCTTTCTCCCCTGCTCTTCTCCCTGTACACCAACCACTGCACCTCCAGCCACGACTCCGTGAAGCTGATCAAGTTCGCGGACGACACCACCCTCATTGGACTCATCTCCAACAACGATGAGTCCGCCTCCAGGAGGGAGGTGGACCGGCTGGTGTCCTGGTGCAGTGGTAACAACCTGGAGCTGAACGCCCAGAAGACAGTGGAGATGATTGTGGACCTCAGGAAGAGCACTGTCCCCCCGCCCCCACCCTCCGTGATGGACTCCCCCATCACCTCTGTGGAGTCCTTCCGTTTCCTGGGCACCACCATCACCCAGGACCTCAAGTGGGAGCCGACCATCAGCTCCCTCATCAAGAAGGCCCAGCAGAGGATGTACTTCCTGCGGCAGCTCAGGAAAGCCAAGCTGCCTGCACCGATGTTGGTGCAGTTCTACACGGCCATCATCGAGTCCATCCTCACCTCCTCCATCACCTCCTCCATCACCTCCTCCATCACCTCCTCCATCACCTCCTCCAGCACCTCCTCCAGCACCTCCTCCATCACCTCCTCCATCACCTCCTCCATCACCTCCTCCATCACCTCCTCCAGCACCTCCTCCATCACCTCCTCCATCACCTCCTCCATCTCCTCCTCCAGCACCTCCTCCATCACCTCCTCCATCACCTCCTCCATCACCTCCTCTATCACCTCTCTCAGGTCTCTCACTCTGGTCTCTCTCTCTCTGGTCTCTCTCTCTCTGGTCTCTCTCTCTCTGACCTCTCTCTGGTCTCTCTCTCTGGTCTCTCTCTCTGGTCTCTCTCTCTGACCTCTCTCTGGTCTCTCTCTCTGGTCTCTCTCTCTGGTCTCTCTCTCTGACCTCTCTCTCTCTCCTCAGAGCTTCCTGGTCGAGCCGTACTCTCCCGCTCTACTCTCCCCCGGGTGGGAGTCTCCCCTCAGAGAGCCCTCCCCCTCGCGGCTCCGCTGTCCCTCCCCCCTCAGAGACGTGTCCCCTCTGTCCCCTAGAGGGCGCTCTCTCAGCTTCAGTCCTGTGCAGCACCTGTCCCCTGGTCTCCTGGAGCGCCTGGAGCGTCCCCTGTCCCCACAGGCTGAGACCCAGGGGAAGAGAGGCCGGCAGAGGGTGGTCCTACGAGCCGTGTCCCCCAGAAGAGGGTCTTACAGGGGGGACAAGAGACACCTGCCCGGCCTGGGACACAGCCACCAGGTGAGAGACCTCCTTATGCATGACCAGGTGAGAGACCTCCTTATGCATGACCAGGTGAGAGACCTCCTTATACATGACCAGGTGAGAGACCTCCTTATACATGACCAGGTGAGAGACCTCCTTATGCATGACCAGGTGAGAGACCTCCTTATACATGACCAGGTGAGAGACCTCCTTATGCATGACCAGGTGAGAGACCTCCACTCACATGACCAGGTGAGAGACCTCCACTCACATGACCAGGTGAGAGACCTCCTTATGCATGACCAGGTGAGAGACCTCCTTATACATGACCAGGTGAGAGACCTCCTTATACATGACCAGGTGAGAGACCTCCTTATACATGACCAGGTGAGAGACCTCCTTATGCATGACCAGGTGAGAGACCTCCTTATGCATGACCAGGTGAGAGACCTCCACTCACATGACCAGGTGAGAGACCTCCTTATGCATGACCAGGTGAGAGACCTCCTTATACATGACCAGGTGAGAGACCTCCTTATACATGACCAGGTGAGAGACCTCCTTATGCATGACCAGGTGAGAGACCTCCTTATACATGACCAGGTGAGAGACCTCCTTATGCATGACCAGGTGAGAGACCTCCACTCACATGACCAGGTGAGAGACCTCCACTCACATGACCAGGTGAGAGACCTCCTTATGCATGACCAGGTGAGAGACCTCCTTATACATGACCAGGTGAGAGACCTCCTTATACATGACCAGGTGAGAGACCTCCTTATACATGACCAGGTGAGAGACCTCCTTATGCATGACCAGGTGAGAGACCTCCTTATGCATGACCAGGTGAGAGACCTCCACTCACATGACCAGGTGAGAGACCTCCTTATGCATGACCAGGTGAGAGACCTCCTTATACATGACCAGGTGAGAGACCTCCTTATACATGACCAGGTGAGAGACCTCCTTATACATGACCAGGTGAGAGACCTCCACTCACATGACCAGGTGAGAGACCTCCTTATACATGACCAGGTGGGAGACCTCCTCACACATGACCAGGTGAGAGACCTCCTCACACATGACCAGGTGAGAAACCTCCACACACTCAGACCATGGTCTCTCTCTGGACTCTTTTATGGTCTCTCTCTGGTCTCTCTCCGCTCTCTCTCTGGTCTCTCTCTGTTCTCCCTCTGGTCTCTCTCTGATCTCCCTCTGGTCTCCCTCTGGTCTCTCTCTGGTCTCTCTCTGGTCTCCCTCTGGTCTCCCTCTGGTCTCCCTCTGGTCTCTCTCTGGTCTCTCTCTGGTCTCCCTCTGGTCTCCCTCTGGTCTCCCTCTGGTCTCCCTCTGGTCTCCCTCTGGTCTCTCTCTGGTCTCTCTCTGGTCTCCCTCTGGTCTCCCTCTGGTCTCTCTCTGGTCTCCCTCTGGTCTCTCTCTGGTCTCCCTCTGGTCTCTCTCTGGTCTCCCTCTGGTCTCCCTCTGGTCTCTCTCTGGTCTCCCTCTGGTCTCCCTCTGGTCTCCCTCCGGTCTCCCTCTGGTCTCTCTCTGGTCTCCCTCTAGTCTCTCTCTGGTCTCCCTCTAGTCTCTCTCTGGTCTCCCTCTGGTCTCTCTCTGGTCTCTCTGGCCTCTCTCTGGTCTCCCTCTGGTCTCCCTCTGGTCTCCCTCTAGTCTCTCTCTGGTCTCCCTCTAGTCTCTCTCTGGTCTCCCTCTGGTCTCCCTCTGGTCTCTCTCTGGTCTCTCTCTGGTCTCCCTCTGGTCTCCCTCTGGTCTCTCTCTGGTCTCTCTCTGGTCTCTCTCTGGTCTCCCTCTGGTCTCTCCCTCTGGTCTCCCTCTGGTCTCTCTCTGGTCTCCCTCTGGTCTCTCTCTGGTCTCTCTGGCCTCTCTCTGGTCTCCCTCTGGTCCCCCTCTGGTCTCCCTCTAGTCTCTCTCTGGTCTCCCTCTAGTCTCTCTCTGGTCTCCCTCTGGTCTCCCTCTGGTCTCTCTCTGGTCTCTCTCTGGTCTCTCTCTGGTCTCTCTCTGGTCTCCCTCTGGTCTCCCTCTGGTCTCCCTCTGGTCTCTCTCTGGTCTCCCTCTGGTCTCTCTCTGGTCTCCCTCTGGTCTCTCTCTGGTCTCCCTCTGGTCTCTCTCTGGTCTCCCTCTGGTCTCTCTCTGGTCTCCCTCTGGTCTCCCTCTGGTCTCCCTCTGGTCTCTCTCTGGTCTCTCCCTGGTCTCTTCCTGGTCTCTCTCATGGCTTTCTCTCTCCTCAGGACCTGAAGTTCTCGTCTCAGTCTCAGAACGTTTTGAGTCACCTCCCTCTTCACTCTCAGCACCAGGAGCGCAGTCTGCTGCCAGCACGACCTGTGGGAGGAGCCAGTGTTCGGGACCCGCCCCCTGACCCCCCCTATGGCCCCCCCTCTGAGGAGAGCGTCCGGACCTGTGCAGAAGCCATCCAATCACTGAGCATCACAGAGCAACAGTGAGCTTTCAGACTGCGTTCAAACCAGAGAGAGACCAGAGAGAGACCAGAGAGAGACCAGAGAGAGACCAGAGAGAGACCAGAGAGAGACCAGAGAGAGACCAGAGAGACCAGAGAGAGACCAGAGAGAGACCAGAGAGAGACCAGAGAGAGACCAGAGAGAGAGACCAGAGAGAGACCAGAGAGAGACCAGAGAGAGACCAGAGAGAGACCAGAGAGAGACCAGAGAGAGACCAAAGAGAGACCAGAGAGAGACCAGAGAGAGACCAGAGAGACCAGAGAGAGACCAGAGAGAGACCATGGTCCGAACGTGTGAACATGTGTGTGGAGGTCCCTCAACATTTCTTTCTCTTGAACGCAGTCTGAGCTCACCACCTCCAGCTGTTGCAAGCAATATGAACTAATCCTGGCCCAGACCCAGTCTAGACCCGGCCCAGACCCGGTCCTGACTCAGCCCAGTCCTGAACTTTGTGGACCCTTTTAGACCTTCCTCCTCACAGACTTTGGCTGATGGAGGAGAAATCATTGTAAGGGCACAGGTGCAATTGAAGTGAAGAAAGACCAGAGTGAGACCAGAGTGAGACCAGAGTGAGACCAGAGTGAGACCAGAGAGAGACCAGAGTGAGACCAGAGAGAGAGACCAAAGAGAGAGACCAGAGTGAGACCAGAGTGAGACCAGAGAGAGACCAGAGAGAGACCAGAGAGAGACCAGAGAGAGACCAGAGAGAGACCAGAGAGAGAGACCAAAGAGAGAGACCAGAGTGAGACCAGAGTGAGACCAGAGAGAGACCAGAGAGAGACCAGAGAGAGACCAGAGAGAGACCAGAGAGAGACCAGAGAGAGACCAGAGTGAGACCAGAGTGAGACCAGAGTGAGACCAGAGTGAGACCAGAGTGAGACCAGAGTGGTTTGACCCTTGTTGTGGTTCCGCAGCAGTCTGTTTGCCTTGGACTGTTTGTACGGCGCACATGTATTTGTACAGATTCTTATGGACGTTGTGGCTGCAGTGACCTGCGTCACCACCAGGGGGAGCTGAGTCCCACCACAGGACAGAGCTGCTCTTACATCTGTGCCAAAATGTCTGATAAAGGGGAGAGCATACATTCAAAACTGGGGTACGTGACTTTAGTCTTAATGACAGTTCTGTTAAAGTTTTAAAGTTACATACCCCAGCTTTAAAGTTACAGACCAAAGCTTTAGAGCCTACTGCTGCTGTGCTTCTTCATTCAGTCGTTTCAATACTGAGGTCCTGGTTGGATCCGGTGGGACCCGGTAGGACCCGGTGGCACCCGGTGGGACCCGGCTGATGTGAGGGAGAAGTGCTAACATCATTTTCAAAGGCACAGTAGTGGCTTCATCAGACACAGAGTTTATCATCTACATACACACATAGACCAGGACCAGGACCAGACCAGGACCAGGACCAGACCATAACAGTGTGAAGGGAAATGGTGAAAGTTAAAGAAGAAGCAGTGAAATTGGCCTCATGAGGTGATGTCGCACTTCTCCTTCTCTGCGGTTTCTCTGTGCATGGGACTGGCACAAACTCCAGGGCAATACTGTAGTATGTATTTATATAGAAACCCTACAGATATATATATAATATAATATAATATATATATATATATATATATAGGAGACATGTTGATACTGGTGCATATTTGAATACTCTTTATATGAAGTACTCTTTCAGACGTAGTACTTATACTTAAGTACTTATACTTATGTACTTATACTTATGTACTTTACACCCTCCGCAAGGGTTCGAGACAAATATGAAAAACACGTCCAATCTGGCAACCTCAGCGAGGCAACGCACAAGAGACATTAGTCAGAACAGAAAACATTCCCCATTTCCACCATCTCTACCCTACCCTACTCTACTCTACACTACCCTACCCTACTCTACCCTACCCTACCCTACCCTACCCTACCCTACCCTACCCTACTCTACCCTACCCTACCCTACCCTACCCTACCCTACCCTACCCTACTCTACCCTACCCTACTCTACTCTACACTACCCTACCCTACCCTACCCTACCCTACTCTACCCTACCCTACTCTACCCTACCCTACCCTACCCTACCCTACCCTACCCTACTCTACCCTACCCTACTCTACACTACCCTACCCATCTCTACCCTACCCTACTCTACACTACCCTACCCTACTCTACCCTACCCTACCCTACCCTACCCTACTCTACCCTACCCTACCCTACTCTACCCTACCCTACTCTACCCTACCCTACCCTACCCTACTCTACCCTACCCTACCCTACCCTACCCTACTCTACCCTACCCTACCCTACTCTACCCTACCCTACCCTACTCTACCCTACCCTACTCTACCCTACCCTACCTACTCCCTACCCTACCCTACTACCCTACCCTACCCTACCCTACCCTACCCTACCCTAGCCTAGCCTAGCCTAGCCTACCTTACCCTACCCTACCCTACTCTACTCTACTCTACTCTACTCTACTCTACTGACGTAGAGCTGGTGGAAACAGGGCTCTGATATATTTACAGAAACAGCTGTTGTTCAAATGTTTCATATTTGAGCTTTAAATGTATTTATGGTTTTAACGTTTAAGACACTTCAGTCGGTGTGAAAGCATCTTCATGGTCCTCGAGGGTCACATGGTCCTTGCGGGTTAGCATTGAGTCAGCGGGTTAGTATTGAGCTGGCGGGTTAGCATTGAGCTAGCAGGCTAGCATTGAAATATTGGGATAGCATTGAGCTAGCGGGTTAGCATTGAGCTAGCGGGCTAGCATTGAAATATCGGGATAGCATTGAGCTAGCGGGCTAGCATTGAGCTAGCGGGTTAGTATTGAGCTAGCGGGCTAGCATTGAGCTAGCGGGTTAGCATTGAGCTAGCGGGTTAGCATTGAGCTAGCGGGTTAGCATTTAGCTAGCGGGTTTGCATTGAGCTGGTTGTCTCAATGCTAACCATGGCTGTTGTCCTGGGGGAGGAGACCATGTGACCTTCAGACTGGACTCAGAGTCCTTTTGTGGTACATTTTTATGGTTTCAAACCTTTTGTTCCGTTGGTGTTTGAGCCGTGAACCTCTAAAATCTACATTTTTATAAAATGTTTCCATCTGAATTTTGTTGTAAACAATAAATTATATAAAATAAAATATTCACAAGATCTGAATTCACAAGGTCACTGTTTCTGACCAGAGAGAGACCAGAGAAAGACCAGAGAGAGAGACCAGAGAGAGACCAGAGAGAGACCAGAGAGAGACCAGAGAGAGAGACCAGAGAGAGACCAGAGAGAGACCAGAGAGAGACCAGAGGGAGACCAGAGGGAGACCAGAGGGAGACCAGAGAGAGACCAGAGGGAGACCAGAGGGAGACCAGAGGGAGACCAGAGAGAGACCAGAGGGAGACCAGAGGGAGACCAGAGGGAGACCAGAGAGAGAGACTAGAGAGAGACCAGAGAGAGACCAGAGAGAGAGACCAGAGAGAGAGACCAGAGGGAGACCAGAGAGAGAGACTAGAGAGAGACCAGAGAGAGAGACCAGAGAGAGACCAGAGAGAGACCAGAGAGAGACCAGAGAGAGACCAGAGGGAGACCAGAGGGAGACCAGAGAGAGAGACTAGAGAGAGACCAGAGAGAGACCAGAGAGAGAGACCAGAGAGAGAGACCAGAGAGAGAGACCAGAGAGAGACCAGAGAGAGAGACCAGAGAGAGACCAGAGAGAGACCAGAGAGAGACCAGAGGGAGACCAGAGGGAGACCAGAGAGAGAGACTAGAGAGAGACCAGAGAGAGAGACCAGAGAGAGACCAGAGAGAGACCAGAGGGAGACCAGAGGGAGACCAGAGAGAGAGACTAGAGAGAGACCAGAGAGAGACCAGAGAGAGAGACCAGAGAGAGAGACCAGAGAGAGAGACCAGAGAGAAAGACCAGAGAGAGACCAGAGAGAGACACCAGAGAGAGACCAGAGAGAGACCAGAGGGAGACCAGAGGGAGACCAGAGGGAGACCAGAGGGAGACCAGAGAGAGACCAGAGGGAGACCAGAGGGAGACCAGAGGGAGACCAGAGAGAGAGACTAGAGAGAGACCAGAGAGAGACCAGAGAGAGAGACCAGAGAGAGAGACCAGAGGGAGACCAGAGAGAGAGACTAGAGAGAGACCAGAGAGAGAGACCAGAGAGAGACCAGAGAGAGACCAGAGAGAGACCAGAGAGAGACCAGAGGGAGACCAGAGGGAGACCAGAGAGAGAGACTAGAGAGAGACCAGAGAGAGACCAGAGAGAGAGACCAGAGAGAGAGACCAGAGAGAGAGACCAGAGAGAGACCAGAGAGAGAGACCAGAGAGAGACCAGAGAGAGACCAGAGAGAGACCAGAGGGAGACCAGAGGGAGACCAGAGAGAGAGACTAGAGAGAGACCAGAGAGAGAGACCAGAGAGAGACCAGAGAGAGACCAGAGGGAGACCAGAGGGAGACCAGAGAGAGAGACCAGAGAGAGACCAGAGAGAGACCAGAGAGAGAGACCAGAGAGAGACCAGAGAGAGAGACCAGAGAGAGAGAGAGACCAGAGAGAGACGAGAGAGAGACCAGAGAGAGACCAGAGAGAGACCAGAGAGAGAGACCAGAGAGAGACCAGAGAGAGACCAGAGAGAGACCAGAGAGAGAGACCAGAGAGAGACCAGAGAGAGAGACCAGAGGGAGACCAGAGGGAGACCAGAGAGAGACCAGAGAGAGACCAGAGAGAGACCAGAGAGAGACCAGGAGAGAGACCAGAGAGAGACCAGAGACCAGAGAGAGACTAGAGAGAGAGAGACCAGAGAGAGAGACCAGAGAGAGACCAGAGAGAGACCAGAGGGAGACCAGAGAGAGACCAGAGAGAGACCAGAGAGAGACCAGAGGGAGACGAGAGGGAGACCAGAGAGAGACCAGAGAGAGAGACCAGAGAGAGACCAGAGAGAGACCAGAGAGAGACCAGAGAGACCAGGGAGAGACCAGAGAGAGACCAGAGAGAGACCGGAGAGAGAGCCCAAAGAGAGACCAGAGAGAGAGACCAAAGAGAGACCAGAGGGAGACCAGAGAGAGACCAGAGTCTTATAATCAACAACTCATTTGATATGTTTCAGTCCGGCTTTAGACCCCACCACAGCACTGAGACTGCTCTCGTTAAGGTTACAAACGATATCCGGCTGAACACTGACGCAGGCAAAGTCTCAATCTTAATCTTGTTAGATCTGAGTGCTGCCTTTGACACTGTCGACCATGAGATCCTCTTACAGAGACTAGAGGACTGAGTTGGCGTCGCTGGCACCGCCCTAAGTTGGTTTAGGTCTTACCTTGAAGACAGGAAGTACTTTGTGGAGATTGGAAACTGTGTCTCAGATCATATGGCCCTGACCTGTGGAGTCCCACAGGGGTCGATCCTGGGACCTCTTCTGTTCAATCTCTACATGCTGCCGTTAGGTCAGTTAATACGCAGAAACAAAGTGTCCTATCACAACTATGCAGACGACACTCAGATCTATGTCTCACTGACTGCAGGAGAACATGGACCAGTGGACTCACTCCTTCACTGTATCCAACAGATCAGTGAGTGGATGCAAAACAACTTCCTTCAGCTAAACGCAGACAAAATTATTGTCTTTGGTCCCCAGAAACAAAGAGAGAGCGTCATCTGTCACCTCCAGTCTCTCTCCCTAAAACCTTCAAACAAGGTCAGAAATCTAGGGGTAATACTGGACTCAGACTTAAATTTTAATAGCCACATCAAATCAGTAACATCAGCAGCTTTTTACCATCTAAAAAACATTGCCAGGATCAAAAACATAGTGTCTAAAGCAGACTTGGAGATTCTTATCCATGCATTTGTCTCCAGTAGGTTAGACTACTGCAATGGCCTGCTCACAGGTCTGTCCAAACAGGCTGTAAAACAGCTGCAGTACATTCAAAATGCAGCAGCTCGAGTCCTGACTAGAACCAGGAAGTACGACCACATTAGTCCTGACTAGAACCAGGAAGTACGACCACATTAGTCCTGACTAGAACCAGGAAGTACGACCACATTAGTCCGGTCCTCAGGTCTCTGCACTGGCTTCCTGTGGCTCAGAGAATAGACTTTAAAACAGCTCTGCTTGTTACAAGTCTCTCCATGGCCTCGCACCAAAATATATTAGTGACATGTTAGTCCCATATGAACCAGCCCAGACTCTGAGGAGCACAGGGACTGGACTCCTGTTAGTGCCCAGAGTCAGAACTAAACATGGGGAGGCTGCTTTTCAGATTCATGCTGCTAAAATCTGGAACAGTCTTCCTGAAGATGTGAGACAGGCCTCCTCTCTGACAATGTTTAAAACCAGGTTAAAGACAGTTCTGTTTAGCTGTGCTACAACTGAGGGATTTTATATTTTTATCTTTCTTTTTAATGTTCTGTGATTATTTATGATTTTAATGCTTTCTTGTTTTGTTCAGCACTTTGAGTTTCCTTGTGTATGAATTGTGCTATATAAATAAACTTGCCTTGCCTTGTGTCCCACTTGGTGTCTCTAAAGCCTTTGTGTCCCACCTGGTGTCTCTGTGTCCCACTTGGTGTCTCTAAAACCTGTGTCCCACCTGGTGTCCCCAAAGCCTCTGTGTCCAACCTGGTGACTCTGAAGCCTTCGTGTCCCACCTGGTGTCTCCAAAGCCCTAAAGCCTCTGTGTCCCACCTGGTGTCTCTGAAGCCTTTGTGTCCCACCTGGTGTCTCTGTGTCCCACTTGGTATCTCTAAAGCCTGCGTCCCACCTGGTGTCTCTGAAGCCTCTGTGTCCCACTTGGTGTCTCCAAAGCCTCTGTGTCCCACCTGGTGCACTTGTATCTGGTGTCTCAGTCTCTCTCTCTTCTTCTTCAGTTCTTCTACTCGGTCTCTGAGCTCCTGGACTCGGCTCGGAGGCTGCTCTCTGCTCTTCTGTCTCTGTGTCTCCAGGAAACTCAGACATCCCAGGACTCCTGCAGGCACAACACATCCTTACACTGCCCGTACACTGTCCTTACATCATCCTTACACTGTCCGTAGACTGTCCGTACACTGTCCTTACATCATCCTTACACTGTCCGTACACTGTCCTTACACTGTCCGTACACTGTCCTTACATCATCCTTACACTGTCCGTACACTGTCCTTACATCATCCTTACACTGTCCGTAGACTGTCCGTACACTGTCCTTACACTGTCCGTACACTGTCCTTACATCATCCTTACACTGTCCGTACACTGTCCTTACATGATCCTTACACTGTCCTTACATCATCCTTACACTGTCCGTACACTGTCCTTACATCATCCTTACACTGTCCGTACACTGTCCTTACATCATCCTTACACTGTCCGTACACTGTCCTTACATCATCCTTACACTGTCCGTACACTGTCCTTACATCATCCTTACACTGTCCTTACATCATCCTTACACTGTCCGTACACTGTCTGTACACTGTCCTTACATCATCCTTACACTGTCCGTACATTGTCCGTACACTGTCCTTACACTGTCTGTACACTGTCCGTACACTGTCCTTACACTGTCTGTACACTGTCCTTACACTGTCCTTACACTGTCCGTACACTGTCCGTACACTGTCCTTACACTGTCCGTACACTGTCCGTACACTGTCCGTACACTGTCCGTACACTGTCCGTACACTGTCCGTACACTGTCCGTACACTGTCCTTACACTGTCCTTACACTGTCCTTACACTGTCCTTACACTGTCCGTACACTGTCCTTACACTGTCCGTACACTGTCCGTACACTGTCCGTACACTGTCCGTACACTGTCCGTACACTGTCCGTACACTGTCCTTACACTGTCCGTACACTGTCCGTACACTGTCCGTACACTGTCCGTACACTGTCCGTACACTGTCCGTACACTGTCCTTACACTGTCCTTACACTGTCTGTACACTGTCCTTACACTGTCCTTACACTGTCCGTACACTGTCCGTACACTGTCCGTACACTGTCCGTACACTGTCCGTACACTGTCCTTACACTGTCCTTACACTGTCCGTACACTGTCCGTACACTGTCCGTACACTGTCCGTACACTGTCCGTACACTGTCCTTACACTGTCCTTACACTGTCTGTACACTGTCCTTACACTGTCCTTACACTGTCCGTACACTGTCCGTACACTGTCCTTACACTGTCCGTACACTGTCCGTACACTGTCCGTACACTGTCCTTACACTGTCCGTACACTGTCCTTACACTGTCCTTACATCATCCTTACACTGTCCGTACACTGTCCGTACACTGTCCTTACATCATCCTTACTCTCTATTCTCCATGTCCTCCTCCTTCTCACTAACATGTAGAATTCATCTATAAACTCCTCTTTTATAACATTGCTGCAAACATGGTGACTCCTTCTGTTGTCCTCCTCCTCCTCCTGAGATCAGAGAGGAGAAAGAGGAGAAGGAGGAGAAGTTTGTTGTTGTACTTCCTGTGTGTGAACTGTTTGATTCTCTGATCTGTTGTTGTGTTGTTGTCCACAACTTTGTAAAGTCCTCAATATGTCATCAATAATCTTGAATAATCAGTTAATCGCAAACAGCTTTAGCGTTAGCCAGCTGCGTTAGCATAGACAACTCCTCCACACTCCGTATTTTCATTCAGACTCCCGCTGTACCTTTGGCAGATCCGGTTTCCATTTTCCGTAATGACGAATGTGTGTTTCACCGTAGAATCCGCTGTTTAAATCGTGTTTTTAAATATACAGTCTATGGTTATTAACCATTTATTTGAAGAGATTTGATTTTGGCGGCACAGACCGGCAACAGATTATTCCCCCAAACGTAGGTCTGTCAAGGTTCGTCTCCGTGCGAGCTATTCAAGCTAACACATATTAAACAACAAAGTGATAGTTGATATTATTTTTGTAAGTGATGTAATCATATTATTTAAATGTTAAAGTTGTTAATTGAGCCAAGGTTAAACTTTGGGAAAAGTAAGGTGTTAATGCACCAATACTTTGCGTTGGGGAAATATCACGACATTGGGAAGTTCTTACGTTAAAATAATGTTATCAAATTTATCTGTGATAAAATAAACATACAAACGAAAGGAAAAAAACATCTAAAACAACTAAAAAATAAATAATTAACAATAATTGAATTTAATAATATATTTTAGAATTCCTTCATTCAAAGCACCTACGTCATCGGCACAATCCCGGAAGAATAGTTTCAAAACACTCAACACAGTGATCACACGTGAGATTCTTGTAAAGTCGAAATGAGTCCGACTCGAAATCCGTGAATGAAAACTGTGTCATTTCAATGTGTATAGTCGGTTAACTGACGTTTGTGTGAAGTTACGCGGTGTTACGTGTTTAAAAGGTGAAACTGTGGAGCAGCGTGCGAAGGTGAGTCTGACACTTTACCCACTGCCTGAACCCGGAACTGACTGATGGGACTGACCTGGACCATGACCTGGACTTATCCAGGAGTCCAGGACTGATCTGGACCTGTACTACCAGGACTGACCGGGACTGACTGGGACTGACCTGGACTAAACCAGGTCCTGGTCCTGGTCCTGGTCCTTTGTCCGTTGTTCCAACAAACAACACACTTTTGTTTGCAGTAATTGTTCTTAACATTTTTCATGTGGAATTTGTGTCTCATGGACAAAAATATAGTGACCACAGTACACAGACCAGAGAGAGAGAGACCAGAGAGAGAGAGACCAGAGAGAGAGAGACCAGAGAGAGAGAGACCAGAGAGAGAGAGACCAGACAGAGAGAGAGACCAGACAGAGAGAGAGACCAGACAGAGAGAGAGAAAGACACCAGAGAGAGAGAGACCAGAGAGAGAGTCACCAGAGAGAGATCTATATGTAGATGTTATATTTTGTTCTGTTTTCCACAGAACGACTATGGGAACTGGAAGGACATTTATTTATTTGACACAATTCACACAGAACAATGCAGCTCGTTCACAAGCGACGCATCAAACCAGAAGCTCTTTGGTTTGTTCTGAGCTCAGCACGGACCACTTTTTTATATAGCTCTACTTTAGCTCCTTGTTAGCTCCTCATTAGCCCCTCATTAGCCCCTCATTACCTTCTCATTAGCTCCTCATTACCTTCTCATTAGCTCCTCATTAGCTTCCCATTAGCCTCTCATTAGCTCCTTGTTAGCCATGGCCCCGCCCCCTCTCCTCTTCTCGGCTGCAGACTACTCGGTCTTCGCTCTGCTCTTGGCTGCCTCTCTGGCCGTGGGGGTGTACTGCGCCCTCTCTGGGGGGAGGCAGAGGACCACAGGGGAGTTCCTGATGGCCGACCGGAGCATGGGCTGTGTGCCCGTGTCACTGTCGCTGCTCGCCTCCTTCCAGTCGGCCGTGGCGGTGGTCGGCGTCCCGGCCGAGGTGTTCCTGAACGGGACTCAGTATTGGTTCATAGGCTGCGCCTACGTGCTCGGGCTGCTGGGCCCCGCCCACCTTTTCGTACCTTTGCTATACCGTCTGAAGCTGAGGAGCGCACAAGAGGTACGACTGAGACGAAGGTACGACTGAGACGAAGGTACGACTGAGACGAAGGTACGACTGAGACGAAGGTACGACTGCGACGAAGGTACGACTGCGACGAAGGTACGACTGAGACGAAGGTACGACTGAGACGAAGGTACGACTGAGACGAAGGTACGACTGAGACGAAGGTACGACTGAGACGAAGGTACGACTGAGACGAAGGTACGACTGAGACGAAGGTACGACTGAGACGAAGGTACGACTGAGACGAAGGTACGACTGAGACGAAGGTACGACTGAGACGAAGGTACGACTGAGACGAAGGTACGACTGAGACGAAGGTACGACTGAGACGAAGGTACGACTGAGACGAAGGTACGACTGCGACGAAGGTACGACTGCGACGAAGGTACGACTGAGACGAAGGTACGACTGAGACAAAGGTACGACTGAGACGAAGGTACGACTGAGACGAAGGTACGACTGAGACGAAGGTACGACTGAGACGAAGGTACGACTGAGACGAAGGTACGACTGAGACGAAGGTACGGCTGAGACGAAGGTACGACTGAGACGAAGGTACGACTGAGACGAAGGTACGACTGAGACGAAGGTACGACTGAGACGAAGGTACGACTGAGACGAAGGTACGACTGAGACGAAGGTACGGCTGAGACTTTAAAGCTGGGGTCTGTAACTTTAAAGCTTTGTTGAACAAGGTGGTCAGGAGGAGGTGAGGGACAGGAGGCCCCTGGACTCTGTGGAGCAGGGCCTTTATCCCCACCGCTGTCAGACTGTACAACAAGTCACTTTAAGTCACTGCATTAGGACTAAAAACCTGCACTAGTATTGACACTGTTTCTTTGACACTTTTTATTGTACATAATTATCCTGCATTTAACATGTTGCACATTTCTGTCTTTTGCACAATCTGATGTTTCTATCCATGATGTGACATCACAGATCAATAACAGATCAATAACAGATCAATAACACATGAATAACACATGAATAACACATGAATAACACATGTATCCTGTTTCAGTACCTGCAGCTGCGCTTCAGTAAAACAGTCCGAGTCTGTGGCACCGTGGTCTTCATCCTCCAGACCGTCAGTTTGTATCTTCATCATCTCTGTGTTTACAACAAGCAGACATAATAGAGTCACTGCAGACACCATAGAGTCACATTAGACACCATAGAGTCACATCAGACACCATAGAGTCACATCAGACACCATAGAGCCACATCAGACACCATAGAGTCACATCAGACACCATAGAGTCACAGCAGACACCATAGAGTCACATCAGACACCATAGAGCCACATCAGACACCATAGAGTCACATCAGACACCATAGAGCCACATCAGACACCATAGCGTCACTGCAGACACCATAGCGTCACATCAGACACCATAGAGTCACTGCAGACACCATAGAGTCACTGCAGACACCATAGAGTCACTGCAGACACCATAGTCACTGCAGACACCATAGAGTCACAGCAGACACCGTAGTCACTGCAGACATCATAGAGTCACAGCAGACACCATAGTCACATCAGACACCATAGAGTCACATCAGACACCATAGAGTCACAGCAGGCACCATAGAGTCACAGCAGGCACCATAGTCACAGCAGTCACCATAGTCACAGCAGACACCATAGAGTCACATCAGACACCATAGTCACATCAGACACCATAGAGTCACATCAGACACCATAGAGCCACTGCAGACACCATAGCGTCACATCAGACACCATAGAGTCACATCAGACACCATAGAGTCACTGCAGACACCATAGAGTCACTGCAGACACCATAGAGTCACTGCAGACACCATAGAGTCACTGCAGACACCATAGAGTCACTGCAGACACCATAGAGTCACTGCAGACACCATAGAGTCACTGCAGACACCATAGAGTCACTGCAGACACCATAGAGTCACTGCAGACACCATAGTCACTGCAGACATCATAGAGTCACAGCAGACACCATAGTCACAGCAGTCACCATAGAGTCACAGCAGACACCATAGAGTCACAGCAGACACCAGTCACAGCAGACACCATAGTCACATCAGACACCATAGTCACATCAGACACCATAGAGTCACATCAGACACCATAGAGTCACATCAGACACCATAGAGTCACTGCAGACACCATAGAGTCACTGCAGACACCATAGAGCCACTGCAGACACCATAGAGTCACTGCAGACACCATAGAGTCACTGCAGACACCATAGAGTCACTGCAGACACCATAGAGTCACAGCAGACAACATAGAGTCACAGCAGACACCATAGAGTCTCAGCAGACACCATAGAGTCTCAGCAGACACCATAGAGTCACAGCAGACACCATAGAGTCACAGCAGACACCATAGAGTCACAGCAGACACCATAGAGTCACAGCAGACACCATAGAGTCACAGCAGACACCATAGTCACAGCAGACACCATAGAGTCACAGCAGACACCATAGAGTCACAGCAGACAACATAGAGTCACAGCAGACACCATAGAGTCACAGCAGACACCATAGAGTCACAGCAGACACCATAGAGTCACAGCAGACACTATGCAGACACCATAGACTCTATGCAGACACCATAGAGTCACAGCAGACACCATAGAGTCACAGCAGACACCATAGAGTCACATCAGACACCATAGAGTCACATCAGACACCATAGAGTCACAGCAGACACCATAGAGTCACAGCAGACACCATAGAGTCACAGCAGACACCATAGAGTCACAGCAGACACCATAGTGTCTGCTGTGACTCTATGGTCACAGCAGACACTATGCAGACACCATAGACTCTATGCAGACACCATAGAGTCACAGCAGACACCATAGAGTCACAGCAGACAACATAGAGTCACAGCAGACACCATAGAGTCACAGCAGACACCATAGAGTCACAGCAGACAACATAGAGTCACAGCAGACACCATAGAGTCACAGCAGACAACATAGTCACAGCAGACAACATAGTCACAGCAGACACCATAGAGTCACAACAGAGTCACAGCAGACACCATAGAGTCACAGCAGACACCATAGAGTCACAGCAGACACCATAGAGTCACAGCAGACACCATAGAGTCACAACAGAGTCACAGCAGACACCATAGAGTCACAGCAGACACCATAGAGTCACAGCAGACACCATAGAGTCACAGCAGACACCATACAGTCACAGCAGACACCATACAGTCACAGCAGACACTATGCAGACACCATAGAGTCACAGACATCATAGAGTCACAGCAGACACCATTGATGCAGTTGTGTGTCGTTGATGCAGTTGTGTGTCGTTGATGCAGTTGTGTGTAGTTGATGCAGTTGTCTGTCGTTGATGCAGTTGTCTGTCGTTGATGCAGTTGTGTGTAGTTGATGCAGTTGTGTGTCGTTGATGCAGTTGTGTGTGTGCAGGTGGTGTACATGGGAGTGTGTGTCTACACTCCTGCATTTGCTCTAAACACTGGTGAGTATTTACATCTGTCTCTGATGTCTCTCTGATGTCTCTTTGATGTCTCTCTGATGTCTCTTTGATGTCTCTTTGATGTCTCTGATTTCTCTCTGATGTCTCTCTGATGTCTCTTTGATGTCTCTCTGATGTCTCCCTGATGTCTCTGATGTCTCCCTGATGTCTCTCTGATGTCTCCCTGATGTCTCTGATGTCTCACTGATGTCTCCCTGATGTCTCTCCGATGTCTCTGATGTCTCTCTGATTTCTCTCTGATGTCTCTTTGATGTCTCTCTGATGTCTCTTTGATGTCTCTTTGATGTCTCACTGATGTCTCTGATGTCTCTCTGATGTCTCTGATTTCTCTCTGATGTCTCTCTGATGTCTCTTTGATGTCTCTCTGATGTCTCCCTGATGTCTCTGATGTCTCCCTGATGTCTCTCTGATGTCTCCCTGATGTCTCTGATGTCTCACTGATGTCTCCCTGATGTCTCTCTGATGTCTCTGATGTCTCTCTGATTTCTCTCTGATGTCTCACTGATGTCTCTCTGATGTCTCTGATTTCTCTCTGTCTCCCTGATGTCTCCCTGATGTCTCTCTGATGTCTCACTGATGTCTCTCTGATGTCTCTGATTTCTCTCTGATGTCTCCCTGATGTCTCCCTGATGTCTCTCTGATGTCTCTCTGATGTCTCTCTGATGTCACTCTGATGTCACTCTGATGTCTCTCTGATGTCACTCTGACGTCACTCTGATATCTCTCTGATATCTCCCTGATATCTCCCTGATGTCTCTCTGATGTCCCTGATGTCTCTCTGATGTCTCTCTGATGTCTCCCTTATGTCTCTCTGATGTCCCTGATATCTCTCTGATGTCCCTGATGTCCCTGATATCTCTCTGATGTCTCCCTGATGTCTCTCTGATGTCCCTGATGTCCCTGATATCTCTCTGATGTCTCCCTGATATCTCTCTGATGTCCCTGATGTCCCTGATATCTCTCTGATGTCCATGATGTCTCTCTGATGTCTCTCTGATGTCTCCCTGATGTCTCTGATGTCTCTCTGATGTCCATGATGTCTCTCTGATGTCTCTGATTTCTCTCTGATGTCTCCCTGATGTCTCCCTGATGTCTCTCTGATGTCTCTCTGATGTCTCTGATTTCTCTCTGATGTCTCCCTGATGTCTCTCTGATGTCTCTCTGCTGTCTCTCTGATGTCTCTCAGATGTCTCCCTGATGTCTCTCTGATGTCTCTCTGATGTCTCCCTGATGTCTCTGATGCCTCTCTGATTTCTCTCTGATTTCTCACTGATGTCTCTGATGGCTCTCTGATGTCTCTGATTTCTCTCTGATGTCTCACTGATGTCTCTCTGATGTCTCTCTGATGTCTCTCTGATGTCACTCTGATGTCACTCTGATGTCTCTCTTATGTCTCTCTTATGTCTCTCTGATGTCTCTCTGATTTCTCTCTGATGTCTCTGATGTCTCACTGATGTCTCTGATGTCTCTCTCATGTCTCTGATGTCTCTCTGATGTCTCTCTGATGTCTCTCTGATGTCTCTGATGTCTCTCTGATGTCTTTGACGTCTCTTCTACAGTCTCTGGGATAAACCTCTGGACCATTGTACTGTCTACTGGACTGGTCTGCACTGTGTACACAGCACTGGTGAGTCTCTCTCTGGTCTCTCTCTCTGGTCTCTCTCTCTGGTTTCTCTCTGGTCTCTCTCTGGTCTCTCTCTGGTCTCTCTCTCTGGTCTCTCTCTCTGGTCTCTCTCTGGTCTCTCTCTGGTCTCTTTGGTCTCTCTCTCTGGTCTCTCTCTGGTCTCTCTCTGGTCTCTCTCTCTGGTCTCTCTCTGGTCTCTCTCTGGTCTCTCTCTCTGGTCTCTCTCTCTGGTCTCTCTCTCTGGTCTCTCTCTCTGGTCTCTCTGGTCTCTCTCTGGTCTCTCTCTGGTCTCTCTCTCTGGTTTCTCTCTGGTCTCTCTCTGGTCTCTCTCTCTGGTCTCTCTCTCTGGTCTCTCTCTCTGGTCTCTCTCTCTGGTCTCTCTCTCTGGTCTCTCTCTGGTCTCTCTCTGGTCTCTCTGGTCTCTTTGGTCTCTCTCTGGTCTCTCTCTGGTCTCTCTCTCTGGTCTCTCTCTGGTCTCTCTCTGGTCTCTCTCTCTGGTCTCTCTCTCTGGTCTCTCTCTCTGGTCTCTCTCTCTGGTCTCTCTCTGGTCTCTCTCTCTGGTCTCTCTCTGGTCTCTCTCTGGTCTCTCTCTGGTCTCTCTCGGGTCTCCCTCCTCACCTCCTTCTCTCACTTCTCGTCCTTCTTCTCCTCTCTCCCCACCTGCCTCCTCACTTCCCTCTCTCCTCCTCACCTCCCTCTCTCCTCCTCACCTCCCTCTCTCCTCCTCACCTCCCTCTCTCCTCCTCACCTCCCTCTCTCCTCCTTACCTCCTTCTCCTCTCACCCCCTCCTCTCTCCTCCTCAGGGTGGTTTGAAGGCTGTGATCTGGACAGATGTGATCCAGACCCTGGTCATGTTCTCTGGTCAGGTGGCGGTGATTGTTGTGGGCGTGGTCCAAACAGGAGGCGTGCAGGAGGTGTGGAGGAGAGCCTGGGAAGGAGGTCGCATCTCTGGACTGGAGTGAGGAGATCTGAGGCACTATGAAGGAAACTAAATCTGAGGAGCTCACATCTGTTCCTCTCTTCCCTCCCCTCTCTCTCCTCCTCTCATCTCTTCTTTCTCCTCCTCTCTCTCTCATCTCTCTCCTCCTCTCATCTCTCTCCTCCTCTCCTCTCTCTCTCCTCTCCTCTCTCTCTCCTCTCCCTCCTCCTCCCCTCTCCTCTCTCCTCCTCCCCTCTCCTCTCTCAGGCTGGACCCAGACCCCACATTGCGACACTCCTTCTGGTCTCTGGCTCTAGGAGGCGTCTTCCTCATGTGGTCCCTGTACGGAGTCAACCAGTCCCAGGTGCAGAGGTACCTGAGCTCCAAGAGCGAAAAGGAGGCTGTGAGGTGAGGAGGAGGAGGAGGCTGTGAGGTGAGAAGGAGGAGGCCGTGAGGTGAGGAGAAGAAGGGTGAGAAGGAGGAGGAGGAGAGGTGAGGTGAGGAGAAGGAGGGTGAGAAGGAGGAGGCCGTGAGGTGAGGAGAAGGAGGGTGAGAAGGAGGAGCCGTGAGGTGAGGAGAAGGAGGGTGAGAAGGAGGAAGCCGTGAGGTGAGGAGAAGGAGGGTGAGAAGGAGGAGGCCGTGAGGTGAGGAGAAGGAGGGTGAGAAGGAGGAGGCCGTGAGGTGAGGAGAAGGAGGGTGAGAAGGAGGAGGCCGTGAGGTGAGGAGAAGGAGGGTGAGAAGGAGGAGGCCGTGAGGTGAGGAGAAGGAGGGTGAGAAGGAGGAAGCCGTGAGGTGAGGAGAAGGAGGGTGAGAAGGAGGAAGCCGTGAGGTGAGGAGAAGGAGGGTGAGAAGGAGGAGGCCGTGAGGTGAGGAGAAGGAGGGTGAGAAGGAGGAGGCCGTGAGGTGAGGAGAAGGAGGGTGAGAAGGAGGAGGCCGTGAGGTGAGGAGAAGGAGGGTGAGAAGGAGGAGGCCGTGAGGTGAGGAGAAGGAGGGTGAGAAGGAGGAGGCCGTGAGGTGAGGAGAAGGAGGGTGAGAAGGAGGAAGCCGTGAGGTGAGGAGAAGGAGGGTGAGAAGGAGGAAGCCGTGAGGTGAGGAGAAGGAGGGTGAGAAGGAGGAGGCCGTGAGGTGAGGAGAAGGAGGGTGAGAAGGAGGAGGCCGTGAGGTGAGAAGGAGGAGGCCGTGAGGTGAGGAGAAGGAGGGTGAGAAGGAGGAGGCCGTGAGGTGAGGAGAAGGAGGGTGAGAAGGAGGAAGCCGTGAGGTGAGGAGAAGGAGGGTGAGAAGGAGGAAGCCGTGAGGTGAGGAGAAGGAGGGTGAGAAGGAGGAGGCCGTGAGGTGAGAAGGAGGGTGAGAAGGAGGAGGCCGTGAGGTGAGGAGAAGGAGGGTGAGAAGGAGGAAGCCGTGAGGTGAGGAGAAGGAGGGTGAGAAGGAGGAAGCCGTGAGGTGAGGAGAAGGAGGGTGAGAAGGAGGAAGCCGTGAGGTGAGGAGAAGGAGGGTGAGAAGGAGGAAGCCGTGAGGTGAGGAGAAGGAGGGTGAGAAGGAGGAGGCCGTGAGGTGAGGAGAAGGAGGAGGCCGTGTTGTCTGTATTGTCCTTGTGCTCCCCTGTTGTCCCTGTGCTCTTCTGTTATCCCTGTGCTCTCCTGTTGTACCTGTGCTCCCCTGTCGTAGGCCGTGCTCCTCTGTTGTACCTGTGCTGTAGCTGTGCTCCTCTGTTGTACCTGTGCTCCTGTGTTATACCTGTGCTCCCCTGTTGTCCCTGTGCTCCCGTGCTGTACCTGTGCTCCCGTACTGTACCTGTGCTCCCCTGTTGTACCTGTGCTCTTGTGCTGTACCTGTGCTCCCCTGTTGTATCTGTGTTGTACCTGTGCTCCCCTGTTGTACCTGTGCTCCCCTGTTGTACCTGTGCTCCCCTGTTGTCCCTGTGCTCCCCTGTTGTCCCTGTGCTCCCCTGTTGTCCCTGTGCTCCCCTGCTGTCCCTGTGCTCCCGTGCTGTCCCTGTGCTCCCGTGCTGTCCCTGTGCTCCCGTGCTGTACCTGTGCTCCCGTGCTGTACCTGTGCTCCCGTGCTGTACCTGTGCTCCCGTGCTGTACCTGTGCTCCTCGGTTGTACCTGTGCGCCTCTGTTGTACCTGTGCTCTTGTGCTGTACCTGTGCTCCTCTGTTGTACCGGTTGCTCCCCTGTTGTACCTGTGCTCCCGTGCTGTACCTGTGCTCCCCTGTTGTACCTGTGCTCCTCTGTTGTCCCTGTGTTGTACCTGTGCTCCTCTGTTTTCCCTGTGTTGTACCTGTGCTCCCCTGTCGTAGGTCGTGCTCCTCTGTTGTACCTGTGCTGTAGCTGTGCTCCCCTGTTGTACCTGTGCTCCTGTGTTGTACCTGTGCTCCTCTGTTTTCCCTGTGTTGTACCTGTGCTCCCCTGTCGTAGGTCGTGCTCCTCTGTTGTACCTGTGCTGTAGCTGTGCTCCCCTGTTGTACCTGTGCTCCCCTGTTGTCCCTGTGTTGTACCTGTGCTCCCCTGTCGTAGGTCGTGCTCCCCTGTTGTACCTGTGCTCCTGTGTTGTACCTGTGCTCCCCTGTTGTACCTGTGCTCCTATGTTGTACCTGTGCTCTTCTGTTGTACCTGTGCTGTACCTGTGCTCTTCTGTTGTCCCTGTGCTCCCCCATCGTAGGTCGTGCTACATGGCCTTCCCGTCGCTGCAGCTGGCCCTGGGCCTCAGCTGTGTGATGGGGCTCGTGATGTTCGCTCGTTACTGCGGAGAAGATCCTCTGAGCACAGGGACAGGCTCCACCAGGCCTGAGGCGGTCAGTCCCTTTGCTCTAACACACAGGGATCACAGGGACAGGCTCCACCAGGCCTGAGGCAGTCAGTCCCTTTGCTCTAACACACAGGGATCACAGGGACAGGCTCCACCAGGCCTGAGGCAGTCAGTCCCTTTGCTCTCACACACAGGGATCACAGGGACAGACTGAGGCGATCATCTGTCCCTTTGCTCTCACAAAGGGACAGATGATTGGCTCTGAACAGAGCTGTGTTCATCTGTGCCAAAATGTCATGGTTTTGTCTACTCCTGTGAGTGACATCACATGGTCCTATGGTCTCTCCTCACATGGTCCTCAGGTCTCTCACATGGTCCTATGGTCTCTCCTCACATGGTCCTCTGGTCTCTCCTCACATGGTCCTCTGGTCTCTCCTCACATAGCCCTCTGGTCTCTCACATGGTCCTCTGATCTCTCCTCACATGGTCCTCTGATCTCTCCTCACATGGTCCTCTGGTCTCTCCTCACATGGTCCTATGGTCTCTCCTCACATGGTCCTCTGGTCTCTCCTCACATGGTCCTCTGGTCTCTCCTCACATAGCCCTCTGGTCTCTCACATGGTCCTCTGATCTCTCCTCACATGGTCCTCTGATCTCTCCTCACATGGTCCTCTGGTCTCTCCTCAGATGGTCCTGTTCTTCGTCATGGACATGCTGAGGGGGCTTCCTGGACTACCTGGTCTCTTTGTGGCCTGTCTGTTCAGCGCCACGCTCAGGTATGTTGTTGGTTTCCTCCTGGTGCTCCTCACCATGTCCTCTCTCTCCTCCTCAACACCTCCTCATGTCTCCTCCTCTCTCCTCCGCACCATCTCCTTTGCCTTTAACTCTTTGGCCGCTGTGACGGTAGAGGACCTCCTCTCTCTCTCCTCCTCAGCACCTCATGTCTCCTCCTCAGCACCTCCTCATGTGTCCTCATGTCTCCTCCTCAGCACCTCCTCATGTGTCCTCATGTCTCCTCCTCAGCACCTCCTCCTCTCTCCTCCTCAGCACCTCCTCATGTCTCCTCCTCTCTCCTCCTCAGCACCTCCTCATGTGTCCTCATGTCTCCTCCTCAGCACCTCCTCCTCTCTCCTCCTCAGCACCTCCTCATGTCTCCTCCTCAGCACCTCCTCATGTTTCCTCCTCTCTCCTCCTCAGCACCTCCTCATGTCTCCTCCTCTCTCCTCCTCAGCACCATCTCTTCTGCCTTGAACTCTTTGGCCGCTGTGACGATGGAGGATCTGATCAAACCACAGTTTCCTCTGATGAGCGACCGACGAGCAACACACCTGAGCAAAGGCCTGGGTCTGACACACAAAACACACACACAATAGACACACACCTGAGCAAAGGCCTGGGTCTGACACACAAAACACACAATACACAATAGACACACACCTGAGCAAAGGCCTGGGTCTGACACACAAAACACACAATACACAATAGACACACACCTGAGCAAAGGCCTGGGTCTGACACACAAAACACACAATACACAATAGACACACACCTGAGCAAAGGCCTGGGTCTGACACACAAAACACACAATACACAATAGACACACACCTGAGAAAAGGCCTGGGTCTGACACACAAAATCCACAATAGACACACCTGAGCAAAGGCCTGGGTCTGACGCACAAAACACACAATACACAATAGACACACACCTGAGCAAAGGCCTGGGTCTGACACACAAAACACACAATACACAATAGACACACACCTGAGCAAAGGCCTGGGTCTGACACACAAAACACACAACACACAATAGACACACACCTGAGCAAAGGCCTGGGTCTGACACAACAAAACACACAATACACAATAGACACACACCTGAGCAAAGGCCTGGGTCTGACACACAACACACAATAGACACACACTTGAGAAAAGGCCTGGGTCTGACACACAAAACACACAATAGACACACACCTGAGCAAAGGCCTGGGTCTGACACACAAAACACACAACACACAATAGACACACACCTGAGCAAAGGCCTGGGTCTGACACACAAAACACACAATACACACAATAGACACACACCTGAGCAAAGGCCTGGGTCTGACACACAAAACACACAATACACAATAGACACACACCTGAGCAAAGGCCTGGGTCTGACACACAAAACACACAATAGACACACACCTGAGCAAAGGCCTGGGTCTGACACACAAAACACACAACACACAATAGACACACACCTGAGCAAACCTGGGTCTGACACACAAAACACACAACACACAATAGACACACACCTGAGCAAAGGCCTCGGTCTGACACACAAAACACACAACACACAATAGACACACACCTGAGCAAAGGCCTGGGTCTGACACACAAAACACACAATAGACACACACCTGAGCAAAGGCCTGGGTCTGACACACAAAACACACAATAGACACACACCTGAGCAAAGACCTGGGTCTGACACACAAAACACACAACACACAATAGACACACACCTGAGCAAAGGACTGGGTCTGACACACACAACACACAATAGACACACACCTGAGCAAAGGCCTGGGTCTGACACACAAAACACACAATAGACACACACCTGAGCAAAGACCTGGGTCTGACACACAAAACACACAACGCACAATAGACACACATCTGAGCAAAGGCCTGGGTCTGACACACAAAACCCACAATACACACAATAGACACACACCTGAGCAAAGGACTGGGTCTGACACACAAAACACACAATAGACACACACCTGAGAAAAGGCCTGGGTCTGACACACAAAACACACAATACACAATAGACACACACCTGAGCAAAGGCCTGGGTCTGACACACAAAACACACAATACACAATAGACACACACCTGAGAAAAGGCCTGGGTCTGACACACAAAACACACAATACACAATAGACACACACCTGAGCAAAGGCCTGGGTCTGACACACAAAACACACAATAGACACACACCTGATCAAAGGCCTGGGTCTGACACACAAAACACACAACACACAATAGATACACACCTGTGCAAAGGCCTGGGTCTGACACACAAAACACACAACACACAATAGACACACACCTGTGCAAAGGCCTGGGTCTGACACACAAAACACACAACACACAATAGACACACACCTGAGCAAAGGCCTGGGTCTGACACACAAAACACACAATAGACACACACTATAAACAAACAACCTAAACTAAATTGTGTGTGTGTGTCTGTGTCTGTGTGTGTGTGTGTGTGTGTGTGTGTCTGTGTGTGTCTGTCTGTCTGTGTTTGTGTGTGTCCACAGCGGTGTTCTTTGGTCTCCTGTGTGTCCTCATGGCCTGTGTCACTCACCTGATGGGAGACTCTGTGCTGCTGGTACGACTCCAGACCAGAGAGAGAGACCAGAGAGAGAGACCAGAGAGAGAGAGACCAGAGAGAGAGAGACCAGAGAGAGAGACCAGAGAGAGAGAGACCAGAGAGAGAGAGACCAGAGAGAGAGACCAGAGAGAGAGAGACCAGAGAGAGAGAGACCAGAGAGAGAGACCAGAGAGAGAGAGACCAGAGAGAGAGAGACCAGAGAGAGAGAGACCAGAGAGAGAGACCAGAGAGAGAGAGACCAGAGAGAGAGAGACCAGAGAGAGAGAGACCAGAGAGAGAGAGACCAGAGAGAGAGAGACCAGAGAGAGAGAGAGACCAGAGAGAGAGACCAGAGAGAGAGACCAGAGAGAGAGACCAGAGAGAGAGACCAGAGAGAGAGAGACCAGAGAGAGAGAGACCAGAGAGAGAGACCAGAGAGAGAGACCAGAGAGAGAGACCAGAGAGAGAGAGACCAGAGAGAGAGACCAGAGAGAGACCTAGAAATCCTTAAAACACTCACTGTGCTGTTTTGACGTGTTCTTCCTGCAGGTGGCGCTGAAGGTCTTTGGGATGGTCGGGGGTCCAGTCCTCGGGCTCTTCTGCCTCGGAATGTTCTTCCCCTGGGCCAACTCCACAGTAAGAGAGACCAGAGGGGGAGACCAGAGGGGGAGACCAGAGGGAGAGACCAGAGGGAGAGACCAGAGGGAGAGACCAGAGGGAGAGACCAGAGGGAGAGACCAGAGGGAGAGACCAGAGGGAGAGACCAGAGGGAGAGAGACCAGAGGGAGAGAGACCAGAGGGAGAGAGACCAGAGGGAGAGAGACCAGAGGGAGAGAGACCAGAGGGAGAGAGACCAGAGGGAGAGAGAGTACTCTCCTTTCTCCACAGGGGGCAGTGTGGGGCCTGGGTGCAGGCCTGGGACTCTCCTTCTGGGTCGGTGTGGGCAGCATCCTGAGCCGGACTCCAGGTCCCAGGACTCTGCTGTCAGAGTGTGGCTCCAAGAACTCCTCTGGGACCTCTGTGGCTCTCAGGTACTAAAGCTGTCTGAATAACACATGTTTAAAGCTCAGGTCTGTAACTTTAGTCTGAATAACACATGTTTAAAGCTCAGGTCTGTAACTTTAGTCTAAATAACACATGTTTAAAGCTCAGGTCTGTAACTTTAGTCTAAATAACACATGTTTAAAGCTCAGGTCTGTAACTTTAGTCTGAATAACACATGTTTAAAGCTCAGGTCTGTAACTTTAGTCTGAATAACACATGTTTAAAGCTCAGGTCTGTAACTTTAGTCTGAATAACACATGTTTAAAGCTCAGGTCTGTAACTTTAGTCTGAATAACACATGTTTAAAGCTCAGGTCTGTAACTTTAGTCTGAATAACACATGTTTAAAGCTCAGGTCTGTAACTTTAGTCTAAATAACACATGTTTAAAGGGGGCCTCAGTGTAGAATCTAACGACACCAACAATATTTAAATTATGTTAGAGACCTTAGAGGGTTAGAGACCTTAGAGGGTAAGAGACCTTAGAGGGTTAGAGACCTTAGAGGGTTAGAGACCTTAGAGGGTTAGACCTTAGAGGGTTAGAGACCTTAGAGTGTTAGACCTTAGAGGGTTAGAGACCTTAGAGGGTAAGAGACCTTAGAGGGTTAGAGACCTTAGAGGGTTAGAGACCTTAGAGGGTTAGACCTTAGAGGGTTAGAGACCTTAGAGTGTTGATCATCATCATACAGTTTTTTATAAAGAGGGAGAATATGAAAGGACCAAGGACAGATCCTTGGGGGACCCCTAGTGAAAGTGGATGTCACACCATTGACCACAGACCCTGGTTGTCAGTCCGAGGGGGGTGTGGCGAGTCTGAGGGGGCGTGGCGAGTTAATGGGGTGTGGTGAGTGAGGGGGCGTGGCGAGTTAATGGAGTGTGGTGAGTGAGGGGGCGTGGCCAGTTAATGGGGTGTGGCGAGTGAGGGGGCGTGGCCAGTTAATGGGGTGTGGTGAGTGAGGGGGCGTGGCCAGTTAATGGGGTGTGGCGAGTGAGGGTCGTGGCCAGTTAATGGGGTGTGGCGAGTGAGGGGGCGTGGCCAGTTAATGGGGTGTGGCGAGTCTGAGGGGGCGTGGCCAGTTAATGGGGTGTGGCGAGTCTGAGGGGGCATTGTCAGAAGACCCATGTAATTATGTTGAGACTTTTTACTGTCTAAAAACTGTGTCTGTGTGTGTGTATCTGTGCGTGTTTGTGTGTGTATCTGTGCGTGTTTGTGTCTGTGTGTGTATCTGTGCGTGTTTGTGTCTGTGTGTGTGTATCTGTGCGTGTTTGTGTGTGTGTGTCTGTGTGTGTATCTGTGTGTGTTTGTTTGTGTGTGCGTGTTTGTGTGTGTGTGTGTATCTGTGCGTGTTTGTGTGTCTGTGTGTGCGTGTTTGTGTGTGTGTGTGTGTCTGTGATTCTGTGCGTGTCTGTATCTGTGTGGGTATCTGTATCTGTGCGTATCTGTATCTGTGTGCGTGTCTGTGTGTGTGTGTGTGTATCTGTGCGTGTCTGTGTGTGTATCTGTGTGTGTGTGTGTGTAGATCAGGTCTGCAGAGGTTCTACTCTCTCTCCTACATGTGGTACAGTGGATTCTCCTGCTTCAGCGTCATCATCATCGGCCTCATAATCAGCTTCTGTACAGGTGAGAGAGACCAGAGAGAGACCAGAGTGAGAGACCAGAGTGAGAGACCAGAGTGAGAGACCAGAGTGAGAGACCAGAGTGAGAGACCAGAGTGAGAGACCAGAGAGTGAGAGACCAGAGAGTGAGAGACCAGAGAGTGAGAGACCAGAGTGAGAGAGACCAGAGTGAGAGACCAGAGTGAGAGAGACCAGAGTGAGAGAGACCAGAGTGAGAGAGACCAGAGTGAGAGAGACCAGAGTGAGAGAGACCAGAGTGAGAGAGACCAGAGTGAGAGAGACCAGAGTGAGACCAGAGTGAGAGAGACCAGAGTGAGAGAGACCAGAGTGAGAGAGACCAGAGTGAGAGAGACCAGAGTGAGAGAGACCAGAGTGAGAGAGACCAGAGTGAGAGAGACCAGAGAGAGAGAGACCAGAGAGAGAGAGACCAGAGAGAGAGAGACCAGAGTGAGAGAGACTGGATTCTCCTGCTTCAGCGTCATCATCATCGGCCTCATAATCAGCTTCTGTACAGGTGAGAGAGACCAGAGAGAGAGACCAGAGTGAGAGACCAGAGTGAGAGACCAGAGTGAGAGACCAGAGTGAGAGACCAGAGTGAGAGACCAGAGTGAGAGACCAGAGTGAGAGACCAGAGTGAGAGACCAGAGTGAGAGACCAGAGTGAGAGACCAGAGTGAGAGACCAGAGTGAGAGACCAGAGTGAGAGACCAGAGTGAGAGACCAGAGTGAGAGAGACCAGAGTGAGAGAGACCAGAGTGAGAGAGACCAGAGTGAGAGAGACCAGAGTGAGAGAGACCAGAGTGAGAGAGACCAGAGTGAGAGAGACCAGAGTGAGAGAGACCAGAGTGAGAGAGACCAGAGTGAGAGAGACCAGAGTGAGAGAGACCAGAGTGAGAGAGACCAGAGTGAGAGACCAGAGTGAGAGACCAGAGTGAGAGACCAGAGTGAGAGACCAGAGTGAGAGACCAGAGTGAGAGACCAGAGTGAGAGACCAGAGTGAGAGAGACCAGAGTGAGAGAGACCAGAGAGAGAGACCAGAGAGAGAGACCAGAGTGAGAGACCAGAGTGAGAGACCAGAGTGAGAGACCAGAGTGAGAGACCAGAGTGAGAGACCAGAGTGAGAGACCAGAGTGAGAGACCAGAGTGAGAGACCAGAGTGAGAGACCAGAGTGAGAGACCAGAGTGAGAGACCAGAGTGAGAGACCAGAGTGAGAGACCAGAGAGAGAGACCAGAGAGTAAGTGTGTGATGGTCATAACCAGTGACATGTTGCTGGTCCATGTTCAGGTCTAATGAAGGAGGAGGATGTGGCTCCTGGGACCCTGGTTCCTCTGTTTGGGAAACTCCTGGTTCCTGAAGGCGTCAGACACCAACGAACGGTGAGACTGAAGTTACACACCCGAGCTTTAACTCATGAGTTTATGGTCTGTTCACTTGGTTGGTCGTTATTTATAGTGTTTATGGTTCTAATGTTGTGGTTTTGTGACTGTTATTGACATGAATATAGCGCCACCTCCTGGATATGTGAGTGTGTGTGTTTCTGTGTATCTGTGTGTGTCTATTTTTGTGTGTACATTCAGAGTAAACCATACTGTGTGGATGGTTGTGTTTCAGAAGGAGACCCCACAGTCTGAGGAGAACAAGACTTTTCTGCCTGAACCTGAAGCTTCGTACACGGAACATGAGACCAGTGTGTGACAGAGACCGGACCGGACCAGGCCAGACTGGACCAGGCCAGACTGGACCAGGCCAGACTGGACCAGGCCAGACTGGACCAGGCCAGGCCGGACCAGGCCAAACGGGACGGGACCGGACCAGACATACACAAAGTGATCTTCCTCCATCACAGACTGTGGAGAGGACCGGGGCTACAGGGAAACTGGAGACTGCGTTTTGACCAGAGCTCGTGTGTCAGCCGCTGCTCACGGGTCCATAGCACTTCTCAGGGACCGTGTGGATCAGAGATTGTGCTGAGACTGAAGTATTTACACTTTTGTATTAAAGACTTTTGTACAAATCAGTTCAATGTTTTTGTGTCTCGCTGTAGACCCAGGACCAGGACTGTAGACCCAGCTCCAGGACCAGGACTGTAGACCCAGGACCGGGACTGTAGATCCAGGACCAGGACTGTAGACCCAGGACCAGGACTGTAGACCCAGCTCCAGGACCAGGACTGTAGACCCAGGACCGGGACTGTAGATCCAGGACCAGGACTGTAGACCCAGGACCGGGACTGTAGACCCAGGACCGGGACTGTAGACCCAGGACCGGGACTGTAGACCCAGGACGGAGGCTGTAGACCCAGGACCGAGGCTGTAGACCCAGGACTGAGGATAACCCTTTGATCTAAAGATGTGACATCACAAATACGTGATGTGAAACTAGTGACCGTCAGAACTAGGTTTAATAGAGTTCTATTGGTCTGAAAGTTACAGACCTCAGCTTTAAGTGTCATAATGAGACACAGACGTCACCGGCGTTTATCTGCTCTGATAAAAACTGATGGGAACGTGGCAGCTGCAAAACTCCAGAGAAAGACCAGAGGGGGAGACCAGAAAGAGACCAGAGACATACCAGAGAGAGAGACCAGAGACATACCAGAGGGAGAGACCAGAGAGAGAGACCAGAGACATACCAGAGGGAGAGATCAGAGACATACCAGAGGGAGAGATCAGAGAGAGACCAGAGCACACAATGGAGACTGAGGAATGGGAAAAGCAGAAACTGATGGACGTTCAGCTGGAGCCGACCTCACGGTGAGAATGACTGATCAAACGTCTGCACTTGTATCAGAAAGTTCCAGAGAGCGATAGTTTCACTTTAGGTTAGGGTGGAGGAGCTGAAACATCTCTCCTGGTAACTATGGAAACTATGGTATAAGTCTCATTCTTGTCGAAGTTTAGTCATAATTCCTCTTTTATTCCTGAAACATGAACATGAAACAAAATCTGTCCAAAGTTCCACATCTGGTCTCTCTCTGGTCTCTGATCTCTCTCTGGTCTCTCTCTGGTCTCCCTCTGGTCTCTCTCTGATCTCTCTCTGGTCTCCCTCTGGTCTCCCCCTCTGGTCTCTCTCTCTGGTCTCTCCCTGGTCTCTCTCTGGTCTCCCTCTGGTCTCTCTGATCTCCCTCTGGTCTCTCCCTGGTCTCTCTGATCTCTCTCTGGTCTCTCTCTGGTCTGTAAGAGAGAGTGATGACCATAAGTAAAGCCATGTCCTCCTTCAGTCTCGGCTCTTCGGAGGAAGCCCCCTGGGACTCGGACTCGGAAAATTCTGAGCCCAGCTGGTCCCAGAGAGGAGTGTGTCCGGATCTGGACCAGGACCAGGACCAAGACCGGGCCAGAGCTCAGAGGAAGCTGCTGCTGGCCGGAGCTGTGGGGATTCTGTTCACAATCGCCGAGGCTGTGGGTGAGCAGCAGCTGTAGTCCGAGCTCCTCTTCTCCTTCCAAGCGGAGGAGCAGCAGCTGTACTCTGAGCTAGGGCTGCACAATTAACCAAATCAAAAGAATCTTCTCATTCTCATTTCTAAATCTGGCCTCTCTGGTCTCTCTCTGGTCTCTCCCTGGTCTCTCTGGTCTCTCTCTGGTCTCTCTCTGGTCTCTCTCTCTTCTCGGTCTCTCTTTGGTCTCTCTCTGGAGGAGCAGCGGCTGTACTCTGAGCTCCCTGTCCTGTAGGAGGGTACCTGTCCCAGAGTCTGGCCGTGCTCTCTGACTCCGCCCACCTCCTCAGTGACGTGTGCAGCGTGGGACTCTCTCTCTTCTCCCTCTGGATCTCCTCTCGATCGCCCACAGACACCATGACATTTGGATGGCACAGGGCAGGTACGGCTACGGCTGCAGGACCTCACATTACAGCTGTGTTGGGACCTCACATTACACCTGTATTAGTAAGTAAGTAAGTAATGTAGTAAGTAAGTAAGTAATGTTTATTTATATACCGCCTTTCACAGACAATGGTCACAAAGCGGTTTACAATTGCTATTATTTTCTTGGGCATTTGTCTCTCACTCCACACAGAGATGGAGCGGGGTCGCCAGTACAGGAGGCGCATGCCAGATCTATTGTACATATTTTTAGTGGTAGGGGAAACCAGAGCACCCGGAGGAAACCTACGCAGACACGGGGAGAACATGCAAACTCCACTCAGAAAGGCCCTGGTCCGACCGGGATTCGAACCCAGGACCTTCTTGCTGAGAGGCGAGAGTGCTAGCCACTCAGCCACCGTGCCGTTTATTACAGACCTCTCATTACACCTGTGTTACAGACCTCACATTACACCTGTGTTACAGACCTCACATTACACCGGTGTTCTCACATTACACCTGTGTTACAGACCTCACATTACACCTGTGTTCTCACATTACACCTGTGTTACAGACCTCACATTACACCTGTGTTACAGACCTCGCATTACAACTGTGTCACAGACCTCACATTACACCTGTGTTACAGACCTCACATTACACCTGTGTAAAGACCTCACATTACACCTGTGTCACAGACCTCACATTACACCTGTGTCAAGACCTTACATTACACCTGTGTCAGAGACCTCACATTACAACTGTGTCACAGACCTCACATTACACCTGTGTTACAGACCTCACATTACACCTGTGTTACAGACCTCACATTACACCTGTGTAAAGACCTCACATTACACCTGTGTAAAGACCTTACATTACACCTGTGTTAGAGACCTCACATTACACCTGTGTAAAGACCTTACATTACACCTGTGTAAAGACCTTACATTACACCTGTGTAAAGACCTTACATTACACCTGTGTAGAGGTGCTGGCCGTGCTGGTGTCCCTCCTCTCTCTGTGGGGGGTCACTCTGGTCCTCCTTTGGTCTGCAGGCCTCAGACTGAGACACGACTTCAGCCTCGACTCTAGGATCATGCTCCTGACGTCGTCCTGCGCCGTCTGCGTCAACCTTCTGTGAGTTAGAGCTGCTGATTTTGACTAAAGTTACAGACCTGAGCTTTAAACATGTGTTATTCAGACTAAAGTTACAGACCTGAGCTTTAAACATGTGTTATTCAGACTAAATTTGTGTAAGCTCTCAGTCGTACAGGGATTAGTCAAAGCAAAGGAAGGTTTCTCACCCATCATCTGTACTTCTTAGCAAGTTTTCCCTTTTGATTTTCTCCAACCCGCGTGCCAAGACCAGGGCGTCTCTCCCAAAGTTGGCAACGATAAGTTTGTGTAAGCTCTCAGTCGTACAGGGATTAGTCAAAGCAAAGGAAAACTTGCTAAGAAGTACAGATGATGGGTGAGAAACCTTCCTTTGCTTATTCAGACTAAAGTTACAGACCTCAGCTTTTAACATGTGTGTCCTCAGAATGGTGTGTATCCTGCATCAGGGTTCTGCTCACACACACTCTCACGGCTCGGTGTGGGGTCAGAGAGGTCCCCACACACACGGTCCGGGTCCAGGTCCAAGTCTGGGTCCTGACCGGTCCAACTGCAGCGTGAGGGCAGCCTTCGTGCACGTGTTGGGGGACCTCCTGCAGAGTCTGGGGGTCCTGCTGGCGGCGGTTGTGATCCACGTCTGGGTGAGTGGATTCATGAATCTGTGTGTGTTAATGTTGTTGTTGTGTGTGTGAGTGTATCTGTGTGCTAGTGTGTGTGTTTGTAAATGTGTATGTGTGTGTCTGTGTGTGTAATGTATGTTATTGTGTGTGTGTGTGTAGATAAGTATTTTGTTGTCAGACACGAGGGTCTGAAATTGGTTTGTCCTGTTTGTGTAATCACACACAGACAGGACATTTAACACACCCACAGACATGACATTTAACACACACACACAAACAGTGCATTAAACACACACAGACAGGACATTTATCACACACACACAAACAGGGCATTAAACACACACACACACACACACATACAGGACATTTAACACACACACAAACAGGACATTTAACACACACACACAGACAGGACATTAAACACACAAAAAGAGATAACTGTCATTATGGGGAATGTGTGTGTGAACTGTCATTGCAAGGACCATGTGTTTAAGGTGCCGTAGTGGGGACTGTGTGTGTTAACTGTCATTGTGGGGGCTGTGTGTTTTCCAGCCTCAATACAAAGTTGCCGACCCCCTCTGCACCTTCCTCTTCTCGGCTCTGGTTTTATGGACCACGATTCCCGTCTTCAGAGACGTCCTCAGAGTCCTCATGGAAGGTAATCTCTCTGCATTAGTATGAAGACATCACTGACACCCATTGAAAGTCTTTTAAAGGACATGTTTTCATGTGAGTCTTTCTACTCGTTCCAACACTGAACAGCTGTGTTCAGACCAAGCACTGGGCAGGTGTTTGTTTAAATACATAAAGAATAAATGAGCTGAAAACGCAACCACTAACAACCTAGAACTATTGATGTACATACTTTGGTTTGTATGATTTTTACTTTTTCAAGGACAGTGTTCAAAAAACATTAGTCAAGAGGAGAGATGCATTGTACCAGGCTGTAGCAGAAATGCTAATTTACACCTTTTAAATGTGAAAAGCAGTGTATAAAAGTGATGTGTGTGTTTCTGTGTGTGTGTGTGTTGCAGCGACTCCTCCGCACATAGACCTGACTCATCTCCGTGAGCTGCTCCTCAGTCTCCACGGCGTCACTTCTGTTCACAGCCTCAGAGTCTGGAGCCTGAGTCCAGGATGCCCCCTGCTGTCTGTGCACATCACTGCAGGTGAGGACTGGGCTTCAGCACACAAGACCTGGTCCAGACCCGGTTCAGACCTGGACCAGGGCTGTGGTCAGACGAGACCAAACACTGACTTTTGAGGCCAAATAAAAAACACTGTTTGGAAAACTATCACTGGTCGTCACTCTGCTCACAGCATCCTCAGTGTCAGTGGTGGGGGCAGCATCCTGCTGTGGAGCTGCTTTTCTTCAGCATGGACAGGGAAGAGGGTCCGATTATGGGATCATAAGTAGCTATGATGTGTTTGAATAACTTTTAATATGATCATACAAATGTGTCTCCAGAGGAGCTCAGACCAAAGCCGCTGCTCATGTGTGTGTTTGCAGAGGAGCTCAAAGTAGAGCCGCTGCTCATGTGTGTGTTTGCAGAGGGGGGGTCCGACTCTCAGCTTGTCCTGAGGAGCTGCACGGATCTTCTGCTGTCGGAGTTTCACTTCAGACACATCACTGTCCAAGTGGAGAAGAACCAGGACCAGGACTAAGACCAGATTAATGAGACTAAAGTTACAGACCCCAGCTTTAAAAAAAATTTATTTATGAGACTAAAGTTACAGACCTCATCTTTATTACATTGTTCAACTGTTCCAAAATAAAACAATTCAAGCAGCAACAAATTGAGTAACATTTATTGAAACATCACATTCTGCACCAGCTGTTTTTGGACCAAGAACATGTCCCTGTTCCACAGACTATATGTGAGGAGTGTGACATCTGTGTGACATTACCATAGGCTTAGTCCCCAGTAGTCCTGGTCGGTGCCCTCTCACACAGGTCCCCAATAGTCCTGGTCGGTGCCCTCTCACACAGGTCCCCAATAGTCCTGGTAGATGCCCTCTCACACAGGTCCCCAGTAGTCCCAGTAGGTGCCCTCTCACACGGGTCCCCAGAAGTCCCGGTAGATGCCCTCTCACACAGATCCCCAGTAGTCCCAGTAGGTACCTCCTCACACAGGTGCCCAGAAGTCCCGGTAGTAGCTCTCACACAGGTCCCCAGTAGTCCCGGTAGGTGCTCTGGAACATGTCCTTGCACTGGATCTTGGCCCTGAGTTTGGCGCAGATGAGGAAGGCCCCTCCCATCTTGCGGTGCAGGGAGTAGGTCTCCTCTGGGGGCGGAGTCAGCCTCTGGTGGAGCATTGTGGGGATGAGGCGGTGGATCCGCTCCGTCGTGCTCTGGGCGCCAAAGTCAAAAGGCGCAGACGAAGAGAAGGCCTCGCCGAGGATCATGACGGCGTCTACGTGAGCACGCTCCATCGACTGCACAGGACACAGCGTCACCCTCTGGTCAGACTTGTACATCTACAGGGGTCTCTACATGCTGAGGCCAGAGAGAGACCAGAGAGAGACCAGAGACAGACCAGAGAGAGAGACCAGAGAGATACAAGAGAGAGAGACCAGGGAGAGACTCTGATGGACAGACCTTGGTCTCGAATCCTGTGAGAAACCTCATCTCTCTGGACTTGAGCAGGACTCGGTCTCGGTCCTGATCCGCCGCTGCTTTGATCACCTTTAACAAACACACGTCTCATCTGTCATTCCAGTCGTCTCTTAATCCACTTTTACTCCTCACCTCAATGTACGCATCTGTGAAGCTTTTGTCAAAACCTCGAGACGCTCCGAAGTCCAACAGATACACCTGCAGGGAGGGGAGGGGGGGAGGGGGGGAGGGGGGGAGGAGAGGAGAGAGGAAGGGGGAGAGGGCAAGGGAGGTGAGAGAGGAGAATCACCAGTTAAGAACCACTGTTGTTTGTTAGTCCCAGGGATAATGTATAGTACACAGGTCATTATTGGAAAATGAGTACCGACAGGGCGAAGCGGACCCCGACGGGTCAGGGTTCGAATCCCACCGGGAGCACATTAACACCAACATCCAGTGTGGGTCCTTAGGCAAGACCCTTAATGCTGCTGCCTAACTCATAACCATGAAGGCACAAATAACCAATGAGATGCCGGCTCAGACTTCGCCCGGCCAAACATGGTCTGCGTCAGGTGCTGGGGAACCAGAGCACCTTGATGAAAAGTGGGCTACTGGGACAAGACGAAAGTGGGCAAGATGCAATAACAGGGCTCTGTTGGAATGCTACTACTCGAGTAACCCTGGCCAAAGAGGTTACATGCAGAGAATGTGAGCTGAATGGTTACTTCGAAACCCACAGTCACAGTTGACCCCAAAACAACTGGTAGCTTAATGCTCTAACATCCACCAACGGCAACTGCTCTCACAGCTGGAGATCGATGAGGTCCAACACATGTATGATGAGGTAAAACACATGTATGAGGCCACAGATGCCGAGGTCAGATATTGGGTACATAGCCCCAATGGAACCGATAACGCTGAAGGAGGCAGCGACTGACCTGAAAGCTAAGATCATGGCTAGAATGGGCACAGGGCAAAGACACCGGTTACAGCGGTTGCGTGAAGTACCTCCTAAAGATCTCATAGAAAGTGTGAACGCAGCAAACGATACCTACCACCACAATCACTGAAACCAATGAGCTGATATACACTTCAGCAGCAGTGATCCTAGAGATGCTCGGCTATAAGAGCAACCATGGACAATACCCACCATGGAAAAGACGGTTGGAGGCTAAGATCAAGGCGGCTCGGAGAGAAGTGAGTCAATTAACAAAGGCCCAAAGAGGTGCAATGAAAAGACCAGTACCCAGAAAGTACAGCCAGATGACCATACCTGAAGCACTCGAAACTGCCAAACAAAGGCTCCAAGCCCTGGCCAGCCGCCTACAGAGGTACCCTAAAGAGAATGAAGAGTAAACAGGCTGTTCGCAACACAACCTGCGAAGGTGTACGCTCAGTGGCAGGGTAACAACAGGGGAGCGGACCCACCGAGGCTGGAAACTGAACAGTTCTGGAAAAACATATGGGAGAAGGATGCAGCACATAACAGAAGTGCACAATGGCTGGTGTCCCTGAGAGAGGAGCACAGCCACCTCCCAGAACAGAACTTAGTTACCATCACAGAGGCAGACATCCGAGAAAGAGTCTCAGGTATGAAAAACTGGACAGCACCTGGCCCTGATATGGTCCATGCCTACTGGCTAAGGACACTCACATCACTCCATGAGCGCCTATCAGCACAAATGAACCAGCTGCTGAGAGATGGGACTCACCCAGAATGGCTAACCGAAGGGCGAACGGTCCTGATCATGAAGGACCCTGTCAAGGGTGCAGTCCCCTCCAACTACCGGCCAATAACCGGTCTCTCCACAACATGGAAGCTCATGTCAGGCATCATTGCGGCTAAGATAAGTGGGCATATGGAACAATTCATGAGCACAGCACAGAAGGGCATTGGTAGAGACACCAGAGGAGCCAAACACCAGCTCCTGGTTGACAGAACAGTCGCCCAAGACTGCCGGTCACGACACACCAACCTGTGCACAGCCTAGATTGATTACCAGAAAGCCTACGACTCAATGCCACACACATGGATCATGGAATGCTTGAAGTTGTACAATATCAACAGGGCTCTAAGGGACTTCGTTGCAAACTCGATGGGGATGTGGAAGACCACCCTTGAGGCAAATGGCAAGCCGCTCGCACAAGTGACCATCAAATGTGGTATCTACCAAGGAGATGCTCTGTCCCCACTACTGTTCTGCATAGGCCTCAACCCTCTAAGCCAAGTAATTGACCAGACTGGCTATGGATACCGCCTCAGGAACGGAGCAAAGATCAGTCACCTCCTCTACATGGATGACATCAAGCTGTACGCCAAGAGCGAGAGAGACATCGACTCTCTGATCCAAACAACCAGGATCTACAGCCATGACATCGGCATGTCATTCGGGCTCGAGAAATGTAGCAGGATGGTGACTCGGAGAGGCAAGGTAGTCCACACAGAAGGGATCTCACTCCCAGAGGGAACAATAGCAGACGTTGAGGACAGTTACAAGTATCTCGGTATACCACAGGCAAATGGCAACCTCGAACAGGTGACGAGGAAAGCGGCAACTGCCAAATACCTCCAGCGAGTAAGGCAGGTCCTAAGAAGCCGGCTCAATGGCAAGAACAAGGCCCGGGCAATTAACAGCTACGCCCTGCCAGTGATCAGATACCCTGCAGGAATAATCAGGTGGCCAAAGGAAGCGATTCAGACCACGGATGTTAAAACTCGAAAGCTCCTTACCATGCATGGCGGGTTCCATCCCAAATCCAGCACCCTGAGACTGTACGTAAGCCGTAAAGAAGGAGGCCGAGGACTAGTGAGTGTGAGAGCCACTGTCCAGGACCAAACATCCAAACTCCATCATGGAGAAGGAGGTGAATGAGGAGGTGCTGGAGAAGAGCCACTGTCCAGGACCAAACATCCAAACTACATCATGGAGAAGGAGGTGAATGAGGAGGTGCTGGAGGAGAACCACTGTCCAGGACCAAACATCCAAACTCCATAACTACATCATGGAGAAGGAGGTGAATGAGGAGGTGCTGGAGGAGAGCCACTGTCCAGGACCAAACATCCAAACTCCATAACTACATCATGGAGAAGGAGGTTAATGAGGAGGTGCAGGAGGAGAACCACTGTCCAGGACCAAACATCGAAACTCCAGAACTACATCATGGAGGAGGAGGTGAATGAGGAGGTGCTGGAGGAGAGCCACTGTCCAGGACCAAACATCCAAACTCCATAACTACATCATGGAGGAGGGGGTGAATGAGGAGGTGTTGGAGGAGAGCCACTGTCCAGGACCAAACATCCAAACTCCAGAACTACATCATGGAGAAGGAGGTGAATGAGGAGGTGCTGGAGGAGAGCCACTGTCCAGGACCATACATCCAAACTCCATAACTACATCATGGAGGAGGGGGTGAATGAGGAGGTGCTGGAGGAGAGCCACTGTCCAGGACCAAACATCCAAACTCCAGAACTACATCATGGAGAAGGAGGTGAATGAGGAGGTGCTGGAGGAGAGCCACTGTCCAGGACCAAACATCCAAACTCCAGAACTACATCATGGAGAAGGAGGTTAATGAGGAGGTGCAGGAGGAGAACCACTGTCCAGGACCAAACATCGAAACTCCAGAACTACATCATGGAGGAGGAGGTGAATGAGGAGGTGCTGGAGGAGAGCCACTGTCCAGGACCAAACATCCAAACTCCATAACTACATCATGGAGGAGGTGGTGAATGAGGAGGTGCTGGAGGAGAGCCACTGTCCAGGACCAAACATCCAAACTCCAGAACTACATCATGGAGAAGGAGGTGAATGAGGAGGTGCTGGAGGAGAGCCACTGTCCAGGACCAAACATCCAAACTCCAGAACTACATCATGGAGAAGGAGGTGAATGAGGAGGTGCTGGAGGAGAGCCACTGTCCAGGACCAAACATCCAAACTCCATAACTACATCATGGAGAAGGAGGTGAATGAGGAGGTGCTGGAGGAGAGCCACTGTCCAGGACCAAACATCCAAACTCCAGAACTACATCATGGAGAAGGAGGTGAATGAGGAGGTGCTGGAGGAGAGCCACTGTCCAGGACCAAACATCGAAACTCCAGAACTATATCATGGAGAAGGAGGTGAATGAGGAGGTGCTGGAGGAGAGCCACTGTCCAGGACCAAACATCCAAACTCCAGAACTACATCATGGAGAAGGAGGTGAATGAGGAGGTGCTGGAGGAGAGCCACTGTCCAGGACCAAACATCCAAACTCCAGAACTACATCATGGAGAAGGAGGTGAATGAGGAGGTGCTGGAGGAGAGCCACTGTCCAGGACCAAACATCCAAACTCCATAACTACATCATGGAGAAGGAGGTGAATGAGGAGGTGCTGGAGGAGAGCCACTGTCCAGGACCAAACATCCAAACTCCAGAACTACATCATGGAGAAGGAGGTGAATGAGGAGGTGCTGGAGGAGAGCCATTGTCCAGGACCAAACATCGAAACTCCAGAACTACATCCTGGAGAAGGAGGTGAATGAGGAGGTGCTGGAGGAGAGCCACTGTCCAGGACCAAACATCCAAACTCCAGAACTACATCATGGAGAAGGAGGTGAATGAGGAGGTGCAGGAGGAGAACCACTGTCCAGGACCAAACATCGAAACTCCAGAACTACATCATGGAGAAGGAGGTGAATGAGGAGGTGCAGGAGGAGAACCACTGTCCAGGACCAAACATCGAAACTCCAGAACTACATCATGGAGAAGGAGGTGAATGAGGAGGTGCAGGAGGAGAGCCACTGTCCAGGACCAAACATCCAAACTCCAGAAATACATCATGGAGAAGGAGGTGAATGAGGAGGTGCTGGAGGAGAGCCACTGTCCAGGACCAAACATCCAAACTCCAGAACTACATCATGGAGAAGGAGGTGAATGAGGAGGTGCTGGACGAGAGCCACTGTCCAGGACCAAACATCCAAACTCCATAACTACATCATGGAGAAGGAGGTGAATGAGGAGGTGCTGGACGAGAGCCACTGTCCAGGACCAAACATCCAAACTCCAGAACTACATCATGGAGAAGGAGGTGAATGAGGAGGTGCTGGAGGAGAGCCACTGTCCAGGACCAAACATCCAAACTCCAGAACTACATCATGGAGAAGGAGGTGAATGAGGAGGTGCTGGAGGAGAACCACTGTCCAGGACCAAACATCCAAACTCCAGAACTACATCATGGAGAAGGAGGTGAATGAGGAGGTGCTGGAGGAGAGCCACTGTCCAGGACCAAACATCCAAACTCCAGAACTACATCATGGAGAAGGAGGTGAATGAGGAGGTGCTGGACGAGAGCCACTGTCCAGGACCAAACATCCAAACTCCATCATGGAGAAGGAGGTGAATGAGGACCTTCAGGGTGAAGCAGTCGGGGTCTGCTTCCGCCCTGAAGGTACTTATTTTCCGATAATGACCTGCGTAATATACGGTATCCCGCTTATTATACGGCTTTATACCAACAGAACACACAACATAAACTTCAGTCTACTTTTAGGAATGCCCAAAGGTTTATTTAATGACAGAAAATAAAATAGTTCCCAAAGGCTTTCCCGTGGCTATGCTAGCAACAGTTAGGCTAACAACTTCCAAACTAGAACTCTCTGGAACTGCATGAAAACTGAACACAGAATCCTGAACATCAGCGGTGAGTGACCCAAACATAAACTTAACCTAAATCCATAATTCCATCCTCTGCAAATGTTCCTAAAATGTGCCGATATCTACTTCCGGGTTTTTCGGGATCGCCTTTTCTCGCATTACATCAGTGTTTTTGTCATGAAAACGGAAACAGAAAATTCTGAAAACTTCCGTGCACTTGTATTAAGACTGGATATGTATAAATTACTCTCCGATTAACATTTCATTGCGTTGATTGATTGGCATTTGCGTTTATTGAGCGGCCAGAACTACTTCCGGGTTTTTCACGATCGCTTTTTGACGCAGAGAAATAGTATTTTTGTCATGAAGACAAGACCAGAAAATTCTGAAAATTTCCGTGCACGTGTGTGAAGAATGTATATGTGTAAGTATTCTCCGATTCACATTTAAGTGTGTTGATTGAGCGTGGCTAGCTCCGGAGTAGGGTTTAATATTTTTCCCGAAAATGAGACGTATCATATCCCGGGAAAAGACGACGCCTTTCCCGGGAAATCCCGGGAAATAGCTGTTGTTTGTAGTTGTTGTTTTTAGCCCAAGTAATGTATGATATCACTCAAATATATAATCCAACAAAAGCTGCCATCTCCACTAGTGTTTCACCAAGTGACTTGCTAGCTTTTATAAAGTAGCCATAGCGTTTTCAGACGTTTTGTTGATGGGCTTTCTTCAGGAATTTCACTATTATGAGATTCTAAATGTCTGCGCAATCCACTTGTCGAAAAGTGACGTGCGGTGTGGTTTGGAGGCACTGACTTCAGCCCTGTCAGATGAACATATATCATATAAATCAACAGAACCTGCAGAGCGGCTTATTCACAATTAGTTTGGCTACAGCAGAATGTTTTCCATGGCCCGCATTGTTTGCTCAAACAAAACGCAAAAGTTCGTAAAAGGCACATTTCCAATTGTGTTATGGGTCTTACCTTAGTTATTAATGAACAGCACAGACCACTTCAGTTCAGACCAGTTTCATGTTTAAGTCCAGATAATAGTTTGAGCGCAGATATGTAATCCCCCATTTGGAAATAAGCCCAAAGAGTTTTAAAGCGTAAAACAAAACGGGTGCCACCTCCACAAACTCCTCCGTGTGTTCGCTGCAGCCGGCTCTCGGGCGCATCCAATTTCTAATATCAACCTTCTTACCCTTCTCCTCTCTTCCTTATCATTCCTATCGTCATTGTAAGCAGACCATTACCCTAAATGCATTTTATATGATTTTAAAATGTGTTATATGTATGTTAGCCAAACCTGTTGCTGCCCTTAGCAGATGGAAAAAAAGAAAGGAGCTTTCTGATAGAATTGGACGTAACCAAATTCTGGGCTCACATGCGCCCCGTACCCTGAGCCTGGCCTCATTACAAGTCGTGGTTTAGCGCGATTAAGACCCATATTTGTTGTCAAAAACACAATTTATGAGCCATCAGCTGTAGACATGTTGATTGTAAATGAAATATGTTTGAACTTTGAACAACAATAAACGTGCTTTATAATAGGAGCGCACTGTATTTTTTTTTTTACTTTCATTTCCCGTTTCCCGTCATAACATTTCTCGGGAATCGGGAAATAGTTTTCATCAGATTTCCCGGGAATCCCGTATCCCGGGATTAAACCCTACTCCGGAGTGGCCGGAACTACTTGCGGAGTTATCCACGCATTTGAAAGACGAGCAGAGAGTGCGTTGCCAAAGGGCAGCGGTCATTATTGTTTTGAGAGGTCCGTTATAGAAAATAATGACCGGTAGAACGTTTTGAAATTACATTCAAATCAATGGTTCTGCTGCTGCTGTGAGGAGCTGTATAATAATGTATAATAAGTACTGACATATACACCCTCCTGCTTCATGAGTTCTGTTCATGACTGCTGCTGTAGACCCGCACCAGGCTGTGTCAGGGCCGGACCTGAACCCAGTCCAGAGGGTTTTGGACCTGAACCCAGTCCAGAGGGTTTTGGACCTGAACCCAGTCCAGAGGGTTTTGGACCTGAACCCAGTCCAGATGGTTTTGGGGCTGGACCAACAAGTGCTAAGCATCATGGGAACTCCTTCCAGACTGTTGGAGACCATTTCAGGTCCTGTTGAAGCTCATCCAGAGAATGCCAAGAGTGAAGCAGTATCAGAGCAAAAGGAGCTACTTTGAAGAACCAGAATTTAACACATATTTACACTTGGTTCATACTTTTTTACTACGGACATCATTCACATGAGTTCATCATAGGTTTGAGACCCTCAGCGTCAATCTACAACAGTACTTACAAATGTATATAAATATATATATATATAAATAAGACTGACCCGGTGAGAGCGAGGGTCGTAGAAGAAGTTGGACCAGTTTGGATCCGTTTGCATGAAGCGAAACTCAAACAGTTCTCTGAGACACAGGCGCAGGATGTGGGAGCAGATCTGTGGAGAGAGAGCAGTTAGACCTGCAAGCGGCTGTAGAGGCCTCACACACTCAGTGAGTTTTGTAAAAAAGCGACATAGTTTGATAACTGGTCCTCGGTGCACCAGTACCAGGATCAGGTCCAAACAAAGCAGTTTGTGAGTCCATGGTATGTGCTTTAGAGGATTCAGAGGATAATCTGAGCTTGGACTCAACATATGGTAATCACCACCAGGGACTGGGACCAGAGAGAGACCAGAGAGAGAGAGAGACCAGAGAGAGACCAGAGAGAGACCAGAGAAAGACCAGAGAGAGACACCAGAGAGAGACACCAGAGAGAGACACCAGAGAGAGACACCAGAGAGAGACACCAGAGAGAGACACCAGAGAGAGACACCAGAGAGAAAGACCAGAGAGAGACCAGAGAGAGACACCAGAGAAAGACCAGAGAGAGACCAGAGTGACCAGAGAGAGACCAGAGTGACCAGAGAGAGACCAGAGAGAGACACCAGAGAAAGACCAGAGAGACCAGAGAGAGACACCAGAGAAAGACCAGTGAGACCAGACATTTTCTGGTCCAGAGTTCAATACCTGGTTCCTGAGTTCCTGGTCCAGGTCGGAGGCTTTGTCCAGAGGAAATCCAGGGACCAGAGTCAGGGTCAGAACCTGTCGACTGCTGAGGTCTGGGATCACATCAGGAACCGAGAAGAACGGGTGGTCCTTCAGGAGGTCCCTATGATAGACCAGAGAGAGACCTGAGACCAGAGACCAGAGAGAGACCTGAGACCAGAGAGAGAGACCAGAGAGAGACCAGAGAGAGACCAGAGGGAGACCAGAGGGAGACCAGAGAGAGAGACCAGAGAGAGACCAGAGAGAGACCAGAGAGAGACCAGAGAGAGACCAGAGAGAGACCAGAGGGAGACCAGAGGGAGACCAGAGGGAGACCAGAGATAGACCAGAGAGAGACCTGAGTCTGATCTCCTTACAGTCAGTTGTTGTGACTCACTTGAACTTGTTGACGCACTCGGCCTCTCGGATGTAGTCACACTCCAGAGCCAGCTCCCGGCTCAGGACTTCCACCAGGTGCTCCGGGAACAGACCTGAAAGACCGAGGACTGAGACAGGAGCAACCACAGCAACTCTCTCTGGTCTCCCTCGCTGGTCTCCCTCGCTGGTCTCCCTCTCTGGTCTCCCTCTCTGGTCTCCCTCTCTGGTCTCCCTCTCTGGTCTCCCTCTCTGGTCTCCCTCTCTGGTCTCCCTCTCTGGTCTCCCTCTCTGGTCTCCCTCTCTGGTCTCCCTCTCTGGTCTCCCTCTCTGGTCTCCCTCTCTGGTCTCCCTCTCTGGTCTCCCTCTCTGGTCTCCCTCTCTGGTCTCCCTCTCTGGTCTCCCTCTCTGGTCTCCCTCTCTGGTCTCTCTCTGGTCTCCCTCTCTGGTCTCCCTCTCTGGTCTCCCTCGCTGGTTTCCCTCTCGTCTCTCTCTTTGGTCTCTCTCTGTCTCTGTCTCTGGTCTCTCTCTCTCTGGTCTCTCTCTCTCTGGTCTCTCTCTTTGGTCTTTTTCTAGTCTCAGGGGTCAGAGGTCACCTTCAGGTAGAGCTCGGATTAGACTCAGTGCTCCCATGATGTTCCGGACGTCACTGTTGATGCTGCGAGCCACGCCAGGATACTGCGACAGAAACACTGAGTAAAGACCAGAGCGAGACCAGAGCGAGACCAGAGCGAGACCAGAGCGAGACCAGAGCGAGACCAGAGAGAGACCAGAGAGAGACCAGAGAGAGACCAGAGAGAGACCAGAGAGAGACCAGAGAGAGACCACAGAGAGACCAGAGAGACCAGAGAGGGAGACCAGAGAGACCAGAGAGAGGGACCAGAGAGAGACCAGAGAGAGACCAGAGAGAGACACAAGAGAGAGACACCAGAGAGAAACCAGAGGGAGACCAGAGAGAGGGACCAGAGAGAGACCAGAGCGAGACCAGAGCGAGACCAGAGCGAGACCAGAGAGAGACCAGAGAGAGACCAGAGAGAGACCAGAGAGAGACCAGAGAGAGACCTAGAGAGAGAGACCAGAGAGACCAGAGAGAGGGACCAGAGAGAGACCAGAGAGAGACCAGAGAGACCAGAGAGAGAGACCAGAGAGACACCAGAGAGAGACACAAGAGAGAGACACCAGAGAGAAACCAGAGGGAGACCAGAGAGAGGGACCAGAGAGAGACCAGAGAGACCAGAGAGAGAGACCAGAGAGACACCAGAGAGAGACACAAGAGAGAGACACCAGAGAGAAACCAGAGGGAGACCAGAGAGAGAGACCAGAGAGAGGGACCAGAGAGAGAGACCAGAGAGAGACCAGGGAGACCAGAGAGAGAGACCAGAGAGACACCAGAGAGAGACACAAGAGAGAGACACCAGAGAGAAACCAGAGGGAGACCAGAGAGAGAGACCAGAGAGAGGGACCAGAGAGGGAGACCAGAGAGACCAGAGAGAGGGACCAGAGAGAGACCAGAGAGAGACCAGAGAGACCAGAGAGAGAGACCAGAGAGACACCAGAGAGAGACACAAGAGAGAGACACCAGAGAGAAACCAGAGGGAGACCAGAGAGAGGGACCAGAGAGAGACCAGAGAGAGACCAGAGAGACCAGAGAGAGAGACCAGAGAGACACCAGAGAGAGACACAAGAGAGAGACACCAGAGAGAAACCAGAGGGAGACCAGAGAGAGAGACCAGAGAGAGAGACCAGAGAGAGACCAGAGAGAGACCAGAGAGAGACCAGAGAGAGACCAGAGAGAGACCAGAGAGAGACCAGAGAGAGACCAGAGAGAGACCAGAGACACAGACCTGGACCTTGATGGCCACTTCTCTTCCGTCCTGAAGTCGTCCCAGATGAACTTGTCCAATCGAAGCCGCAGCGAAAGGTTTCTCCTCAAAGTGTTGGAGCTTCTGCCTCCAGTGAGGCCCGAGCTCTGACACCAGCACCGCCTGAGGACCAGGGGAGACACCAGGAGTGAGGACCAGGGGAGACACCAGGAGTGAGGACCAGAGGAGACAGCAGGAGTGAGGACCAGGAGTGAGGACCAGGGGAGACACCAGGAGTGAGGACCAGAGGAGACACCAGGAGTGAGGACCAGAGGCAACACTAGGAGTTAGGACCAGACGAGACACCAGGAGTGATGACCAGAGGAGACACCAGGAGTGAGGACCAGGGGAGACACCAGGAGTGAGGACCAGGGGAGACACCATGAGTGAGGACCAGGAGTGAGGACCAGGGGAGACACCAGGAGTGAGGACCAGAGGAGACACCAGGAGTGAGGACCAGAGGCAACACTAGGAGTTAGGACCAGAGGCAACACTAGGAGTTAGGACCAGACGAGACACCAGGAGTGATGACCAGAGGAGACACCAGGAGTGAGGACCAGGGGAGACACCAGGAGTGAGGACCAAGGGAGACACCATGAGTGAGGACCAGGAGTGAGGACCAGGGGAGACACCAGGAGTGAGGACCAGAGGAGACACCAGGAGTGAGGACCAGAGGCAATACTAGGAGTTAGGACCAGACGAGACACCAGGAGTGATGACCAGAGAAGACACCAGGAGTGAGGACCAGGGGAGACACCAGGAGTGAGGACCAGGGGAGACACCAGGAGTGAGGACCAGGGAAGACACCATGAGTGAGGACCAGGAGTGAGGACCAGGGGAGACACCAGGAGGGAGGACCAGAGGAGACACCAGGAGTGAGGACCAGAGGCAACACTAGGAGTTAGGACCAGAGGCAACACTAGGAGTTAGGACCAGACGAGACACCAGGAGTGATGACCAGAGGATACACCAGGAGTGAGGACCAGAGGAGACACCAGGAGTGAGGAACAGAGGCAACACTAGGAGTTAGGACCAGAGGAGACACCAGAAGTGATGACCAGGGGAGACACCAGGAGTGAGGACCAGATGAGACACCAGGAGTGAGGACCAGGGGAGACACCAGGAGTGAGGACCAGAGGAGACACCAGGAGTGAGGACCAGAGGAGACACCAGGAGTGAGGACCAGGGAAGACACCAGGAGTGAGGACCAGGGGAGACACCAGGAGTGAGGACCAGAGGCAACACTAGGAGTTGGACCAGAGGAGACACCAGGAGTGAGGACCAGGGGAGACACCAGGAGTGAGGACCAGGGGAGACACCAGGAGTGAGGACCAGGGGAGACACCAGGAGTGAGGACCAGGGGAGACACCAGGAGTGAGAACCAGGGGAGACACCAGGAGTGAGGACCAGAGGAGACACCAGGAGTGAGGACCAGAGGCAACACTAGGAGTGAGGACCAGAGGCAACACTAGGAGTTAGGACCAGAGGAGACACCAGGTGTGATGACCAGGGGAGACACCAGGAGTGAGGACCAGAGGCAACACTAGGAGTTAGGACCAGGGGAGACACCAGGAGTGAGGACCAGGGGAGACACCAGGAGTGAGGACCAGAGGCAACACCAGGAGTTAGGACCAGAGGAGACACCAGGAGTGAGGACCAGGGGAGACACAAGGAGTGAGGACCAGAGGAGACACCAGCACCAGAGGTGAGGACCAGGGGAGACACCAGGAGTGAGGACCAGAGGAGACACCAGGAGTGAGGACCAGAGGAGACACCAGGAGTGAGGACCAGAGGAGACACCAGGAGTGAGGACCAGAGGCAACACTAGGAGTTAGGACCAGACGAGACACCAGGAGTGATGACCAGAGGAGACACCAGGAGTGAGGACCAGGGGAGACACCAGGACTCTCACCATCATCTGCTTGGTGGGCATGAAGTCTGCGCTCTGTCGAACTCTCTCAAAGACTTTGGCCAAATGTGGACTAATGAAGGCATCATCTGCGGAGACAAGGACATGAGACCAGGAAGAACCGAGGAAGACACCAGGAAGACAACAGGAAGACACGAGGAAGACACCAGGAAGACAACAGGAAGACAACAGGAAGACACCAGGAAAACACCAGGAAGACACCAGAGGGACCAGGGAGACACCAGGAAGACACCAGAGGGACCAGGGAGACACCACAGGGACCAGGAAGACACCAGAGGGACCAGGAAGACACCAGTAAGACACCAGAGGGACCAGGAAGACACCAGAGGGACCAGGGAGACACCAGAGGGACCAGGACGACACCAGAGGGACCAGGAAGACACCAGGGAGACCAGGAAGACACCAGAGGGACCAGGGAGACACCAGAGGGACCAGGGAGACACGAGAGATTAAAGAGATTCCTACACAGATACATGGATGATTTCCCTTTGTTTTTGTTTGAGACTTGAGGAGACATGTGTCCACCCAGAATACTGGGGAAATGTCCTGTCCCCTCTCCTCTCCCCCTGTTCTCTCCCCCTGTTCTCTCTCCCCTGTCCTCTCTCCCCTGTCCTCTCTCCTCCCCTCTCCTCTCTCCCCTCTCCCCCGTCCTCTCACCCTGGATACTGAGGACCTGTCCCAGCTTCAGAGCGGCTCCTCTCACTTTACACAGAGTTCTCACGATTCTCTCTGCGTTGGCTTCAGTCAGGAACGGGCTGGAGTCCAGGACCGGAGCCTTCTGCCCTGAGACAAGAGACCAGAGAGAGACCAGGGAAAGAGACCAGAGACCAGAGAGAGCAGAGAGAGACCAGAAAGACCGGAGAGACGAGAGAGAAACCAGAGAGACCAGGGAGACCAGAGAGAGACCAGAGAGAGCAGAGAGAGACCAGAGAGACCAGAGAGAGACCAGAGAGACCAGAGAGAGACCAGAGAGAGACCAGAGAGACCAGAGAGAGACCAGAGAGAGACCAAAGAGAGACCAGAGAGAGACCAGAGAGAGACCAGAGACCAGGGAGAGACCAGAGAGAGACCAGAGAGAGACCAGAGAAACCAGAGAGACCAGAGAGAGCAGAGAGAGACCAGAGAGACCAGAGAGAGACCAGAGAGACCAGAGAGAGACCAGAGAGAGACCAGAGAGACCAGAGAGAGACCAGAGAGACCAGAGAGAGACCAGAGAGAGACCAAAGAGAGACCAGAGAGAGACCAGAGAGAGACCAGAGACCAGGGAGAGACCAGAGAGAGACCAGAGAAACCAGAGAGACCAGAGAGAGCAGAGAGAGACCAGAGAGACCAGAGAGAGACCAGAGAGACCAGAGAGAGACCAGAGAGAGACCAGAGAGACCAGAGAGACCAGAGAGAGACCAGAGAGAGACCAGAGACCAGGGAGAGACCAGAGAGAGACCAGAGACCAGGGAGAGAGTTAGAATGGTATTGCACACTCTGTTATAGTTGAATGACTCACTCACTTTGTTGTTTTGGTTTGAAAGATTTTTTTGCCATTTCTGTGAGAGCACCAACACCAAGTCCCACTGCCAGACCTGAGGGACCAGAGAGAGACCAGAGGGAGTGACCAGGGAGTGACCAGAGAGAGACCAGAGGGAGTGACCAGGGAGTGACCAGAGAGAGACCAGAGAGAGACCAGAGAGAGACCAGAGAGAGACCAGAGGGAGTGACCAGAGAGAGACCAGAGAGAGACCAGAGGGAGTGACCAGAGAGAGACCAGAGGGAGTGACCAGAGAGAGACCAGAGAGAGAGACCATGAAACCAGGAGTCTGTGTCTTCTTCAGACAAACCTCCAAAGTTGACCAGACGTCCGAGACGAGTCACAGGAACCTTCTTCTCTCGTGCTTTTTCACTGATCTGTAAAACAACATATCTGAGAGTGTGCGTGTGCAGCCTGGTACCCCCTGGTCTGGCCTCCTTCAGCCTGGTACCACCTGGTCTGGCCTCCTTCAGCCTGGTACCACCTGGTCTGGCCTCCTTCAGCCTGGTACCCCCTGGTCTGGCCTCCTTCAGCCTGGTACCCCCTGGTCTGGCCTCCTTCAGCCTGGTACCCCCTGGTCTGGCCTCCTTCAGCCTGGTACCACCTGGTCTGGCCTCCTTCAGCCTGGTACCCCCTGGTCTGGCCTCCTTCAGCCTGGTACCACCTGGTCTGGCCTCCTTCAGCCTGGTACTACCTGGTCTGGCCTCCTTCAGCCTGGTACTACCTGGTCTGGCCTCCTTCAGCCTGGTACCACCTGGTCTGGCCTCGTTCAGCCTGGTACCACCTGGTCTGGCCTCCTTCAGCCTGGTACCACCTGGTCTGACCTCCTTCAGCCTGGTACCACCTGGTCTGACCTCCTTCAGCCTGGTACCACCTGGTCTGGCCTCCTTCAGCCTGGTACCACCTGGTCTGGCCTCCTTCAGCCTCATACCTTCTGCTGGTGAGGTCGGCAGACCTTGGCCCCTCTCGGCTCCTGGATCTGCTCCACAGATAACGGCCCCAAGTCCTGGTTCAGAGCACGACTCAGAGTCAGACCGGGTCTCGCTGGTTTACAGCCGCTAGTCCTGGTCCTGGTCTGGAGGCCGAGTGGGTCTCTGTGTGGGACCAGACTGAGGGAGCGGTGAGGGTCGCACACATGCTGCTCCTGCAACAGGACAGTATGCATCAGAGAGAGACCAGAGAGAGACCAGAGAGAGAGACCAGAGAGAGAGACCAGAGAGAGAGACCAGAGAGAGACCAGAGAGAGACCAGAGAGAGAGACCAGAGAGAGACCAGAGAGAGAGCAGAGACCAGAGAGAGACCAGAGAGAGAGACCAGAGAGAGAGACCAGAGAGAGACCAGAGAGAGAGACCAGAGAGAGAGACTAGAGAGAGAGACCAGAGAGAGACCAGAGAGAGAGACTAGAGAGAGAGACCAGAGAGAGACCAGAGAGAGAGACCAGAGAGAGAGACCAGAGAGAGAGACCAGAGAGAGAGACCAAAGAGAGACTAGAGAGAGACAAGAGAGAGACCAGAGAGAGAGACCAGAGAGAGACCTGAGAGAAACCAGAGAGACCAGATAAGCTTGCCTTGCTCTTGGTCAAAATTGACAAAGACAGGAAGTACTTTGACCTGTGGAGTGCCCCAGGGGTCGATCCTGGGACCTTATCTGTTCAGTTACTCAGAGTTTTATCTCTCTGCATGCAGCTAAAACATGGAGCAGTCTTCCTGAAAACGTGAGACAAGCTTCCACTCACAGCTCCACACAGGGGCTCCACCGCTGACATGTGTCCCAGGACGGGAGCTCGGAGGACGGCCTGCTTCAGCCAGCTCACCCCCCGCAGGAGAACCATGGTCCCCTGGAAACACATAACACTCTGAACCAGGATCCAGACTCGACTCTACCTGACTCTACCTGGATAGAACCATGAAGACCAAGAGGGAAAGGAGGGCCTGGTACTGGTTACACAGGACCAGAGGAAACACTCCCAATCAGGGTAGGGTAGAGTAGAGTAGAGTAGAGTAGAGTAGAGTAGAGTAGAGTAGAGTAGAGTAGAGTAGAGTAGAGTAGAGTAGAGTAGAGTAGGGTAAAGTAGAGTAGAGTAGAGTAGAGTAGAGTAGAGTAGAGTAGAGTAGAGTAGAGTAGAGTAGGGTAAAGTAGAGTAGAGTATAGTAGGGTAGAGTAGAGTAGGGTAGAGTAGAGTAGGGTAGAGTAGATTAGAGTAGGGTAGAGTAGAGTAGGGTAGAGTAGGGTAGAGTAGAGTAGAGTAGGGTAGAGTAGGGTAGAGTAGAGTAGGGTAGAGTAGGGTAGGGTAGGGTAGAGTAAAGTAGGGTAGCGTAGGGTAGAGTAGAGTAGGGTAGAGCAGGGTAAAGTGTCTCTCCTTCAGTTGCGTCATATTCTTGATACATATTCAGCCCCACGTGACTGTTTGCAGAACCACAGTGTTTCCACATAGTGTGATAACTTCCTCTGCACTGACCTCAGACCAGCAGTAGACACACACACACAGTTTTTGTGTTGGTCATGTTCCACTATCACTGCGCGTGTCATGACTCACGCGCCTGTGTACGTGTCCGCGCGCACTCAGCCAGATCTCACTCAATACGTGTCTCAGTGTGTGTGTGTGTGTGTGTTGTTTGTGGGAAAAGCTGAGAATTTGTGTCAAACAAACGTCATCTGTTTGAATGAAACACAACAACAACAACACAGTCTGAGTGTGTTACAACAGAAGTGTGCAACAGCTGGACACACACAGACTCACACACGCTGAGGACGTGTGTGTGGCTGTGAAACAGAATCAGACGCAAAAGAGACTTTGATGAAGACTATGATGAAGACTCTGATGAAGACTATGATGAAGACTATGATGAAGACTATGATGAAGACTCTGATGAAGACTCTGATGAAGACTCTGATGAAGACTCTGATGAAGACTATGATGAAGACTATGATGAAGACTCTGATGAAGACTCTGATGAAGACTCTGATGAAGACTATGATGAAGACTATGATGAAGACTATGATGAAGACTATGATGAAGACTCTGATGAAGACTATGATGAAGACTATGATGAAGACTCTGATGAAGACTCTGATGAAGACTCTGATGAACACTATGATGAACACTATGATGAAGACTCTGATGAACACTATGATGAAGACTCTGATGAAGACTCTGATGAAGACTCTGATGAACACTATGATGAACACTATGATGAAGACTCTGATGAACACTATGATGAAGACTCTGATGAAGACTCTGATGAAGACTCAGAGCTGATACTCACAGACTGTAAACACGGTTCTCTCCGCTACAAACTCATGGACCCGGGACAAAGGCGCAGTTCGCTGGAAACGCGGTGACTTCGCTTCTGTTTCGCGGTGACTTCGCTTCCGTTTCGCGGTGAGTTCGCTTCTGATTCGCGGTGACTTCGCTTCTGTTTCGAGGTGACTTCGCTTCTGATTCGCGGTGACTTCGCTTCTGATTCGCGGTGAGTTCGCTTCGCCCACGCTGCAGAAACTCAGTCCCGTGAGCACAGCAGCATCAGCCTCATGGAGCCTCTGCCCCCGCAGGAGGCGCTCAGACCGCGGGCCAATCAGAAGCAGAAGCCCAGGGAGGGAGGGGTGGAGGAGGAGGGGAGGGTGAGGGAGGGAGGGGTGGAGGAGGAGGGGAGGGACGCAGAGGGGGGAGAAGGTGAGGGAGGAGGTGAGGAGAAGGTGAGGGAGGGAGGGGTGGAGGAGAGGGGAGGGTGAGGTGAGGAGGAGGGAGGGAGGAGGAGGAGAGGTGAGGGGGAGGGTGGAGGGAGGTGAGGGAGGGAGGGGTGGAGGAGGAGGGGAGGGGAGGGGGAGGGGGGAGGGGAGGAGAGGGGGAGGAGAAGGTGAGGGAGGGAGGGGTGGAGGAGAAGGTGAGGGAGGGAGGGGTGGAGGAGAAGGTGAGGGAGGGAGGGAGGGGAGGGGGAAGAGGTGTGGAAGGTAGAGGGGGAGGAGGAGATGAGGGAGGGAGGGAGGGGTGGAAGAGGTCTCAGAGACCCTTGTGTATCATATGTTGTCATGGTTACAGCGCTCGCCCTCACACAGATCTGATTCGTGACATGTGCTCCCCTTGCTCTTTAGCGCCATCCAGTGGTTCAGGTGTGACATTACAGAAGGACTATTGTAGATCACATGTTCAAAGAGCGACAGTAGCTTAGTTGTTAGAGCATTGGCCTTTGAGCCAGAAGGTCGTGGGGTCAAGCCCGACTTTCACCATCAACTCCCACTGATGTCTCCTGTCGTTGTGTCCTTGGGCAAGACACTTAACCTGTGGGAACAGCAGGTGTCCCGGTGGGGCGGCTGCGGCTGTAAAGTGCCAAACTGTGGTTGTGTCCTTAGGCAAGACACTTCACCCTAATTGCGTAGAATGAGTCTGGTGTGTGTGTGAATGGTTGGTGGTGGTGGGAGGGGCCGATGGCACAGACTGGTTGCCTCGCTTCTGTCAGTGTGCCCCAGGGCAGCTGTGGCTACAGTAGTTTATCACCACCGTGTTTGGAGAGAGAGAATAATGTGAAGAGACTCTCAGTGTCCAAAAAGTGCTATATAAAATATGCATTATTATTAAAGCTGGGGTCTGTAACTTTAGTCTCAATAGACAGGTGCTGTGAGTCAGTATCTGCCTCTTTGGGCTGAGAGCTGATTGGCCGAGAGAGAGGGGGGTCCTCTCTTTGTAATAAATCAACATCAGACAAGGATAAAAGGCTTTATTCAAAAGTTGAACACATTGAGTCAATGACAGCTTTCTCCTCCTGCTCCTGCTCCTCCTGCTCCTCCTACTGCTCCTCCTGCTCCTCCTACTGCTCCTCCTGTTCTCTCCCACATCAGATAAAACAGTGCAGTAGTTGTGTGTCAGAGTCTGAGGTTGTTGAACAGTTTGAGAGCGTTGTGTGTCGTCTGCTCCATCACTCGCTCCAAACTCACTCCTTTCACTTTGGAAACAAACTCTGCAGCAACACAGATGTTCTGAGGCTCATTCCGGACCTGAGACCAGAGAGAGACCAGAGGGAGACCAGAGAGAGACCAGAGAGAGACCAGAGAGAGACCAGAGAGAGACCAGAGAGAGACCAGAGACCAGAAAGAGACCAGAGAGAGACCAGAGAGAGACCAGAGAGAGACCAGAGAGAGACCAGAGAGAGACCAGAAAGAGACCAGAGAGAGACCAGAGGGAGAGACCAGAGAGAAAGACCAGAGAGAGACCAGAGGGAGACCAGAGAGAGACCAGAGAGAGACCAGAGGGAGACCAGAGAGAGACCAGAGAGAGACCAGAGGGAAAGACAAGAGAGAGACCAGAGAGACCAGAGGGAGACCAGAGGGAGACCAGAGGAAGACCAGAGAGAGACCAGAGAGAGACCAGAGAGAGACCAGAGAGAAATTACAGTTAGTTCAGTTGGAGAAAAATGTTTCACAGATTTGTTTCAAAAGAAGTAAAGTGAATAGTAGGTCTGTTCTGGATCAGTCCTGGTCCAGTCTGGGTCCTGGGTCAGTCCTGGATGAGTCTGGTCGGAGTCCAGGGTCAGACCTGTTTCTCTGGACCAAGTGCAGGAGAGTCGGTCTCCAGACAGATGTTCTCCAGAGGCAGCTGCTTCACCAGACGCTGCTTCTTAAACAGAACACAAAACACTGAGATGCACCGAGCTCATAAGTCTCCATCCCTCAGTCCTCATAAGTCTCCATCCCCCAGTCCTCAGAAGTCTCCATCCGCCTCTCTGGTCTCTCTCTGGTCCCTCTCTGGTCTCCCTCTCTGGTCTCCCTCTCTGGTCTCCCTCTCTGGTCTCCCTCTCTGGTCTCCCTCTCTGGTCTCCCTCTCTGGTCTCCCTCTCTGGTCTCCCTCTCTGGTCTCCCTCTCTGGTCTCTCTCTCTGGTCTCCCTCTCTGGTCTCCCTCTCTGGTCTCTCTCTGTGCTCTCTCTCTGGTCTCTCTCTCTGTGCTCTCTCTCTGTGCTCTCTCTCTGTGCTCTCTCGCTGTGCTCTCTCGCTGTGCTCTCTCTCTGGTCTCTCTCTCTGTGCTCTCTCTCTGTGCTCTCTGTGCTCTCTCTCTGTGCTCTCTCTCTGGTCTCTCTCTCTGGTCTCTCACCTGGTCACTGCGGATGATTGATGGTGGTATAGAGAACATAAATCCTTGTCTCACTCCCTCCAGAGCCACAGATGGTTTACCATCAAAGGCATGAAGTAGAGCCTTCTGTACTCCTGCAACACACACACATATTTACACACTCACACACACATATTTACACACTCACACACACATATTTACACACACACACACACACACACACATATTTACACACTCACACACACATATTTACACACACACACACACACACATACTCACACTCATATACACACACACACAAACACACATTTACACACACACTCACACACACACACATATTTACACACACACTCACACACACAGATATACACACACACACACACACACACACACATATATACAGTGCCTTGCGAAAGTATTTGGCCCCCATGAACCTTTCAACATTTCGCCACATTTCAGATTTCAGAAATTTTATATAAACATAAAGATATAAAATTTTAATTTTTTGTCATGAATCAACAAGTGGGACACAATCGTGAAGTGGAACAAAATTTATTGGATAATTTAAACTTTTTGAACAAATAAAAAACTAAAAAGTGGGGTGTGCAATATTATTCGGCCCCTTTACTTTCAGTGCAGCAAACTCAGTCCAGAAGTTCAGTGAGGATCTTTGAATGATCCAATGTTGTCCTAAATGACTGATGATGATAAATAGAATGCACCTGTGTGTAATCAAGTCTCCGTATAAATCTGCTCTTTGATAGTCTCAGGGTTCTGTTTAAAGCGCAGAGAGAACCATGAAGACAAAGGAACACACCAGGCAGGTCCGAGATACTGTTGTGGAGAAGTTTAAAGCCGGATTTGGATACAAAAAGATTTCCCAAGCTTTAAACATCTCAAGGAGCACTGTGCAAGCAATTATATTGAAATGGAAGGAGTATCAGACCACTGCAAATCTACCAAGACCCGGCCGTCCCTCCAAATTTTCATTTCAAACAAGGAGAAGACTGATCAGAGATGCAGACAAGAGGCCCATGATCACTCTGGATGAACTGCAGATAACTACAGCTGAGGTGGGAGAGTCTGTCCATAGGACAACAATTAGTCGTGCACTGCACAAATCTATATTGAATCTATATTGAAATCTTCCATTTCAATACAATTGCTTGCACAGTGCTCCTTGAGATGTTTAAAGCTTGGGAAATCTTTTTGTATCCAAATCCGGCTTTAAACTTCTCCACAACAGTATCTCGGACCTGCCTGGTGTGTTCCTTTGTCTTCATGGTTCTCTCTGCGCTTTAAACAGAACCCTGAGACTATCAAAGAGCAGGTGCATTTATACGGAGACTTGATTACACACAGGTGCATTCTATTTATCATCATCAGTCATTTAGGACAACATTGGATCATTCAAAGATCCTCACTGAACTTCTGGACTGAGTTTGCTGCACTGAAAGTAAAGGGGCCGAATAATATTGCACGCCCCACTTTTCAGTTTTTTATTTGTTAAAAAAGTTTAAATTATCCAATAAATTTCGTTCCACTTCACGATTGTGTCTCACTTGTTGTTGATTCTTGACAAAACATTTAATTTTTATATCTTTATGTTTGAAGCCTGAAATGTGGCGAAATGTTGAAAGGTTCAAGGGGGCCGAATACTTTCGCAAGGCACTGTACACCAGTGTTGTACCAGTTCACAACTTTTCTGAACTAGTTCAAGTTCAGTTCATAAATGCTCAAAGTGAACAGTTCACGTTCAAAGTTCACAATTTTATTTCTGAACTAGTTCAAAGTTCAGTTCATTTTACTTTTTTTGTGAAATAGTCAAATACTTTTTTTCACACTACGAGCTATAATATAAATGTATACGTACAACAGTACATGTATATATATATATATATATATATGTATATATCTCCTGTACACCCACAGGAGGAGAGCCTTTTGACTACAAAACAGACCAGATTTACATGGTTTTCAATGGGAGCCAAACGGAGTTGCTCCATCTCTGCTCATAAACTACAGACAGTAATGCGCTGCAGTGCGTGTGTCTATACTTTATGTCAAATGTAAACGGTGTAAACTTTGTCGCTAACTCACCCTGTGTTTTCATCACGACTCGGGCACATGTGAAAAGCACCAGCTCACAGCGCCGCACCGCAACACAGAGTCGGGGTGCATTCACAGACGGTGGAAACCATAGGAATTTTTTGATTTCGGCAGAAAAAGTGCGAGAAAACAGGAGGGAGGAACTTTCTCTCGTTGCGTTTCAAAAGAGAAAACAGATTCCAACGTTCATAGTGATGTCTGCCGTTCATGACACATAAAATGAACTAATTCACGTTCAAGTTCTTTTTTTAAAAATGTGTTGCGTTCAGTTCAACGTTCACGAAAAAATGAGCGTGTTCAATGAACGCGTTCTTTTGAACTCGTTCACGCACAACACTGCTGTACACACACACAGACAGACAGAGGGCCGCAATTGGCCCCCAGGCCTGAGTTTGGACATGCCTGGTCTACAGGGATCAATGAAGTATATACAGTCCAGAGCAAAAGTTTGGACACACACTCATTCAAAGTTTATTTCATGATTATGAAAACTGTAGATTGACGCTGAGGGTCTCAAACCTATGATGAACTCATGTGAATGATGTCCGTAGTAAAAAAGTATGAACCAAGTGTAAATATGTGTTATATTCTGGTTTCTCCTTTTGCTCTGATACTGCTTCACTCTTGGCATTCTCTGGATGAGCTTCAACAGGACCTGAAATGGTCTCCAACAGTCTGGAAGGAGTTCCCATGATGCTTAGCACTTGTTGGTCCAGCCCCAAAACCATCTGGACTGGGTTCAGGTCCAAAACCTTCTGGACTGGGTTCAGGTCCAAAACCATCTGGACTGGGTTCAGGTCCAAAACCTTCTGGACTGGGTTCAGGTCCAAAACCATCTGGACTGGGTTCAGGTCCAAAACCATCTGGACTGGGTTCAGGTCCAAACCCGTATTTATGTATGTCTGTGTTAAAGTCAAATAAAGACCTGTTCTCACCCAGTTCTTTGAGGAGGTGGATGGTGGGTCTGCCAGCGGACCGAGAGTGCACGTTTCTGAGACACAGGACACAAGTTAAAGCTCAGGTCTGTAACTTTAGTCTGAATAACACATGTTTAAAGCTCAGGTCTGTAACTTTAGTCTGAATAACACATGTTTAAAGCTCAGGTCTGTAACTTTAGTCTAAATAACACATGTTTAAAGCTCAGGTCTGTAACTTTAGTCTGAATAACACATGTTTAAAGCTCAGGTCTGTAACTTTAGTCTGAATAACACATGTTTAAAGGAACAATATGTACAAATCTGGCCAAAAGTGGTACTGCAGTCACAGTCAATATTTTGTAGTCCTCTCCCACTCTCCTTGACTCAGGTTGCCAGATTCACACCAAATCCAGCAGCAAACACAGGGAATTATTTTATCAGTTGTTTGTCCGTCTCCATTCACATTGCCATGACAGCCGTGCTAATGCTGAATGAATGTTTTGATTCATGTTTTTTTATTATTATTATTTGGACATTTGAGATAAAAAACAAAAACAAAATAAAAGCAATGTAATTATACATAGTTTATGCAAAATAAATAAGCAATTGATGTCCAAAATAGGAGTGGGAAGAATGGATGTTGGAACGTATTTCTTCAGCGTATCAACATCAGGGTTTGCTCAAGAGGACCTTTCAATTTTATTTATTCCCTATTTTTTAGACAAACATGTAAAAGTTCCACATCAAAAAGAGACTAACATTATTTTAATTGGGGTACATGTGGTCTTAAATGATTATTTTTACAATTAAGTTATAATCTGCAAAAAAAACGTCTTGACCTTCGTCTTTTACCGTTTTTAGAGCAATCTGTCATAGAATGTGATAACATGCAATAAATACAAAAAGACATAGCCCCGGATCGAACCCGGGTTCCTGCATCGTAAGCGCATAGTTTAGACCACTAGACCACCGATTCACACGATTGAGACACTGTGAAGAACGGACTCAAATTAGAAAATTCTGCATCACACGTGAACTTTTATCAGCTGTCTCAATTGTTCAAAGGCATCCCGATATAAATCCTCGTTTTAGTCTTTGTTTTGTCATTAATGATTTGAGAGTCATAACGAGACATTTTTTAGTTCTGCGCCACATGTTATTTTACCACTGAGATTAATGAGCCGCGCGGAGTTCTGGCAACACGATCACGGACTTACATGACACTTCCTGATTGGCGAAACGGCGGAGGGTAGGACATCAAAATCAAAACAATAACAACTTTTACGGGTCGTAAAACTAATTTTGATAATCAAATATCTCGGCTGAACTACTGTTATCAGTTAAAGATGAATTCGAAAAGAGTATGATTTAATAACGCCTTTTGAAATATTCGGGTCATTTAATGATGACTTGACATGCAAATATTACATATTGCTCCTTTAAAGCTCAGGTCTGTAACTTTAGTCTAAATAACACATGTTTAAAGCTCAGGTCTGTAACTTTAGTCTGAATAACACATGTTTAAAGCTCAGGTCTGTAACTTTAGTCTGAATAACACATGTTTAAAGCTCAGGTCTGTAACTTTAGTCTGAATAACACACGTTTAAAGCTCAGGTCTGTAACTTTAGTCTGAATAACACATGTTTAAAGCTCAGGTCTGTAACTTTAGTCTGAATAACACATGTTTAAAGCTCAGGTCTCTCTCACAGCGGCAGGTCCAGATGTTTGGCGACCTCTGCCTGTCGCCTCAGGACCTCTCTCTGAGCCTCTTTGTCCTCGTCTGAGACGAGGAAGCGAGGAGTGAAGTCCAGACCCACCTGCACACAGAGGCAGAGGCTCTCTCTCTGGTCTCTCTCTCCGGTCTCTCTCTGGTCTCTCTCTTGTCTCTCTCTGGTCTCTCTCTCCGGTCTCTCTCTCTCTGGTCTCTCTCTCTGGTCTCTCTCTGGTCTCTCTCTGGTCTCTCTCTGGTCTCTCTCTCTGGTCTCTCTCTCTGGTCTCTCTCTCTGGTCTCTCTCTCTGGTCTCTCTCTCTGGTCTCTCTCTCTGGTCTCTCTCTCTGGTCTCTCTCTCTGGTCTCTCTCTCTGGTCTCTCTTTGACAGACAAACCTCTCCGATGGCCACGATGTGCTCTCTGTACTTGTGTAGGATCGGCAGCGCCCCCTGCAGGTCCTGCAGAAAACACCACTCTCACATTAACTACAGCTGATATCACACCATGTATAACACCATGTACCACACCATGTGTCACACCATGAACCACAGCTGGTATCACACCATGTTTCACACCATGTATCACACCATGTATCACAGCTGGTATCACAGCATGTACCACACCATGTGTCACACCATGAACCACAGCTGGTATCACACCATGTTTCACACCATGTATCACACCATGTATCACAGCTGGTATCACACCATGTATCACAGCATGTATCACAGCATGTATCACACCATGTACCACACCATGAACCACAGCTGGTACCACACCATGTATCACACCATGTACCACACCATGTATCACACCATGTATCACACCATGTACCACACCATGTACCACACCATGTACCACACCATGCACCACACCATGTATCACACCATGTATCAGATTACAGAGGTACAGACAGGAGCAGAGTGAGACCTCAGGGGAAAGGGCTTCACAATATATGGAAAAAGTATCGTTATCGCGATATTGGTGCGTGCGATATCCGTATCAAAAAAATCTGCCATAAAAAAATAAAACATTTTCTTTCCTTTATTAAAGACAACAAAACAGACATGTCAACAAACAAACAAACAAACAATATATATCCATCTGAAGGTCATTAACGTTAATGTTAACGAATATCGCACTCATTTACACTATTGTGCAGCCCTAGTTTCTAATGTCTCTATACAGAGACTCTCTGCTCCTCCTGGTCCCTCACTGCTCCTCTTGGTCTCTCTCTGCTCTTCCTGGTCCCTCTCTGCTCCTCCTGGTCCCTCAGACCTGGGTTGTGACGCTCCTCTGAGTCCCTTTCTCCTGCTGCACAGGATGAACCCCCAAACACGGGAAGATGAACCCTGGGAACCTGCAAGAACCAGAGGAGAAGAGAACCATCAGGGACCAGGGACCATCAGAGACCAGGGACCATCAGGGGCCAGGGACCATCAGGGGCCAAGGACCATCAGGGGCCAGGGACCATCAGGGACCAGGGACCATCAGAGACCAGGGACCATCAGGGGCCAGGGACCATCAGGGGCCAAGGACCATCAGGGGCCAGGGGCCAGGGACCATCAGGGACCAGGGACCATCAGGGGCCAGGGACCATCAGGGGCCAGGGACCATCAGGGGCCAGGGATCATCAGGGGCCAGGGATCATCAGGGACCATCAGGGGCGAGGGACCATCAGGGACCAGGGACCATCAGGGGCCATCAGGGACCAGGGACCAGGGACCATCAGGGACCAGGGACCAAGGACCATCAGGGACCATCAGGGGCCAAGGACCATCAGGGACCATCAAGGACCAGGAACCATCAGGGGCCATCAGGGACCATCAAGGACCATCAGCGACCATCAGCAGGGACTATCAGGGACCATCAGGGACCAAGGATCATCAATTACCAGGGACCATCAAAGACCAGAGAGAGGGACCAGAGAGAGAGAGACCAGAGAGAGTCCAGAGAGAGACCAGAGAGAGACCAGAGAGAGACTAGAGAGAGACCAGAGAGAGACCAGAGAGAGACTAGAGAGAGACCAAAGAGAGACCAGAGAGAGACCAAACACGGGAAGATGAACCCTGGGAACCTGCAAGAACCAGAGGAGAAGAGGACCATCAGGGACCAGGGACCATCAGGGGCCATGGACCATCAGGGACTATAAGGGGCCAAGGATCATCAGGGACCAGGGACCATCAGGGGCCAGGGACCATCAGGGACCAGGGACCATCAGGGACCAGGGACCATCAGGGACCAGGGACCATCAGGGACCAGGGACCATCAGGGACCAGGGACCATCAGGGACCAGGGACCATCAGGGGCCAAGGACCATCAGGGGCCAGGGACCAGGGACCATCAGGGGCGAGGGACCATCAGGGGCCAAGGACCATCAGGGGCCAGGGACCATCAGGGGCCAAGGACCATCAGGGGCCAGGGACCAACAGGGGCCAGGGACCATCAGGGACCAGGGACCATCAGGGACCAGGGACCATCAGGGGCCAAGGACCATCAGGGACCAGGGACCATCAGGGACCAGGGACCATCAGGGGCCAAGGACCATCAGGGACCATCAAGGACCAGGAACCATCAGGGACCATCAGCGAACATCAGCAGGGACTATCAGGGACCATCAGGGACCAAGGATCATCAATTACCAGGGACCATCAAAGACCAGAGAGAGGGACTAGAGAGAGAGAGACCAGAGAGAGTCCAGAGAGAGATCAGAGAGAGACCAGAGAGAGACCAAAGAGAGACCAAAGAGAGACCAAAGAGAGACCAAAGAGAGACCAAAGAGAGGGACCAGAGAGAGACTAGAGAGAGACCAAAGAGAGAGACCAGAGAGAGACCAGAGAGAGACCAGAGAGAGAGACCAGAGAGAGAGACCAGAGAGAGAGACCAGAGAGAGTCCAGAGAGAGAGAGAGACCAGAGAGAGAGAGAGAGAGACCAGAGAGAGACCAGAGAGACCAGAAAGAGAGACCAGAGAGAGAGAGAGACCAGAGAGAGTCCAGAGAGAGACCAGAGAGAGACCAGAGAGAGACCAAAGAGAGACCAAAGAGAGACCAAAGAGAGACCAAAGAGAGGGACCAGAGAGAGACTAGAGAGAGACCAAAGAGAGAGACCAGAGAGAGACCAGAGAGAGACCAGAGAGAGAGACCAGAGAGAGAGACCAGAGAGAGTCCAGAGAGAGACCAGAGAGAGAGAGAGAGAGACCAGAGAGACCAGAGAGACCAGAAAGAGAGACCAGAGAGAGAGAGAGAGAGAGAGACGAGAGGTTCTTTGTGACAGTTTACCTCTGTGAGAGATTTATGATCTTCTCAAACTCTCCAGAATGTTCAGCTACAGCCACCAGAGCCACGACTCCAGCCTGAACACACACAACACACTAAAGTAATACACAACACACTAAAGTAACATACAACACACTAGAGTAACAAACACTAGAGTAACACACACTAGAGTAACGCACACTAGAGTAACACACACTAGAGTAACAAACACTAGATTAACACACACTAGAGTAACACATGTGCACACTAGAGTAACACACATACACACTTGAGTAACACACACTCGAGTAACACACACTAGAGTAACACATACTAGAGCAACACACACTAGAGTAACACACACTAGAGTAACACACATGCACACTTGAGTAACACACACTAGATCAACACACACTAGAGTAACACACACTAGAGTAACACACACTAGAGTAACACACATGCACACTGGAGTATCACACACTAGAGTAACACACACTAGAGTAACACACATGCACACTGGAGTATCACACACTAGAGTAACACACACTAGAGTAACACACATGCACACTGGAGTAACACACACTAGAGTAACACACATGCACACTGGAGTAACACACACTGAAGTAACACACACTAGAGTAACACACGACACAGTGGACAGTCTTCTCACCTTTCTGGAATTCTCTATCACTTCATCCAAGTCCTAACAGAGATCAGGACACATTATCACCATGGATCTACCATGGATTTACCATGGGTCTACCATGGATCTACCATGGGTCTACCATGGATCTACCATGTGTCTACCATGGATCTATCATGGATCTACCATGGGTCTACCATGGATCTACCATGTGTCTACCATGGAACTACCATGGGTCTACCATGGATCTATCATGGATCTACCATGGATCTCCCATGGATCTACCATGGATCTATCATGGATCTATCATGGATCTACCATGGATCTACCATGGATCTATCATGGATCTATCATGGATCTACCATGGATCTACCATGGATCTACCATGGATCTATCATGGATCTACCATGTGTCTATCATGGGTCTATCATGGATCTACCATGGATCTACCATGGATCTATCATGGATCTACCATGTGTCTATCATGGGTCTATCATGGATCTACCATGGATCTATCATGGATCTATCATGGATCTACCATGGATCTATCATGGGTCTATCATGGATCTACCATGGATCTACCATGGATCTATCATGGATCTACCATGTGTCTATCATGGGTCTATCATGGATCTACCATGGATCTATCATGGATCTACCATGTGTCTATCATGGGTCTATCATGGATCTACCATGGATCTATCATGGATCTATCATGGATCTACCATGTGTCTATCATGGGTCTATCATGGATCTACCATGGATCTACCATGGATCTATCATGGATCTACCATGGGTCTATCATGGGTCTATCATGGGTCTACCATGGATCTACCATGGGTCTACCATGGATCTACCATGGGTCTATCATGGATCTACCATGGATCTACCATAATAATAATAATAATAATACATTTTATTTGAAAGCGCCTTTCAGAACACCCAAGGACACTGTACAATGGACACATTAAAAACAATAAAAACAAGAGCGACAGAATAAAACAGAGTACAATATTGAGAGGGTGCGCGCATAACTAGGTGTTATAGGACTGTCTGAACAGGTGAGTTTTGAGTCTGGATTTGAAGAGTGGCAGGGAGTCTATGTTACGGAGGTCGGAGGGGAGAGAGTTCCAGAGCTGGGGAGCAGAGCGACTGAATGCTCTGTGCCCCATGGTGACGAGTTTGGCCGGTGGAACGGAGAGTTTGAGAGTGGAGGAGGAGCGGAGTGCGCGGGCAGGAATTGCGATGTGGAGGAGGTCAGATATGTACGGAGGGGCCAGGTTATGAAGTGCTTTGAATGTGATGAGGAGGATTTTGAAGTTGATTCTATGTTTTATGGGAAGCCAGTGGAGTTGTTGTAGGACAGGGGTGATGTGGTGAGAGGTAGGGGTCCGTGTGATGATTCGTGCTGCAGCGTTTTGAAGGAGCTGCAGTTTCTGGAGGGATTTCTTGGGAAGACCGAACAGAAGTGAGTTGCAGTAATCAATGCGGGAGGTAACGAGGCTGTGGACGAGGATGGCAGTGGTGTGGGGGGAGAGAGAGGGGCGGAGACGGGAGATGTTACGTAGGTGGAAATATGCAGACCGGGAGATGCTATTGATGTGAGACTGGAAGGAGAGTGAACTATCGAGGATGACACCCAGACTCTTAACCTGAGAGGAGGGAAGGACAGATGAGTTGTTGATGGGAATAGGAAAACTGTTTGATTTCGAGAGAGTGGAGGGGGTGCCTACGAGAAGGACTTCTGTTTTAGAGCTGTTCAGTTTGAGAAAGTTGGAAGAGAACCAAGAATGAATCTACCATGGATCTACCATGGATCTACCATGGGTCTATCATGGATCTACCATGGATCTACCATGGATCTACCATGGGTCTATCATGGGTCTATCATGGGTCTATCATGGATCTACCATGGATCTACCATGGATCTACCATGTGTCTATCATGGGTCTATCATGGATCTACCATGGATCTACCATGGATCTACCATGGGTCTATCATAATAACGGCTGCATTAGTTGTTTCGTACCTTGTCGAAGTCCTCAGAGGAGATGTGACAGTGACAGTCTATGTAGCCGCTCATGCTAGCTCCCATGCGCTAGCTCCGAAAACCAAAACACAACTCAGCCTATACGGCGCATGCGTGACTTTCTACAATTAAAAAAACAAGTTTGAATAAAGTTTAAATGAAAAATCGAGTAAAAAAAACATAAACCAACAGCAAATAAATAAATAAAATGCAAGAATAAAAAATACATCGATACATTATGGTTCGTGAACGAGTTCGTGATTTTTTTCCCAACACAATTAATTTTGGTAACTTGTGTCACACTCAGGCTGTGGTAGGATCAGGTGAAGTTAGTTAGTGGTAGGTAGTGGTAGTTAAGTTCCATAGTTGTAGGTTGTTTTAGTGAAGAGAGGTAACTAGATTGTGGTTGATAAACGTATGCTAACTGCTAGCTAACTGGCAGAATTGCGAAGGAAAAATAAACCCACTTTTTAAATTAGATTAAAGTTTACAACGAATGCGCAGTAGTAATTTAAAACATATATACGTCACCAAAGCGAGTGATGGCACAATTAAAACATTATGATATCAATTATAACATGAAGATAAACAATACAATATATGAATGTGTTTATTTTGTCACACAGCGTGGGGCGGAGTCTACTCAAAGCGGTCATGTAAATGCCGCTAACCCCGCCTGTGTATGAAGGTGTTGAAATCAAGTGCTTCTTTATACGCTCAGTCAAAACCTCGTTAAAATCATAGGCCCCGTCCCAATACTCGCACTTCCACCTCGCGCCCCTCATTTGCGCGTTCCCGATAAGGGGTGGGAGTGCGTAGGGTGTCCCAATTCTCCAGGGAGGTCTTTGGCCCCGCCCCCTTTGCGCCCCTGATCCACACTTCGCCGTAGCCTGCATCTATGCGCACTCTGGCGAAGGATATTGCCAATTCTTTGCGGTACACACCAAAACATCGGGAAAATGCATTTAAATATACATTTTGAAATATATATGCAGTATGTGTGTAAATAAGTTTTGCTGTTACTTGGAAAGAAGCATAAACGTCTGATGAAGAATTACGGACATTGTGTTTTAACAATTTAATAACTTTTCAAAACAAGCGTTCATATAACATTCAATTTAAACTTTATACTTAGTACAATAATCTTAGAATGTATAAAAACTGACCAGCTAGTTAGTTACCCACATTTAACTTAAAATTATACAGCTATCTCTAATTAAAAACAACTAATATACATGTATTTTAACGTGTGTGAAGCAATTCATTTTGTTTCCCAAAGGGTCAGACAAAGTTACCTTTAATTTTTGTAAAGTTTGGGTCTGAAAATGACCATCTCTGACGAGTCGATGACGTCACATGCACTCAGTGTGCACTGTCCCAATTCCGCCTTTTTTGCACACTTGTAACCTGCGCACTCCAACCCTGGTGTGCACTGCGAACAAATGCACACTTCGTAGAGGTGTGTAGGGTGCAGTGTGGGTATTGGGACTGGGCCATATTCTTTGGCTTTACTTCCTTGTTGATGTTATTCCCCGCGTCCATCATGTGACTCTACCCCCAGTGCACTTCCCAAAGCTGTCACTGCTGCTCAGTCTCCCGGTGCTGGTCCCAGGTGTTGGAGCCGTGATGGCAGCCGTCCTGCTCTGCATATGTGTGTTTTTGGTGTTTTCCGGACAGACTTTGGCTAATTACGAGCCGACCTGGGAGTCCCTGGACGCCAGACCTCTGCCAGCCTGGTACGATGAGGCAAAGTTCGGCATCTTCATCCACTGGGGCGTGTTCTCTGTGCCCAGCTTCGGCAGCGAGTGGTTCTGGTGAGACTCCGGGCACTATGCACATGTATGATCAGTGTGTTTTACATGACATGATGATCAGGGCTGGGACAAGGAAATTCAATGTTCTATAATATTCAAAAAAATAACAAAAATAATGACATTTGAACGACCTTATATTCTAATATTAAACTGTGTATTAGCAGCAAATGTTGATTTCGCTTCAATCTCAGACAGTCATGTTTAGATGAACTGGTCAGATTATTGCTTTATCCGTACGCCCAGGGCACAGGACGATTAAAAAGAAAAGTGAAGACGCCTGTACCTGCATGCACTATCCTCTGGGGGACAAATCATTAGCAGCCCTAATGTTACAATCATGGATCTACCATGTTACAATATCCAATACATTTGAATATAGTCGATATTCAATAAAACAATGCAGCTTGAGTCCCAGCCCTAATGTGACCGAGGTTAATGTGTCTCTGGATCATCTGGTTTATACATCACCTAATCAAGTATTATAGCCTCCTGCTGGACTCTGGGAGCACAGGGACTGGCCTCCTGCTGGGACTCTGAGGAGCACAGGGACTGGCCTCCTGCTGGGACTCTGAGGAGCACAGGGACTGGCCTCCTGCTGGGACTCTGAGGAGCACAGGGACTGGCCTCCTGCTGGGACTCTGAGGAGCACAGGGACTGGCCTCCTGCTGGGACTCCCTCATTGCACCTTCCCCAGAGTCAAACTTGGGGGTGGCAGTGTCCTGTTATGGGGCTGCCGTTCTTCAGCAGGGACAGGGAAGAGTGACAGTCTGAGAATATTCCACATTATCTCCTGCTGTATTAATACTTGTGCTTGTCGTTCTTTACACTTTTTCTTTTCATGACAGCAACAGAATACTGTTTCTTCAGCTCACAATGATACAGCTGTTAATTAGAAAAACGGTTTCTTTGCCACGGATTGTTCCGGAACACGTGCCTGTCTCCTGTTCAGGTCACATCCTAAAATTCACCAAACCGGAAAAACTGGAAGAGTCAGATATGAATGTACACTGACACAGAAAGGACAAGTGCAGAGAGAGCTGTTATCAAACACACTCTCTCTCTCTGATCTCTCTCTCTGGTCTCTCTCTCTGGTCCCTCTCTCTGGTCCCTCTCTCTGGTCTCTCTCTCTGGTCCCTCTCTCTGGTCCCTCTCTCTGGTCTCTCTCTCTGCTCTCTCTATGGTCTCTCTCTCTGGTCCCTCTCTATGGTCTCACTCTCTGGTCTCACTCTCTGGTCTCTCTCTCTGGTCTCTCTCTCTGGTCCCTCTCTCTGGTCCCTCTCTCTGGTCTCTCTCTCTGCTCTCTCTCGGGTCTCTCTCTGATCTCTCTCGGATCTCTCTCTGGTCTCTCTCTGGTCTCTCTCTGGTCCCTCTCTCGGGTCTCTCTCTGGTCTCTCTCTGGTCTCTCTCTCTGGTCTCTCTCTGGTCTCTCTCTCGGGTCTCTCTCGGGTCTCTCTCGGGTCTCTCTCTGGTCTCTCTCTGGTCTCTCTCTGGTCTCTCTCTGGTCTCTCTCTGGTCTCTCTCTGGTCTCTCTCGGGTCTCTCTCTGGTCTCTCTCTCTGGTCTCTTTCTCTGGTCTCTCTCTCTGGTCTTTCTCTGGTCTCTCTCTGGTCTCTCTCTCTGGTCTCTCTCTCTGGTCTTTCTCTGGTCTCTCTCTGGTCTCTCTCTGGTCACTTTGGTGTTTCTGGTCCCTCTCTCATGAACTGTGTCTTCTGCAGGAACTACTGGAACCATCGATACCCAGCGTACGTGGACTTCATGCAGAGGAACTACCCTCCTGGTTTCACATACCAGGACTTTGCTCCGCTCTTCACCGCAGAGTTCTTCGACCCCAACGTCTGGAGCGAAGTCCTGTCTGCGTCCGGAGCCAAGTATGTGGTGCTGACGACCAAGCACCATGAAGGCAAGCACTGACACAAGCACCATAAAGGCAAGCACTGACACAAGCACCATGAAGGCAAGCACTGACCCAAGCACCATGAAGGCAAGCACTAACACAAGCACCATGAAGGCAAGCACTAACACAAGCACCATGAAGGCAAGCACTGACACAAGCACCATGAAGGCAAGCACTAACACAAGCACCATGAAGGCAAGCACTGACACAAGCACCATGAAGGCAAGCACTGACACAAGCACCATGAAGGCAAGCACTGACACAAGCACCATGAAGGCAAGCACTGACACAAGCACCATGAAGGCAAGCACTAACACAAGCACCATGAAGGCAAGCACTGACACAAGCACCATGAAGGCAAGCACTGACACAAGCACCATGAAGGCAAGCACTAACACAAGCACCATGAAGGCAAGCACTAACACAAGCACCATGAAGGCAAGCACTGACACAAGCACCATGAAGGCAAGCACTAACGCAAGCACCATGAAGGCAAGCACTAACACAAGCACCATGAAGGCAAGCACTGACACAAGCACCAGGAAGGCAAGCACTAACACAAGCACCATGAAGGCAAGCACTAACACAAGCACCATGAAGGCAAGCACTAACACAAGCACCATGAAGGCAAGCACTAACACAAGCACCATGAAGACAAGCACTGACCCAAGCACGATGAAGGCAAGCACTAACACAAGCACCATGAAGGCAAGCACTAACACAAGCACCATGAAGGCAAGCACTAACACAAGCACCATGAAGGCAAGCACTAACACAAGCACCATGAAGGCAAGCACTGACACAAGCACCATGAAGGCAAGCACTAACACAAGCACCATGAAGGCAAGCACTAACACAAGCACCATGAAGGCAAGCACTGACCCAAGCACGATGAAGGCAAGCACTAACACAAGCACCATGAAGGCAAGCACTAACACAAGCACCATGAAGGCAAGCACTAACACAAGCACCATGAAGGCAAGCACTAACACAAGCACCATGAAGGCAAGCACTGACACAAGCACCATGAAGGCAAGCACTAACACAAGCACCATGAAGGCAAGCACTAACACAAGCACCATGAAGGCAAGCACTGACACAAGCACCATGAAGGCAAGCACTAACACAAGCACCATGAAGGCAAGCACTAACACAAGCACCATGAAGGCAAGCACTGACACAAGCACCATGAAGGCAAGCACTAACGCAAGCACCATGAAGGCAAGCACTAACACAAGCACCATGAAGGCAAGCACTGACACAAGCACCAGGAAGGCAAGCACTAACACAAGCACCATGAAGGCAAGCACTAACACAAGCACCATGAAGGCAAGCACTAACACAAGCACCATGAAGGCAAGCACTAACACAAGCACCATGAAGACAAGCACTGACCCAAGCACCATGAAGGCAAGCACTAACACAAGCACCATGAAGGCAAGCACTAACACAAGCACCATGAAGGCAAGCACTAACACAAGCACCATGAAGGCAAGCACTAACACAAGCACCATGAAGGCAAGCACTGACACAAGCACCATGAAGGCAAGCACTAACACAAGCACCATGAAGGCAAGCACTAACACAAGCACCATGAAGGCAAGCACTGACACAAGCACCATGAAGGCAAGCACTAACACAAGCACCATGAAGGCAAGCACTAACACAAGCACCATGAAGGCAAGCACTAACACCTACACAAGCACCATGAAGGCAAGCACTGACACAAGCACCATGAAGGCAAGCACTAACGCAAGCACCATGAAGGCAAGCACTAACACAAGCACCATGAAGGCAAGCACTGACACAAGCACCATGAAGGCAAGCACTGACACAAGCACCATGAAGGCAAGCACTAACACAAGCACCATGAAGGCAAGCACTAACACAAGCACCATGAAGGCAAGCACTGACACAAGCACCATGAAGGCAAGCACTAACGCAAGCACCATGAAGACAAGCACTGACCCAAGCACCATGAAGGCAAGCACTAACACAAGCACCATGAAGGCAAGCACTAACACAAGCACCATAAGGCAAGCACTAACACAAGCACCATGAAGGCAAGCACTAACACAAGCACCATGAAGGCAAGCACTAACACAAGCACCATGAAGGCAAGCACTAACACAAGCACCATGAAGGCAAGCACTAACACAAGCACCATGAAGGCAAGCACTGACACAAGCACCATGAAGGCAAGCACTAACACAAGCACCATGAAGGCAAGCACTAACACAAGCACCATGAAGGCAAGCACTGACACAAGCACCATGAAGGCAAGCACTAACACAAGCACCATGAAGGCAAGCACTAACACAAGCACCATGAAGGCAAGCACTAACACCTACACAAGCACCATGAAGGCAAGCACTGACACAAGCACCATGAAGGCAAGCACTAACGCAAGCACCATGAAGGCAAGCACTAACACAAGCACCATGAAGGCAAGCACTGACACAAGCACCATGAAGGCAAGCACTAACACAAGCACCATGAAGGCAAGCACTGACACAAGCACCATGAAGGCAAGCACTGACACAAGCACCATGAAGGCAAGCACTAACACAAGCACCATGAAGGCAAGCACTAACACAAGCACCATGAAGGCAAGCACTGACACAAGCACCATGAAGGCAAGCACTAACACAAGCACCATGAAGGCAAGCACTAACACAAGCACCATGAAGGCAAGCACTAACACCTACACAAGCACCATGAAGGCAAGCACTGACACAAGCACCATGAAGGCAAGCACTAACGCAAGCACCATGAAGGCAAGCACTAACACAAGCACCATGAAGGCAAGCACTAACACAAGCACCATGAAGGCAAGCACTAACACAAGCACCATGAAGGCAAGCACTGACACAAGCACCATGAAGGCAAGCACTAACACAAGCACCATGAAGGCAAGCACTAACACAAGCACCATGAAGGCAAGCACTGACACAAGCACCATGAAGGCAAGCACTAACACAAGCACCATGAAGGCAAGCACTAACACAAGCACCATGAAGGCAAGCACTAACACCTACACAAGCACCATGAAGGCAAGCACTGACACAAGCACCATGAAGGCAAGCACTAACGCAAGCACCATGAAGGCAAGCACTGACACAAGCACCATGAAGGCAAGCACTAACACAAGCACCATGAAGGCAAGCACTAACACAAGCACCATGAAGGCAAGCACTAACACCTACACAAGCACCATGAAGGCAAGCACTGACACAAGCACCATGAAGGCAAGCACTAACGCAAGCACCATGAAGGCAAGCACTAACACAAGCACCATGAAGGCAAGCACTAACACAAGCACCATGAAGGCAAGCACTAACACAAGCACCATGAAGGCAAGCACTGACACAAGCACCATGAAGGCAAGCACTAACACAAGCACCATGAAGGCAAGCACTAACACAAGCACCATGAAGGCAAGCACTGACACAAGCACCATGAAGGCAAGCACTAACACAAGCACCATGAAGGCAAGCACTAACACAAGCACCATGAAGGCAAGCACTAACACAAGCACCATGAAGGCAAGCACTAACACCTACACAAGCACCATGAAGGCAAGCACTGACACAAGCACCATGAAGGCAAGCACTAACGCAAGCACCATGAAGGCAAGCACTAACGCAAGCACCATGAAGGCAAGCACTGACACAAGCACCATGAAGGCAAGCACTAACACAAGCACCATGAAGGCAAGCACTGACACAAGCACCATGAAGGCAAGCACTAACACAAGCACCATGAAGGCAAGCACTAACACAAGCACCATGAAGGCAAGCACTGACACAAGCACCATGAAGGCAAGCACTAACACAAGCCACCATGAAGGTAAGCACTAACACAAGCACCATGAAGGCAAGCACTAACGCCTACACAAGCACCATGAAGGCAAGCACTGACACAAGCACCATGAAGGCAAGCACTAACGCAAGCACCATGAAGGCAAGCACTAACACAAGCACCATGAAGGCAAGCACTAACACAAGCACCATGAAGGCAAGCACTAACACAAGCACCATGAAGGCAAGCACTAACACTTAAACAAGCACCATGAAGGCAAGCACTGACACAAGCACCATGAAGGCAAGCACTGACACAAGCACCATGAAGGCAAGCACTGACACAAGCACCAGGAAGGCAAGCACTAACACAAGCACCATGAAGGCAAGCACTAACACAAGCACCATGAAGGCAAGCACTAACACAAGCACCATGAAGGCAAGCACTGACACAAGCACCATGAAGGCAAGCACTGACACAAGCACCATGAAGGCAAGCACTAACACAAGCACCATGAAGGCAAGCACTAACACAAGCACCATGAAAGCAAGCACTGACACAAGCACCATGAAGGCAAGCACTAACACAAGCACCATGAAGGCAAGCACTAACACAAGCACCATGAAGGCAAGCACTAACACTTACACAAGCACCATGAAGGCAAGCACTGACACAAGCACCATGAAGGCAAGCACTAACGCAAGCACCATGAAGGCAAGCACTAACACAAGCACCATGAAGGCAAGCACTGACACAAGCACCAGGAAGGCAAGCACTAACACAAGCACCATGAAGGCAAGCACTAACACAAGCACCATGAAGGCAAGCACTAACACAAGCACCATGAAGGCAAGCACTAACACAAGCACCATGAAGGCAAGCACTAACACAAGCACCATGAAGGCAAGCACTAACACAAGCACCATGAAGGCAAGCACTAACACAAGCACCATGAAGGCAAGCACTAACACTTACACAAGCACCATGAAGGCAAGCACTGACACAAGCACCATGAAGGCAAGCACTGACACAAGCACCATGAAGGCAAGCACTGACACAAGCACCAGGAAGGCAAGCACTAACACAAGCACCATGAAGGCAAGCACTGACACAAGCACCATGAAGGCAAGCACTAACACAAGCACCATGAAGGCAAGCACTAACACAAGCACCATGAAGGCAAGCACTAACACAAGCACCATAAAGGCAAGCACTAACACAAGCACCATGAAGGCAAGCACTAACACAAGCACCATGAAGGCAAGCACTGACACAAGCACCATGAAGGCAAGCACTGACACAAGCACCATGAAGGCAAGCACTGACACAAGCACCATGAAGGCAAGCACTAACACAAGCACCATGAAGGCAAGCACTAACACAAGCACCATGAAGGCAAGCACTAACACAAGCACCATGAAGGCAAGCACTAACACAAGCACCATGAAGGCAAGCACTAACACAAGCACCATGAAGGCAAGCACTAACACAAGCACCATGAAGGCAAGCACTAACACAAGCACCATGAAGGCAAGCACTAACACAAGCACCATGAAGGCAAGCACTAACACAAGCACCATGAAGGCAAGCACTAACACAAGCACCATGAAGGCAAGCACTAACACAAGCACCATGAAGGCAAGCACTAACACAAGCACCATGAAGGCAAGCACTAACACAAGCACCATGAAGGCAAGCACTAACACAAGCACCATGAAGGCAAGCACTGACCCAAGCACCATGAAGGCAAGCACTAACACAAGCACCATGAAGGCAAGCACTAACACAAGCACCATGAAGGCAAGCACTAACACAAGCACCATGAAGGCAAGCACTAACACAAGCACCATGAAGGCAAGCACTAACACAAGCACCATGAAGGCAAGCACTGACACAAGCACCATGAAGGCAAGCACTAACACAAGCACCATGAAGGCAAGCACTGACACAAGCACCATGAAGGCAAGCACTGACACAAGCACCATGAAGGCAAGCACTAACACAAGCACCATGAAGGCAAGCACTGACACAAGCACCATGAAGGCAAGCACTAACACAAGCACCATGAAGGCAAGCACTGACACAAGCACCATGAAGGCAAGCACTGACACAAGCACCATGAAGGCAAGCACTAACACAAGCACCATGAAGGCAAGCACTAACACAAGCACCATGAAGGCAAGCACTGACACAAGCACCATGAAGGCAAGCACTAACGCAAGCACCATGAAGGCAAGCACTAACGCAAGCACCATGAAGGCAAGCACTGACACAAGCACCAGGAAGGCAAGCACTAACACAAGCACCATGAAGGCAAGCACTAACACAAGCACCATGAAGGCAAGCACTAACACAAGCACCATGAAGATAAGCACTGACCCAAGCACCATGAAGGCAAGCACTAACACAAGCACCATGAAGGCAAGCACTAACACAAGCACCATGAAGGCAAGCACTGACACAAGCACCATGAAGGCAAGCACTGACACAAGCACCATGAAGGCAAGCACTAACACAAGCACCATGAAGGCAAGCACTAACACAAGCACCATGAAAGCAAGCACTGACACAAGCACCATGAAGGCAAGCACTAACACAAGCACCATGAAGGCAAGCACTAACACAAGCACCAACACAAGCACCATGAAGGCAAGCACTAACACTTACACAAAGCACCATGAAGGCAAGCACTGACACAAGCACCATGAAGGCAAGCACTAACGCAAGCACCATGAAGGCAAGCACTAACACAAGCACCATGAAGGCAAGCACTGACACAAGCACCAGGAAGGCAAGCACTAACACAAGCACCATGAAGGCAAGCACTAACACAAGCACCATGAAGGCAAGCACTAACACAAGCACCATGAAGGCAAGCACTAACACAAGCACCATGAAGGCAAGCACTAACACAAGCACCATGAAGGCAAGCACTAACACAAGCACCATGAAGGCAAGCACTAACACTTACACAAGCACCATGAAGGCAAGCACTGACACAAGCACCATGAAGGCAAGCACTGACACAAGCACCATGAAGGCAAGCACTAACACAAGCACCATGAAGGCAAGCACTGACCCAAGCACCATGAAGGCAAGCACTAACACAAGCACCATGAAGGCAAGCACTAACACAAGCACCATGAAGGCAAGCACTAACACAGCACCATGAAGGCAAGCACTAACACAAGCACCATGAAGGCAAGCACTAACACAAGCACCATGAAGGCAAGCACTGACCCAAGCACCATGAAGGCAAGCACTGACCCAAGCACCATGAAGGCAAGCACTAACACAAGCACCATGAAGGCAAGCAAGCACACACAAGCACCAGGAAGGCAAGCACTAACACAAGCACCATGAAGGCAAGCACTAACACAAGCACCATGAAGGCAAGCACTAACACAAGCACCATGAAGGCAAGCACTAACACAAGCACCATGAAGGCAAGCACTGACCCAAGCACCATGAAGGCAAGCACTAACACAAGCACCATGAAGGCAAGCACTAACACAAGCACCATGAAGGCAAGCACTGACACAAGCACCATGAAGGCAAGCACTGACACAAGCACCATGAAGGCAAGCACTGACACAAGCACCATGAAGGCAAGCACTAACACAAGCACCATGAAGGCAAGCACTAACACAAGCACCATGAAAGCAAGCACTGACACAAGCACCATGAAGGCAAGCACTAACACAAGCACCATGAAGGCAAGCACTAACACAAGCACCAACACAAGCACCATGAAGGCAAGCACTAACACTTACACAAGCACCATGAAGGCAAGCACTGACACAAGCACCATGAAGGCAAGCACTAACGCAAGCACCATGAAGGCAAGCACTAACACAAGCACCATGAAGGCAAGCACTGACACAAGCACCAGGAAGGCAAGCACTAACACAAGCACCATGAAGGCAAGCACTAACACAAGCACCCATGAAGGCAAGCACTAACACAAGCACCATGAAGGCAAGCACTAACACAAGCACCATGAAGGCAAGCACTAACACAAGCACCATGAAGGCAAGCACTAACACAAGCACCATGAAGGCAAGCACTAACACAAGCACCATGAAGGCAAGCACTAACACAAGCACCATGAAGGCAAGCACTAACACTTACACAAGCACCATGAAGGCAAGCACTGACACAAGCACCATGAAGGCAAGCACTGACACAAGCACCATGAAGGCAAGCACTAACACAAGCACCATGAAGGCAAGCACTGACCCAAGCACCATGAAGGCAAGCACTAACACAAGCACCATGAAGGCAAGCACTAACACAAGCACCATGAAGGCAAGCACTAACACAAGAACCATGAAGGCAAGCACTAACACAAGCACCATGAAGGCAAGCACTAACACAAGCACCATGAAGGCAAGCACTAACACAAGCACCATGAAGGCAAGCACTAACACAAGCACCATGAAGGCAAGCACTGACCCAAGCACCATGAAGGCAAGCACTGACCCAAGCACCATGAAGGCAAGCACTAACACAAGCACCATGAAGGCAAGCACTAACACAAGCACCATGAAGGCAAGCACTAACACAAGCACCATGAAGGCAAGCACTAACACAAGCACCATGAAGGCAAGCACTAACACAAGCACCATGAAGGCAAGCACTAACACAAGCACCATGAAGGCAAGCACTGACCCAAGCACCATGAAGGCAAGCACTAACACAAGCACCATGAAGGCAAGCACTAACACAAGCACCATGAAGGCAAGCACTGACACAAGCACCATGAAGGCAAGCACTAACACAAGCACCATGAAGGCAAGCACTAACACAAGCACCATGAAGGCAAGCACTAACACCTACACAAGCACCATGAAGGCAAGCACTGACACAAGCACCATGAAGGCAAGCACTAACGCAAGCACCATGAAGGCAAGCACTAACACAAGCACCATGAAGGCAAGCACTGACACAAGCACCATGAAGGCAAGCACTGACACAAGCACCATGAAGGCAAGCACTAACACAAGCACCATGAAGGCAAGCACTAACACAAGCACCATGAAGGCAAGCACTGACACAAGCACCATGAAGGCAAGCACTAACGCAAGCACCATGAAGGCAAGCACTAACACAAGCACCATGAAGGCAAGCACTGACACAAGCACCAGGAAGGCAAGCACTAACACAAGCACCATGAAGGCAAGCACTAACACAAGCACCATGAAGGCAAGCACTAACACAAGCACCATGAAGGCAAGCACTAACACAGGCACCATGAAGGCAAGCACTAACACAAGCACCATGAAGGCAAGCACTAACACAAGCACCAACACAAGCACCATGAAGGCAAGCACTAACACTTACACAAGCACCATGAAGGCAAGCACTGACACAAGCACCATGAAGGCAAGCACTAACGCAAGCACCATGAAGGCAAGCACTAACACAAGCACCATGAAGGCAAGCACTGACACAAGCACCAGGAAGGCAAGCACTAACACAAGCACCATGAAGGCAAGCACTAACACAAGCACCATGAAGGCAAGCACTAACACAAGCACCATGAAGGCAAGCACTAACACAAGCACCATGAAGGCAAGCACTAACACAAGCACCATGAAGGCAAGCACTAACACAAGCACCATGAAGGCAAGCACTAACACAAGCACCATGAAGGCAAGCACTAACACAAGCACCATGAAGGCAAGCACTAACACAAGCACCATGAAGGCAAGCACTAACACTTACACAAGCACCATGAAGGCAAGCACTGACACAAGCACCATGAAGGCAAGCACTGACACAAGCACCATGAAGGCAAGCACTGACCCAAGCACCATGAAGGCAAGCACTAACACAAGCACCATGAAGGCAAGCACTAACACAAGCACCATGAAGGCAAGCACTAACACAAGCACCATGAAGGCAAGCACTAACACAAGCACCATGAAGGCAAGCACTAACACAAGCACCATGAAGGCAAGCACTAACACAAGCACCATGAAGGCAAGCACTAACACAAGCACCATGAAGGCAAGCACTGACCCAAGCACCATGAAGGCAAGCACTGACCCAAGCACCATGAAGGCAAGCACTAACACAAGCACCATGAAGGCAAGCACTAACACAAGCACCATGAAGGCAAGCACTAACACAAGCACCATGAAGGCAAGCACTAACACAAGCACCATGAAGGCAAGCACTAACACAAGCACCATGAAGGCAAGCACTGACCCAAGCACCATGAAGGCAAGCACTAACACAAGCACCATGAAGGCAAGCACTAACACAAGCACCATGAAGGCATTGAAGAAGATGACAAAGTCTGGGATCGTGTCTTTCATTCAGACAGAAGACATGTTTTATTGTCGATGGTAGAGACAGCACGAACAACACAAACAACAGAATGCAAGTGTATTATACAGAGCGGAGGCATGGAGACCTCCAATCAGCAGCTGCCACGGTGCCATGTAGCTTGGCCTTCAGATAGACAAAACAAGGGAAAAGTACTGGCTTCTGCACATTGATAGAATGATGAGTTTAACTTTAACAAAAGTTGCTTAAAAGTGTTATGAAATCTCACATTCCCCCCTCTGGTCACACATTCATGTGTGACCATCAGGATCGATAAACGGCAACATAACATCATAACTCAATACTTAAACTCGGTACTTCACTCGGTATTTCAAAAAACTCAGAACTCTGAATACTTCAAAAACTCAGAAAACTCATAAAACATGTTCAGATCTTTCATAAAACTTGTCAACAATCTTCAGTTAAATACCAAACTTCATCAGTCGATGGTTCTCAGATATTGCTTTGAAAACAGTCTCTCCCACTTCTCCGTGTTGGTTTCTTCAGGCTGCATATGTGTCGAGCCATGAATTCTTCTGTGACGTGTCTTTCAATCACACGTTTCAGCTTTAGTGTCCAGATTCAGAAATCCATTTGTTCCAAATTATGTCCATGCAAAAGAGGACGATGGTATTGTCCATGTCTCAGCAGCTCACAGCCTGACTGGAATCAGGGGCTGTGCAGATTGTCCAAGTGTGCTGGTCCAGACGCATGGTTTCTCTTGAGGTTTCTCAATTTTGGCTTAAAAAAAAAACACATTTTTGTGTAAAAAAAAAAAAAAGTCTTCTGTTCTGTAGATGTTACAGACAATGCCCACATCCTTCCACCACCTGAAGAAGATGACATGTCTGGGATCGCGTCTTTCATTCAGACAGAAGACATGTTTTATTGTCAATGGTAGAGACAGCACGAACAACACAAACAACAGAATGCAAGTGTATTATACAGAGCGGAGGCATGGAGACCTCCAATCAGCAGCTGCCACGGTGCCATGTAGCTTGGCCTTCAGACTGACAAAACAAGGGAACAGTACTGGCTTCTGCACATTGATAGAATGATGAGTTTAACTTTAACAAAAGTTGCTTCAAAGTGTTATGAAATCTCACAGCATGCACTAACACAAGCACCATGAAGGCAAGCACTGACACAAGCACCATGAAGGCAAGCACTGACACAAGCACTGACACAAGCACAAGGTATGGTTTATATTTTTACAGGGACAGTGTACCATAAACATTAGCCAGAAGGAGAGATGCATTGTACCAGGTTTTAGCAGCAGTGCTAATTTACACCTGTTGTCTCTGAGCAGGATGTTGTAAAACAGTCAAATAAAAGTAGATGGATACATTACCATACATCAGCAGACATACAGACATTTCTCTCTTTCTGGTCACTCTCTTTGGTCTCTCTCTCTGGTCTCTCTCTCTGGTCTCTCTCTCTGGTCTCTCTCTCTGGTCTCTCTCTCTGGTCTCTCTCTCTGGTCTCTCTCTCTGGTCTCTCTCTCTGATCTTTCTCTCTGGTCTCTCTCTCTGGTCTCTCTCTCTCTGGTCTCTCTCTCTGATCTCTCTCTCTCTGGTCTCTCTCTCTGGTCTCTCTCTCTGGTCTCTCTCTCTGGTCTCTCTCTCTGGTCTCTGACCCTCATAGCCGTGCTCTCTCTGGTCTTAGGTTTCACTCTCTGGGACTCTCCTCGGTCATGGAACTGGAACTCGGTCTCGGTTGGTCCCAAACTGGACCTGGTCTCGGCCTTCTCCTCGGCTCTGCGGGCTCACACAGACCTGCGGCTGGGGTTGTACCACTCCCTGTTCGAATGGTTCCACCCGCTCTTCCTCCTGGACCAGCACAACTCCTTCAGCACGGACCTGTTCCCCACGACCAAAACCCTACCCGAGCTCCGGGACCTGGTTCTGAGGTTCAAACCGGACCTGGTCTGGGCCGACGGGGACGGGAACGCTCCGGACTCCTACTGGAACAGCACAGGCTTCTTGGCCTGGCTCTACAATGACAGGTGACCAGCAGGAGGCATTGTTTGTCTCTCTCTGGTCTCACTGTGATCTCTGTCCTCTCTCTGGCTTCTCTTTGGTCTCTCTCCTCTCTCTCTTCTCTCTCTGGTTTCTCTCTAGTCTCTCTCTGGTCTCACTGTGGTCCCTCTCCTCTCTCTCTCCAGCCCAGTGCGAGACACGGTGGTGACTAACGACCGCTGGGGTTCTGGTTCCATCTGTCGTCACGGCGGGTTCTACACCTGCTCGGACCGGTACCAGCCGGGACACCTGCTGAGGCACAAGTGGGAGAACTGCATGACCATCGACCAGAAGAGCTGGGGCTACAGGAGGGAGGCCCGGCTCCAGGACTACCTCAGCTCCAAGCAGCTGGTCTCTGTGAGTCTGAGGGTCTGAGGGTCTGAGGGTCTGAGGGTCTGAGGGTCTGAGGGTCTGAGGGTCTGAGGTCTGAGGTCTGAGGGTCTGAGGTCTGAGGGTCTGAGGTCTGGGGTCTAAGGTCTGAGGGTCTGAGATTCTGAGGTCTGGGGTCTGAGGGTCTGAGGGTCTGAGGCCTGAGGCCTGAGGCCTGAGGTCTGAGGGTCTGAGGGTCTGAGGGTCTGAGGGTCTGAGGGTCTGAGGGTCTGAGGCCTGAGGCCTGAGGCCTGAGGCCTGAGGCCTGAGGCCTGAGGCCTGAGGTCTGAGGGTCTGAGGGTCTGAGGGTCTGAGGGTCTGAGGGTCTGAGGGTCTGAGGTCTGAGGGTCTGAGGTCTGAGGGTCTGAGGGTCTGAGGTCCGAGGTCTAAGGTCTGAGGGTCTGAGGGTCTGAAGGTCCGAGGGTCTGAAGGTCCGAGGGTCTGAGGGTCTGGGGTCTGAGGTCTGAGGGTCTGGGGTCTGAGGGTCTGAGGTCCAGAAGGACTTGTCTGAGCTCATTCTGGTGTGTTGATGGTGTGTTGATGGTGTGTTGATGGTTTGTCGATGGTGTGGTGATGGTCTGTTGATGGTGTGGTGATGGTGTGTTGATGGTATTGATGGTGTGGTGATTGTGTTGCTGGTATTGATTATGTGTTGATGGTATTGATGGTGTGGTGATGGTCTGTTGATGGTGTGTTGATGGTATTGATGGTGTGGTGATGGTGTTGCTGGTATTGATTATGTGTTGATGGTTTGGTGATGGTTTGGTGATGGTGTGTTGATGGTTTGTCGATGGTGTGGTGATGGTCTGTTGATGGTGTGGTGATGGTGTGTTGATGGTGCTGATGATGTGTTGATGGTGTGTTGATGGTGTTGATGGTGTCGATGGTGTGGTGATGGTGTTGATGATGTTGATGGTGTTGATGGTGTAGACCCTGGTGGAGACCGTAGCGTGCGGAGGAAACCTGCTGATGAACATCGGTCCAACACACGATGGAAGAATCGCTCCGATCTTTGAGGAGCGACTCAGAAACGTGGGGGCGTGGCTTAAAGTCAACGGAGGCGGAGTCTACAACAGCACCACCTGGAGGCGGCAGAACGACACTGTCACTGCAGACATATGGTACTGACCGGGACTGGACCGGGACTGGACCGGGGCTGGACTGGGGCTGGACTGGGGCTGGACTGGGGCTGGACTGGGGCTGGACTGGGGCTGGACTGGGGCTGGACCGGGACTGGACCAGGACCTAGACCAACACCAGGACAGGACCAGGACCTAGACCAGGACCAGGGAACAGAAAAAGATCAGGACCAAATAAGACCTCCTGTGGTACCTGTGGTACCTGTGTCTCCTCCTGTGGTACCTGTGTCTCCTCCTGTGGTACCTGTGTCTCCTGTGGTACCTGTGTCTCCTGTGGTACTTGTGTCTCCTGTGGTACTTGTGTCTCCTGTGGTACCTGTGTCTCCTGTGGTACCTGTGTCTCCTGTGGTACTTGTGTCTCCTGTGGTACCTGTGTCTCCTGTGGTACCTGTGTCTCCTGTGGTACCTGTGTCTCCTGTGGTACCTGTGTCTCCTCCTGTGGTACCTGTGTCTCCTCCTGTGGTACCTGTGTCTCCTGTGGTACCTGTGTCTCCTGTGGTACTTGTGTCTCCTGTGGTACCTGTGTCTCCTGTGGTACCTGTGTCTCATGTGGTACCTGTGTCTCATGTGGTACCTGTGTGTCAGACTTGTGGTACCTGTGATCCTCAGGTACACCTGTAACCTGCAGCATCAGCAGATCTTCGCCTTCCTGCTGCAGTGGCCTGAGTCCGGGACCGTAGTCCTGGCCGACCCCATGGTCACTGAGGGCGTCACCCAGGTCAGACCAGGACTGAGGCTGTAGACCCAGGACTGAGGCTGTAGACCCCGGACTGAGGCTGTAGATCCAGGACTGAGGCTGTAGATCCAGGACTGAGGCTGTAGATCCAGGACTGAGGCTGTAGATCCAGGACTGAGGCTGTAGATCCAGGACTGAGGCTGTAGATCCAGGACTGAGACTGTAGACCCAGGACTGAGGCTGTAGATCCAGGACTGAGGCTGTAGATCCAGGACTGAGGCTGTAGATCCAGGACTGAGGCTGTAGACCCAGGACTGAGGCTGTAGACCCAGGACTGAGGCTGTAGACCCAGGACTGAGGCTGTAGACCCAGGACTGAGGCTGTAGACCCAGGACTGAGGCTGTAGATCCAGGACTGAGGCTGTAGATCCAGGACTGAGGCTGTAGACCCAGGACTGAGGCTGAAGACCCAGGACTGAGGCTGTAGACCCAGGACTGAGGCTGTAGACCCAGGATTGAATGTAAGGAGTGGAGGACAGTGTCGGTGGCTTCTGTCGCCATCATGTGGAGAGAAGGGGAACTGCACCGCTATAAAGACTGCTTTCCTGTGTGTGTTATGTTTTGTGTGCGTGTGTGTCATGTTGTGTGTTGACTTGTGTGTGTGTGTGTCATGTTGTGTGTTGACTTGTGTGGTGTGTTGTGTGTCATGTTGTGTGTTGACTTGTGTGTGTGTCATGTTGTGTGGTGTGTTGTGTGTCATGTTGTGTGTTGACTTGTGTGTGTGTGTCATGTTGTGTGTTGACTTGTGTGGTGTGTTGTGTGTCATGTTGTGTGTTGACTTGTGTGGTGTGTTGTGTGTTGACTTGTGTGTGTGTGTGTCATGTTGTGTGTTGACTTGTGTTGTGTGTCATGTTGTGTGTTGACTTGTGTTGTGTGTCATGTTGTGTGATGACTTGTGTGGTGTGTCATGTTGTGTGTTGACTTGTGTTGTGTGTTGTGTGTAGGTGCAGTTGTTGGGATTTGGACCGGTCCAGTTCAGTCCAATAAAACCCTCTGGTCTCAAAGTGGTTCTTCCTTCTCTGACGCTGCAGCAGATGCCCTGTCAGTGGGCCTGGACCCTGGAGATCTCAGGAGCCAAGTGACACATACACACATATATATACATGCACACACACACACACATATACCCCACACATACACACAAATGTGAATGTATAGAAATAAGGGGAACTACTGAATGTGTAAATATTATTCTCCAAATCAAATAAAAATCTGGTCTCTCTCTGGTCTCTCTGGTTTTACCATGAAGGAATTATTTTTTTAAATTGTATTAAGGGATCGTGTGTTATGTGACTTGTGGGGACTCATGTATCTGTCATGTGACTTGTGGGGACTCATGTATGTGTCATGTGACTTGTGGGGACTCATGTATGTGTCATGTGACTTGTGGGGACTCATGTATGTGTCATGTGACTTGTGGGGACTCATGTATGTGTATTTCTAATCTAATAAACGATGATGTCTTTGATCTTTGTCTTTGTTACTTTTACTAAACGTCTTCATTATGATTAAAGTCTCGAACCCTGCAGGTGAAAGCCAGATCCTGTCAGACCACTGAACCTTAGCAGGGCAGGGCCTGGTTAGTGCTGTGATGGGAGACCTCTGGGAACAGTGGGGCGGCTGTAAAGTGCCAAACTGTGGTCGTGTCCTTAGGCAAGACACTTCACCCCCATTGCCTAAAATGAGTCTGGTGTGTGTGTGTGAATGGTTGGTGGTGGTGGAAGGGGCCGATGGCACAGACTGGTTGCCTCGCTTCTGTCAGTGTGTCCCAGGGCAGCTGTGGCTACAGTAGTAGTTTATTTCCACCCCTTCTGTCTTACGCTCTGTTGTCAAACTCATGACACAGTGATGAATCTACAGACTCTGATGTCTTGCTCAGAGCTGTGCAGCAGGGGGCAGCACACCTTCATCCACATCCGAGACTTCATCAAACACCGGTGTCACATTTTCAGGAAGACTGCCGCAGAAAATGCGGGGAGACACGTCCCTATGAGTGTATTATAATGTAATTTCTGCTGGTCTCTCTCTCTGGTCCCTCTCCCTGGTCTCTCTCTCTGGTCTCTCTCTGGTCTCTCTCTGGTCTCTATCTCTGGTCTCTCTCTGGTTTTTCTCTGGTCCCTCTCTGGTCTCTCTCTCTGGTTTCTCTCCGGTCTCTCTCTCTGGTTTCTGTCTGGTCCCTCTCTGGTCTCTCTCTCTGGTCGCTCCAGAAGTCCCCATGTGTCGTCCCTCCCTCAGACCCTGCTCAGGCCCTGTTCTATTTCTGTGCCTCCTCTGCGTGCGCGTGCGTGTGCGCGCTCTGTGCTCTGCAGCAGCTCCTCTCTCTCTCCCCCTCTCTCCCCCTCCCTCGCTCCCACACACACGCGCACGCGCAGACGCACTGACGGCTCGCCTCTCCGCTGACCTGGCTCGTCTCAGTCATGCGCGCGCCCCCTGGACCTGTCCTCTTCTCTGCACGTGCACGTGACGCGCACCTATGATCATGGCGCACTCAGCCGCGCGCGCACCAGGTTGGTAATGGCTTCCACTTCATTCATTTACCCAGACACCGCTATCCACCGATACACAACACACACACTGCTACACAACACACACACACAACACACACACTGCTACACAACACACACACTGCTGCACCACACACACTGCTACACAACACACACACACTGCTGCACCACACACAGTGCTACACAACACACACATACATCTGCAGCTGCTTCTCCCTAAATGTGCGCAGGTCTTTGTGCTTCATATTCTCCACCAGCGGTGATACATCTGTATCTCACCTCTGTCTCTCTCTGGTCTCTCTCTGGTCTCTCTCTGGTCTCTCTCTCTGGTATCTCTCTCTGGTATCTCTCTCTGGTATCTCTCTCTGGTATCTCTCTCTGGTCTCTCTCTGGTCTCTCTCTGGTCTCTCTCTGGTCTCTCTCTGGTCTCTCTCTCTGGTCTCTCTCTCTGGTCTCTCTCTGGTCTCTCTCTGGTCTCTCTCTGGTCTCTCTGGTCTCTTTCTGGTCTCTCTCTGGTCTCTCTCTCTGGTATCTCTCTTTGGTCTCTCTCTATGGTCTCTCTGGTCTCTCTCTGGTCTCTCTCTCTGGTCTCTCTCTGGTCTCTCTCTGGTCTCTCTCTGGTCTCTCTCTGGTCTCTCTGGTCTCTTTCTGGTCTCTCTCTGGTCTCTCTCTCTGGTCTCTCTCTGGTCTCTCTCTGGTCTCTCTCTGGTCTCTCTCTGGTCTCTCTCTCTGGTCTCTTTCTGGTCTCTCTCTGGTCTCTCTCTCTGGTATCTCTCTTTGGTCTCTCTCTATGGTCTCTCTGGTCTCTCTCTGGTCTCTCTCTCTGGTCTCTCTGGTCTCTCTCTCTGGTCTCTCTCTGGTCTCTCTGGTCTCTCTCTCTGGTCTCTCTCTGGTCTCTCTCTGGTCTCTCTCTGGTCTCTCTGGTCTCTCTCTGGTCTCTCTCTGGTCTCTCTCTGGTCTCTCTCTCTGGTCTCTCTCTCTGGTCTCTCTCTGGTCTCTCTCTGGTCTCTCTCTGGTCTCTCTGGTCTCTCTCTGGTCTCTCTCTGGTATCTCTCTCTGGTCTCTCTGGTCTCTTTCTGGTCTCTCTCTGGTCTCTCTCTCTGGTATCTCTCTCTGGTCTCTCTCTATGGTCTCTCTGGTCTCTCTCTGGTCTCTCTCTCTGGTCTCTCTGGTCTCTCTCTGGTCTCTCTCTGGTCTCTCTCTGGTCTCTCTCTGGTCTCTCTCTGGTCTCTCTGGTCTCTCTCTGGTATCTCTGGTCTCTCTCTGGTCTCTCTCTGTGGTATCTCTCTCTGGTCTCTCTCTCTGGTCTCTCTGGTCTCTCTCTGGTCTCTCTCTCTGGTCTCTCTGGTCTCTCTCTCTGGTCTCTCTCTGGTCTCTCTGGTCTCTCTCTGGTCTCTCTCTCTGGTCTCTCTCTCTGGTCTCTCTCTGGTCTCTCTCTGGTCTCTCTCTGGTCTCTCTGGTCTCTCTCTGGTCTCTCTCTGGTATCTCTCTCTGGTCTCTCTGGTCTCTTTCTGGTCTCTCCCTGGTCTCTCTGGTCTCTCTCTCTGGTCTCTCTCTGGTCTCTCTCTCTGGTCTCTCTCTCTGGTCTCTCTCTCTGGTCTCTCTCTGGTCTCTCTCTGGTATCTCTCTTTGGTCTCTCTCTATGGTCTCTCTGGTCTCTCTCTGGTCTCTCTCTCTGGTCTCTCTGGTCTCTCTCTCTGGTCTCTCTCTGGTCTCTCTGGTCTCTCTCTCTGGTCTCTCTCTGGTCTCTCTCTGGTCTCTCTGGTCTCTCTCTCTGGTCTCTCTCTCTGGTCTCTCTCTCTGGTCTCTCTCTGGTCTCTCTCTGGTCTCTCTCTGGTCTCTCTGGTCTCTCTCTGGTCTCTCTCTCTGGTATCTCTCTCTGGTCTCTCTCTCTGGTCTCTCTCTCTGGTCTCTCTGGTCTCTCTCTGGTCTCTCTCTCTGGTCTCTCTGGTCTCTCTCTCTGGTCTCTCTCTGGTCTCTCTCTGGTCTCTCTGGTCTCTCTCTCTGGTCTCTCTCTGGTCTCTCTCTGGTCTCTCTCTCTGGTCTCTCTCTCTGGTCTCTCTCTGGTCTCTCTCTGGTCTCTCTGGTCTCTCTCTGGTATCTCTCTCTGGTCTCTCTGGTCTCTCTCTGGTCTCTCTCTGGTCTCTCTCTCTGGTCTCTCTGGTCTGGTCTCTTTGGTCTCTCTCTGGTCTCTCTCTGGTCTCTCTCTCTGGTATCTCTCTCTGGTCTCTCTCTCTGGTCTCTCTCTCTGGTCTCTCTGGTCTCTCTCTGGTCTCTCTCTCTGGTCTCTCTGGTCTCTCTCTCTGGTCTCTCTCTGGTCTCTCTCTGGTCTCTCTGGTCTCTCTCTCTGGTCTCTCTCTGGTCTCTCTCTGGTCTCTCTCTCTGGTCTCTCTCTGGTCTCTCTCTGGTCTCTCTGGTCTCTCTCTGGTCTCTCTCTCTGGTCTCTCTCTGGTCTCTCTCTGGTCTCTCTCTGGTCTCTCTGGTCTCTCTCTGGTCTCTCTCTGGTCTCTCTCTGGTCTCTCTGGTCTCTCTCTGGTCTCTCTCTCTGGTCTCTCTCTGGTCTCTCTGGTCTCTCTCTCTGGTCTCTCTCTGGTCTCTATCTGGTCTCTCTGGTCTCTCTCTCTGGTCTCTCTCTCTGGTATCTCTCTGGTCTCTCTCTGTCTCTCTCTGGTCTCTCTCTGGTCTCTCTCTGGTCTCTCTCTGGTCTCTCTCTGGTCTCTCTGGTCTCTCTCTGGTCTCTCTCTCTGGTCTCTCTCTGGTCTCTCTGGTCTCTCTCTCTGGTCTCTCTCTGGTCTCCTCTCTGGTCTCTCTGGTCTCTCTCTCTGGTCTCTCTCTGGTCTCTCTCTGGTCTCTTTTTGGTCTCTCTCTCTGGTCTCTTTTTTGTCTCTCTCTGGTCTCTCTCTCATACCGTTCTGTATCTAGCAATGCAACACTGGAATTTCCCTCTGCTTCATTCGCTCAGAACCACAATGACTCAAACAGTTTCTTGTCTTTGTAAACGCTAAAAATGAACTTATTCTTTGGAGGCTTACCATGTGCATCTGCTCTGAAGGAGAGACCAGAGAGAGAGACCAGAGAGAGAGACCAGAGAGAGAGACCAGAGAGAGAGACCAGAGAGAGACCAGAGAGAGACCAGAGAGAGACCAGAGAGAGAGACCAGAGAGAGACCAGAGAGAGAGACCAGAGAGAGACCAGAGAGAGCCAGAGAGAGACCAGAGAGAGAGACCAGAGAGAGAGACCAGAGAGAGAGACCAGAGAGAGAGACCAGAGAGAGAGACCAGAGAGAGAGACCAGAGAGAGAGACCAGAGAGAGACCAGAGAGAGACCAAGAGAGAGACCAGAGAGAGACCAGAGAGAGAGACCAGGATCACACACACACACACAACACAGACACACACACAGACACACAGACAGACACACACACACAGAGACACACAGACAGACACACACAGACACACACACACACAGACACACACACAGACACACACAGACACACACACAAACACACACACACACAGACACACACACACAGACAGACACACACACAGACACACACACACACACACACACAGACACAC